ATCTCCGAAACTATTGGAGCGATTTAAATGAAATTTTGCATGGCATATCCCCGGTCAACATTTTAGATACTTTTCATCCCGGAAAATTAAAGAGTTCCCATGGGATAGTCAAAAAACTATAGTAACTTATACTTAATATAATAATAGCTTAGTACACAACAACTTATGCACCTAATTTTGTTCAAATAAATATGACTAACCTAACCTAACCGTTGAAACGTATCCTGGGACGAACCCACGCAAAGCGGGGGTGCGTCGCTAGTTTTTATAAAATAAAATAGGTCGACAGTTTGAGGATCAACGACATCTATAATCTACTAGCGACTCACCCTCGCTTCGCTCGGGTTCGTCCCTACCTTGCTTCCCCATACAAACTTTCATCCCCATTCTCACCACTTTAAGGGAAGATTTCCGGGATAAGGGATAAAAACTATTTCACTCACTCACTTTTCATATAATGAGATTTAAAAAACTTATTTTTATAAAAACAAATTTTCTTTTAATTTTCTTCTATACAAATTAAAAACTTTCGGACAATAACAAACACAAAAAAAGAATTATCTAATTTGGTGCAGTCGATCCGAAATTATGCGCGTAAATACATTTCAGTGGTTCATTTTTATTCAAATAAACAAAAATAGCCCTAAGAAAAGCCCAAATTAGCGCTGTCCAATTTCTTTGTATGGGATGGGACAGTGGTACTAGTATGTCATCTGTGATAATACCAAATATTCTGCTTACAAACTCACGCATGAATAGTGTATCCATACTTTCTTTTTTGCACTTTTGCACAATGCTATTTATTGATAAGTTCTGGAGAACAGAAGTTTTGTTAGAATAACACGAAGGATAAAATATTATTATTTAAGTATTACATACGAGTAGAAATGCATAGCTGTGGTAAAATGTAAATTTACGTACGACATTATGTATTTTAAAGTTACAAGTGCGAATAAAGAAATCTTATCCGAATATTTTCACACACTTTCACGTTTATAATTTTAATAATAAGAGAGAACCCTAGAGAAATCTGAGAGATCATTTGCTACCAACATAACAAAACATAACAAATCCCGGGTCTTGCACCTCTAATATTTTCATGTGCGAATCGTTTTTTAAGACATCCTCTGGAAATCGGCTTGTCTGACAAAATTAAAGGGAGTTAAAGGGAAGCCAACCTCAGCTGTGGGCGGTTAAAACGTGGACTGAATTATGTTATTAACAGGCTGTTTAATAATATAAACACTGAGTTAATTTCTTGACCCACTTCGAAAAAGGAGGTGCTCAATTCGGGTGTTTATTTATCATATCTTCGCCAAATTGCTAAATGTTTTTGATCATTCATATTTTAACGAATATATTATCATATTATGATGTTGAGAGGTAAAATATTTAATTTAATTTGTAGTGAATTTAAAATCAGTGTACCTTTTAAGTTAAAAATAAATGAAGCAAAATTATTAAAATGTATATATGTAAAATTAACATCTAATTCAAAATCAGTATTCATATAATTTGCATAATTAACAATAAATAATAACAAAAATTAAAATAAACAAGTGTTGCTACATTGCCTAAATTAAATAACACGTAGTAAAGAGTTCAACGCAAGATTTTACGATAAAATCTCTCTACAACTTTCATTTTTTTAATCGTCGCATCGTCGTAGATTGCATAAACTTAGAGAAGAAAATATGTTTGTCGTTATTATTAATTGAGTCTCGGTGCGTGCTCTGTAAGTCTTGAAGGTCTATTCCATTCACTTATACTTTCTACACAAAAATGCGTTCTCGAATTACATAACATTTAAGAGTTCTCGTCGTAGTCAAATGTACTTGTTCTTAGTAGTACTTTCATGTAAGATACCTATATTATATGTACATACTTATATATAAAGCTGCCTTAGGCTAGTATTGGATCATTCCTTAACGGGGTAAAAGAACAACGAATATTATTTTTGTTTTTGCGTTTAAGATATGTTCTTCATTCCTAAAAACAAGTGTGTATTTTTCAAAATATTTAACTAATACGACCAGAAGGATTTTTCTAATTAAAATGATTTTATTTTGTTGTATCTTTATTGTAAGGCAGTGGTAGCGTAGTGGTTAACGTGTTTGCTTGGGAAACACGTTAACCACTACGCTACGAGAAGTTGCTTCAAAACCAGGCGTTTCGCACCTCTCCTTCTCTAACGGTAAAGGAAACCATCGTGATCAAACCTGCATGTGAGAGAACCTAGCAAAATTACAATTACTCGTATGTGAAATCAACCAACCCGCCGTTGGCCAGCGTGGTGGGCTATGGTCTGATTAAAAGGACTAAATACCCGCGTATTATTATAAGTGTCTTACTCAGAGATAGAGAAGCTACTAACCTTCTATTATTAAAAGAGACTAGAATTGGTGCGCTACAAGAAGAAACAATAGAAGACGTACGAACTTCTTACGTGATACGTCCAACGTTTATGGTACATTGTATTTAGTATATTTATATTTTATAGTACCTACTTGATAAATATTTTTATTTTTTATACAAATTCACAGTAAATATAAATATTAAATTATTTTATGTAGGTCACCTAAGCAATCAATCTGCTCGTATCGAAAACGTATATTTTTCACAGAGAATAATATCCATACATCTATACAGATAAATAAAATTGTAAAATGTAGTAGGTAATTTTATATTTGTATAGTATCTGTTTGTAATGTCAAAATAACAGCTTTTTACTAAATCCATACGTATCTATAATAATATTATAAAGAGGTAGAGTTTGTTTGAATGAGCTAACTTCAGGAGGAACTACTAATCGGGTTTGAAAAATAGTTTTTGCATTAGATAGCCTGTTTATCTAATGTAAAGGGAAGGGAATGAAGACTTGATTGTTTGTACTTTGAACGTGGGCGAAGTCGCGGGTTCTGCTAGTTAAATTATATATGCGGTACTTATACGAAACACACAAAAAAATTGACTGTCTGTCTGCTAAATGCATAAGAAATTATATACTGTACTCATAAGAAAAACAATTTTTAAAAATTGCTTATATCTGTCTGTCTGTTTGTTCCGGCTAATCTCCGAAACGAAATGATTTTGACGGGACTTTTACTGGCAGATGCTGCAGGCTGATGTTGTAAGGAGTAACTTAAGATACTACTATTATAAAAAAAGAATTAAGGTTCCGATTAAAAACAATAAACGTACGAAAGGACGTACCCGAGTGAAGAGAGGGTAAGTCGGTAGTTATACAATAAAAACGTATTTTTATTATACTCAACAGTATTTTACTTCAATATGTCTGTTATGAAGAATTTTATTTTTTAATTCACAATAAGTATAAAAATTACCTTTAAATTAATTTGGTATTTTGGAGTTTCCTAATTTAATAAAGAGCATATCCTTTAATTTACCACTTTATTACAAAAATATTATTCTTGTTTTAGAATTATACTTTAACAACTTATTTAACTAGTACCTAACACGGCATTATTCGATGATCGACCAGCGTGAAGCAACACGCAGGTCCCACGAATCGTTTCAACACCGATATTCTCAGAATAACTTTAAAATGTGGCAATTCAATCGTAATAGCTATTGTTATTTTCTTAATCTAATTAAATCTCATTTTAAGATAATTCTCCAATAACATAAATATTGAATAGCTTTATTGGATAAAAACAGACATGTTGGGAAAGTTAATGGCATTAATTTTGGGATGTTACAGGTATTTAGATAATTAATGTATAATATGATTATTATTTATAAAGTTTAATTTCATTATTTTAACTGTTTATGTAGTTAATTTATTATCCTTTTACGTAAAAATGTCTATACCAAAATTGAAAATATCTATTGTTTTTCCAATGACCATGTATAAAAAGCATTTGTAAAATCATAATATTATGTGCCTATGCAGAATTTGCAAGAAACGTAGAATAGCAATTTCATAAACAAATTATGGACATTTTAAATAACAAAATAGAGAATAAATGCGGCTAGCATTCTTGCCACTATTCCACGCGGACATGACTTGTACAGTAATAACTAAGTGTACATATGTTTTGTATATATAATTAAGTATATTTGTAATTTTCTTTTTTGTAAATAAAGTTTTTATATAACTTTAAATAGAGAACATCATTAATTTAATATAGTTGACATAAATATAGTTATAGAATGTTGATTCATGTTTATCCTTTATTACTTATCTAACAATAAATTCAATTAATTTTAATTAAATGATATTTTAGCAGTAGTTACAGGAAAACGAAAATATATTTATGAATTGCTACGTAGGCTTTAATTTTTATATATTTTGCATATACATAATATAATACGTATATATAATAATTAGGTTATGTGATTCTTTAAATGACGTATCTAACTTTTTTATTTATGAACCGATTGAAATAAAACAAATACTAAATGTTAAGTGAAGCTTACCACAATATATGAGTAAAAAGCGCATCCAAATTGGTTAAGCCGTTTCTCAGATTTGCGCGCGCACAGATAAACAGACAAATCGACGAACAGACAAAAATTCTAAAAATCATGGTTTTGGGTTCTATTGCGTAAATAAAGACCCCAATGATAGTTTTTCTCAAATATCTTCCATTTACAGACAGCGATAAGTTACACTTTTATTATAATAATGTGAATATTGGCAACACCGTTTGCAAGTTAGTTTAAAAAAATTATATTTTATATATACCCAACCTTGAATTTTATTCTTGAATATATGGGCATAGTTTACATTGAACAATATCATCATTATAAATAGCTTAAACTAAAAACTTATTACACCTTCGCCTTCATACATTTAGTCAATAGTGATTCAACACTCGTCGCAGATGGTCAAGAATAAATAACACGACTACATAATTATAAGAACAATATAAACCTGAAGCGAAAAGTGTAAAACGCGAATACAAGAATTGTAAAATAAGAGAAAACAAAAATGATATTACCAAGCTCTCCGCATCCTGGCTCATCTTTTTCTACGCATGGTTCCCGTGAAGGACTTGCGCCCGGGCGGCGCTACAGCAGACCAGGTAAATAAAGGCACTGTATCATTGCACGTCACCACAATAGACCACATTCCATCACTGCATCCGTGTTCAACATATGATCGCTTTGGCCGGTCCCTATGACGTCACGCGCTTTCTCGCAATACAAGGTTGTATTGCATTCGTATCACAACACTTCAAGCAAATATTAAAGACGCTCACTTATCAACAAACTCGGATCGTCTTCGCCTCGTAAACCAATTCGATTCACTCAATCGTTCAAAATAGAGTTCTCGTGTGAAGGAAATGCGATCGTGTGACGCAGGTAATGACTTTCGCGCACGAACTGAGTGAAGCACGTCCGCTTCGTGGCAGCGCCGCCGTCGCGCGTGCACACGTAACGGCAGAGGCCCCCGCCACGTCGCCCCCGTATCCCCAGACCTCCGAACCAGCCCCGTCGACATCGTCTCACGCCTGACGCCTGCGGCCTGACCGTGCCCAGACTTGCGCTCGCGACTCAACTACTACAAACCGATGTTACAAACACACGCCTTTTTGATTTCTTTATTTTCGTATCGTTTTCACAATGCAAATAATGTAACATTACAAATGATGACAAATAGGTAAATGTTTTATAATGGGCGATAAAACGTAATTGTAAGTATTTCAATTATCAGTTCTATACTATAACAATAATAATAATTCAATACCTAGTAATAATTTATTAGAAATATTGATAGCTACTATGCTTATGCATAATTAATGATTATATTTCCTATCTCCCTAGTTTTGTAAAAAAAAGACCTATCTAAATTACCTACTTAAATTGAAAAAACACTTGATGAATATGTATACAATACCTATTGTAACATATGTATACAATAGCGACTCACCCCCTCTCCGCTCGGGTTCGATCCTAGGTAAGTTTTAGCGGTTAGTGTAGATTTCTAAGAGATGAGATAGGTCCTTTCCCTCAATAAAAAGTATCCTATATGTTGACCAGGATAACCACCTATCATCATACCAAATATCATCAAAATCTGTCCAAAGTTTTCTTGTGATGCGTTCCCAGATAGACAGACAGACAGACAAAATTCTAAAAACTATAGATTCGGCCTCTGTATCGAAATGCCTATATTTCAATAAGATTTTCCGAAAAATATTCAATGTACAGATTCGACTCGGTTAGAATTTTATTATAATAATATGTATAGGTTATTGGTTATTAGGTACATACATGTAATTTGTACACCTGTAAGGGTAAGCATTGTATTTTCCAAGATCCTTGAACAACCCTTTTTAATCTTCGATTGATAATATTTTAGACGTGGAAACCTTAGAAATGATTTCGTATACTTTTGTAAATCCAGGCGTATTTTAAATACAGAAGGATTAAACTAATAATGTTGACATTAGAAACATAAGTAAATAAAGTTAAATCTAAAGCAAACAAGTGAATTATCACTATAGCATATTTAAGCCATAAATCTGAAGAAGGAATGTAATCCCTGCATCACTATATTTCAAGAATATGGATTATGGTATAGATATAGGACCCTTTATGATAAAACTTACAAAGGTACTTTTTCTATCATCTAACTTCAAAATCTATAAGAAGCACTTTAAAGAATACAGATAAGAAGCTCAGTGTTAATACTGCATGCATAAGAAGCTCAGTGTTAATCCTGTATGTATGTATAGGTACTAGAAAAAACTTAAAAAGTTAAAAGCTTCAAAAAAAACACTAAAAATTAAAAGAATACTGATTGGTTATTTTTCATTTCCTATGGATACCTAATCAGATATTTTCGAAGTCGGTGTGCTTTGATTTCTATCGGCTGGAATCAACATCGAAGGTCTATATAGTAAACTAGCGACTGACCCTCGCTTCGCTCGGGTTCGTCTCTCGCTTGATTCCCCTTGCAAACTTACATCCCCATTTTCACATCCTTAAGGATTTGATTTCCGGGATAAAAAGTATCATATGTCCTTTCCAGGGTCTCAAACTATCTTACCAAATTTCATCTAAATCGGTTCAGTAGATCCAGAGAATACGTCCTACAACGTCACAACCTCACAAACTTTACCTCTTTATAATATTAGTATAGATGAAAACTCACAATCAGTTATTTTTTACTTTTTAGTGTTTTTTTTTGAAGTTGGTTTTTTTTAAGTCTTTATATTTCCATTTTAGTGTAGACAGTAGTAGAAAAGTAAGAAGAAAGTATTTTAATAAAATATTCGCTTAAGCCGTTTAAGTTAGTTTGATGCCAATTTTTATATGAAGACTGACAAACTAAAATTAGCTTTTATTATTCCCTTAACGACCGTGGACACGCCGCGCCGGCGTGTCAGTTAACAATAGATTTCTTAGAATTTTAATTAATTTCTTAGAAATATACCTGGAGGTGTTAATAACACTGAAAATCAGGCTCTAAACTCCAATTCTAACGTATTGGGTTTGTCAAATCAAACAAAATAAGCCCAAACTGTACTATTAGCCGTTGGAGTGTTTCACCTATCCTACTTCAGGCCTTAACATCAGATCAGGTTGACGATACCGAATCACTTGCAAAGTTTGAAGTCAATATGAAGTTGGTAAAATTTTCATTTTTCCACCTATTTTTTTTCAAATTTAAACGGAACCAATCTGGAAGAACTTTCAAACAAAATAAAATTTGTCCAAATCGATGAATAAATGACGGAGTTGAGAACATCCTCTTTTTTGAAGTTTGTTGATAATTTCTCTCTTCAATTCGTCCATATTTTTAAAATTATTCTTGATAGTTGTCGATATTTAACGCTACAAATTCACTTTAGCAACATCGAGGTAAGTGATTTGATTGTTTAATGTAGGACTAAAATATCATAATAATACATATACCTATAGTAATAGCAGGTAAAATGATTTCTAGAAAAAAAGTAACCTAAAATCTGTTTAACACGTCATGAAAACTTTTGGACAGATTTAAATGTAACTTGATGAAGTTATTATCTTTAAAGCTTAAAAATTAACTAAGTTAAATTATTGTCTCGAAAAACCCAGAGGCTTCCTGTTTGACAAAAACTATCATTCTACAATAAGTTATGCTTATATTTTATATCTTGAGGCTTGATATTAATATAAATGACGATTATTGAAAAGTGATAATGTTGATGAACTTTTAAGATTATGCCTGTACACAAAATTGAATAACTTTTTGCATATACATACACACTTAACTAAATGTTGTTAAAACTTTTAAATTATTATTTTTTTTTACATTAAAAATCTTTCAATCGTTTGCGGATCTCGTAGTGCTTTATTTACAAGCTATTGACTTACCCTCGCTTCGCTCGGGGGCGTCCCTGGGTGCCTAACAATAGCCGATAAAGGAACTTCACAGATATTTTTTTTCGACTTCAATTAAAGTTATTATAATTTCTGACCAATATTCTTTAAATTTCGGGTTATAGCACTCCACGGTAATATAACTTCTAAACTTCCTTTATAATAAAGAAGAATTTTCTGAATCGAATCAGTACCTAGTTTCAAAGATTACCCCCTACAATCACACTTTATCTCATAATGATATTAGTATAGACTAGCGACTTAGGTACCCACGTAGCGGTCGGGTGCGTCCCGGTAGATGTGTTTTAAATAGATTAAAAAAACCGACTTCAAAAAAAACACAAAAAAAGTAAAAAATAACTGATTGGTAGATTTCGCTTTGTTACTGTTTTTACCCGACTGCAGCTAAGCCCAAAGGAGACTTAACACGCAGACGACGAGCATGTAACACAGCTAAAGTTAGTTAAGAAAGTAACAAGATTACTGTTAAATCGTATAAAAATTAACACCGCTAGGTAAATATCTAAGAAATTAATTAAATTTCTAAGAAATCTATTGTTACCTGTAACGCCGGCGGGTCCGCGTTCGTGGAGGGATTAAGATTAGAATGAAATTGATGAAACTTTTACTTTTAAGTTAATAGACTAAATTAAAATTATGCTGTTATAAATCGAGAATGTTTTGTGATTGGGAATAACACTAGGTCGGTAAATAATCTTCTTTCTCCATTTATGGCTAAACTTAGGCACTTGTATGTCAGATGTTGTGTTTGATTTTTGGGCTTTACATCCATCACTTAGTCTAAATACAGTATACAGAAATCAGAAACCAAAATCTGTACATATAATAAAATCATAACTAAGCCGAATCTGTACATTAAATATTTTTTGGAAAATCTTATTGAAATATACATTATTATCGATACAGAGGCCGAATCTATAGTTTTTAGAATTTTTGTCTGTCTGTTACCCCATCACAGAAAAACCACTGGAGGGCTTTTGATGAAATATGATAAGGTGACAGCTGGTTATCCGGGTCAACACATATGATACTTTTTACCGCGGGAAAATATCCTAAAGACAGCGAGGTAGAAAATTCTTAAAATTAGCCATCTGATTAAAAATAAAAATGTTTGGTCTTTTTTTAGAAATTTTTTAAGTTGGTCAGGTCGAAATTTTTCCCCCCCAACGTGCGTTCACCTTGTCGTGGTGGGGGGGCTCAGTAGTGCCCGGCAATCCAACCGGGCGCGAAGCTAAGAAACGCACAGGGAGGTTGCCCACTTCGGTGGGCGGTGGGAGGTGGCCCTCTTTGGAGGGCGGTGTACCATGGCGGTTGCTCCTGGTACTTCTCTGATAGCAGAGTGGACTTTGGAGCAACCCCATGGTCGTTGTGGTCTGCCTCGGCAGACCTGCCGTCGGGGCGTCGTAGTTGAATGCGTAAGTGATCCTGCGACGCCCCATTAAGACGGGGGAAGGCTTTGTTGGGTTTTAGTGGGTAGTACTGGCTGTATTACGCCGGTGAGTCCCACACGTCGTGCGTAAATGCATTTCCCAACGTTAAAAAAAAAAAAAAAGGTCGAAAATTCTCAAAAATTCAGAAAAAAATTCATAACTCATAAACTATGAAAAGTCGCGTAACCTACATGGGGGTGATTCGGATATCCTACGATACGAGGGACCTAAATTTTATTTTATAGACATCAACGTTCCGACCATCTATTGCATGAAACACGGACGTTAACTGCGGTAATCGGCTTTTTTAGTATATTTTCTGAAAATGGAGAGGCAAAGTAAAATCAAGTAAAACTTATATAGTTTCAAAGTAATGCACGATAAAGAATCTAGAGTTGCCTGGTACATTTCCAGTGTTAATGTAGGAAAGTAAAATATAAATACAAAAATAGTTTTATATGCTTTAATATATGTAAAAAACATTTCAACCCATTGTAATCAAATTAAAAAAAAAAATCCTCTCACATCATCCAACAGTGTAATTTCATGCATCAATATTTCATATAAATAACATATTTATATATGTAAAAACGAAAAAACCAAAAACAAATTATTCTTTACTTTAATTATAATTATAAGCTCATACGGCAAGGTATTTCACAGTTTAGCGACTGGAGATGAAATTGCGGTTTTAAAATACAAAAAATAACTTTAAGTTTCTAGAAACGTAATTCAACCAATCAAAGTCTTGTTTCTTTAGAAAACTTAATGGTATTGTTTAAGGAACAAATCTACAAATTATAAATACAATCAAAAACATAGTGCCCATTTCTTTTTTGCTCTTATGGAAAACATTTCAATTTCAAGACATTTTTAATTATGCTTCTATAAAAACATGTAATATGTAAAACATTACTAAGAACAAATAGTAAATAAATATATTTCATACAGCCTTCACACAATGTGACATAAAAAAAATATGATAAGATGTACATAACAATTACATAACTTCTCATTCTTGATGTCTTCAACGCATATAATATTTGCATCATCATTATTTATAAGAAGTGGTCACAGGACATTCAAAAAAATTTAAGCTTAGAAGAAAACTTACATTATTTAATTAAAATGTCGAATTAAACAAATATGAAGAAACAATTTATTGAATTCATTAATTAAAAAGTCAAATACTGTCCAAAAATGGGTTTAACATCCATTGGATTCATAGGAGCAAAATATGTACTTAAGCTGTCCGTCCATCCATTTAAAAGAATTCTACACTGCTTGTGTCCCTGGATCCTATCACATAAGTAGCTATAAATATATAATTGAATTGAAGAACATGACAATATCAATCCATTGATATACAAATAAAATAGTATGTACAAAGAATTATGCTCAAATGAAGAATGCATATAAATATACACTCTATGTGAGTAGATTAAAAAAATATTAATTAAAAAAATAATAATATTTCATTATAATAATAAAATAAACACATCTGGTACATATATTATATTCAGTGGTAGCCTTGCGGTACCGCGTTCGCTTGGGAAACCGAGTGAAGCGGGTTCAAATCCCGGGTCTCATACCTTTGATATTTTCATGTGCGAATCATTTCTAACATGATTACCACTTGCCTTATGGTGAAGAAAAACATCGTGACTTACGATTCATGAGGAAACCTGCATGTCTGAGAGGACCTAGCAAGTTTTCAAAAGACATGTGAAGTCCGCCAAACCCGCACTTGGCCCACGTGGTGGACTATGGCCTGATCCCCCTTGGATTGAAGAGAGCCCCGTGCCAAGCAGTGGAACGTCAAAAAAGGGTTGAATACATACATATATTAAGAACCAGAATGAGAATATAAAAAGAAAAATTGTGAGAATAACTGATATGTCTAAGAATAATTATTAAAGTCACTATAATATAGTGTGTCGTAATAAGTGTTCAGGGTTTGTTTTATAGCCATAGCCATATTAAAAAGGACTGGAACAAATGTAGATAAACTATGTTATAATAATCAAATTGTCTTATAAAAACAATCTTGTCTTATAATAATGAGTTCTTGAATCTTAAGAGACTATAAGGCTACTTCATTGTTTACTTATTTAAATTCCAACTTGTTTTTATAACTCTTACTTAAGATATAATATATAATAAAATTACAATGTACTGTACTTAAATGTTATTTTTGTACTATAGGTGAAGATTCTTTATTTGAAGTTATAAAACAAGGCTTGCCATTTGCATCCCATGTCGATTTGCATTTCTTAAAAGCAAATGCTAAATAAATTGCTGAAAACAAAGAATAATTATTATTACACTAATCTGTATTATTATTATAAAGAGGAAAGATTTGATTTTTTGATTGTTTGTTTGTACTGAGTAGGCTCCGAAACTACTGAACCGATTTAGATGAAATTTGGTAATAAGATAGTTTGAGACCCTGGAAAGGACATATGATAGTTTTTATCCAGGAAATCATCCCTTAAGTGGGTGAAAATGAGGATGAAATTTTGTATGGGGAATTAACCTAGGGACGAACCCAAGCGAAGCAAAGGTGAGTCACTAGTAATCCCATAAATATTATTACAAATGTATGGTTTCTGTAGGATTGATTTGTTTCTGTTTCTTACTAGGGCCTAACCCCATAGAATATAGATTATTATTATTAGCAATTTCACAAAAACTAAATAATACTTCACTATCTATTACAAATTTTTTTTACACTTACTTGCTACATCCCATTCGCATTGACTCATTGTACTAAGATGTATACTTTTACTGTCCATATTTTCATAATATTTTTTTGCATGTTCATAATCTTGTTCTTCCCCAATTAGTTCTTTACCTGAAGTTGCAGGATAGCTCTCAAAACATTTAATTCTATGTAACAAATCTCTGTATTTTTCTGAAAATTTTTTGAAGAACTCTGCAAATCCTGCTTTATAAACACATTCTAAGCCATATTCTTTAGCCAATATTTCAAACAACTCAAAATTAACTAAAAATTCAGGACAATCTACAACACCCTCCAAATGAAAGTCATATTTTCCTCCAAATAAAGGGCAACCTTTTTCAGTATCGAATAGTAACTTTATATTGAAGATTCTATTTCCAAATGTCCCATCCTGTGACTTTTTGGAACGGGTTATAATTTCATATGCATCTGGTATTGTTCCAAAAAAATATCCATCTGGTTTTAAGCATTCTGATATATTTGATAACATACGACGTGCTTGACCTAAGCTTTCGAAACTGTAATGTAAACCAAATTGGCAACTTGCAATGTCAAACTTTATAGAAGGGTCCTTATACTTGTCCCGTAAGGTATCTCTGGAACAATCAGTAGCAATAAATTCTGCTGTATATAACCGACCAGAACGGCGTCGCAAATCATCGTAACGATTTTTGCACTGTTCTATTGATACTTCAGCAATATCAGCAAAAATAACATGATCTACACGAGCTTTCTGCCATTTGCTTAAATCACCTCCTTTGCCACAACATATATCTAATATTTTCAACGGTCTACCGTAATCTTTCTCACGTATTTTGTCCGTATATTCTTGAATGAGCACGCTTTTGACCCAATTATTAAAATTTCTTAGATAAAAAATTGGCGAATTAAATCTTTCGTTTAACCCTTTTTCTTCTAAGTGATTATAATGAGCAGCTACTACATCTGCATGAGATTTTTTTGATTTAGGCATATCACTATTGTCTTCATCATGTAGCCGTTTTTTCAAATTTCCAGAGGCTCCTTCGTTTTCTTGCAAATTTTCAACATCATTAGAGATTTGAGCATTTTCTGACACGTCAGTCATTATAGTTTTATAAATTATCTGATAATATGAACACTTTGTTATGAATCAATTTAATACACTTATAAAAATAATCCTTTTATTATTTGAATAATAACATTTACTAGTTAACTACTTATGAATTACTTCTACTAAAATCATTGACGTTAAGTTATAGTACCAAGTACCAACAAATGCCAATATCATAGAGTATATTGCTACACAATATGTCAAAAACCTTAAATGTAAGTTTGCCAGTGGAAAACTTAGTGTTACGAAATATTATATGTATAAACTAACATTAAGCGCTATAAAATTTTCAAGTTGTAATGTTTTAAAGGAAATTTCAAATAAATAATAATAAAACCAATATTTCGCATTTTGAAATGTAAATAATTAATCATTTATATTTGGCAAATACATTATATTTCAATTCTGTTTGATCTGAAGTTGGTAATAAATGAGAACATTGAACTACTTCACTTGAAGTTGTCGCGATTTCCGAACGACGCATGCGCACTCGTCTCATCGCGGCACTTAGAAATATTGCGTTCGGTCGACCGGCCTCATGTAATCTCGAACAAACGACGTTATACGTAGGCAAAATGAGCGTTGAAAATCCAGCCAGTGATAATGATTGTGATTCAGTAAGTATCTAAACAATTACAAATTAATTTATTGCGTTTATTTATTGAGTAATTTTGTAGAAATAACGAGTATATCTTTCTGTTTACTGGTGGTCATTTCGACTACAAAGCAAAAATTTTCTAAGTCCCAATATGGCGTCTACTATAGTCCTCGCATAAGAAAGAAGCTAAGCGTCGCTTGGTAGTGGTTTTTTAAATAGTAATGAGCGATTTAATTGTCAATCGAATATTTATCTTTATAAAGTAATGTAGCCGTAATGACAATATTAATGTAGCTAACTCAACAAATCTGGTTCTTTTGCTGTTCGCAGGGAAAGGTAAATGGTAATAAAAGTGAACACGTGAACGGCATCCACAACGGATACAGTAGCTCTGAAAAACATAGGAGCAGCCATAAGTCTTCAAGCAAGGACAAGCATCGCGATAAGGACCGAGACAGAGAGCACAAGAGCTCTTCGAAACATAGCAGTTCAAACAGGTTAGTTATTCTAGAAATTTCTTTTCATTGTTACCTTCGTGTAAAGTGTTTTAAAATGTTAACAGAGGGTTATAATAAATCAGTTATATAATTAAAAAAAATACTGTATTTTTGTTTAAATTTAACAGGGATAAAGATAAGGACAGACATTCAAGCAGCAAAAATCACAGCAGCTCTCATAAATCTTCCAGTAAGGATAAAGAACGCGATAGGGATCACAAAGATCGAGATAAGTACAAGGAAAAAGACCGTTCTGAAAAAGAAAAGGATCGTAGTGACAGAGACAAAGATAGACATAGAAGTGACAAAGACAAACATAGGGATAAAGATAGAGATAAAGAGAGAAGTGACAGGGACAAACATAGGTCAAATGATGGAGAAAAAAAGTCATCAAAAGAAAATTCATCTTCAAAAGATAAAGAACACAAGTCCAAGGATAGAGATAAGGAGAGGGATGACAAAGATCGACACAGAAGTGATAAGGATAAACATCGCAGTGATAAAGACAGGCACTCCAGTTCCAAAGAAAAATACAGGTATTGCAAATATTAAATTAATTATTATCATTCTAATACACTATGAAGAATTTGCATAATAGTGATTTATGAGGTATATCATTCCTCAAAAATGCAGATATTGACTTTTTATTTAAGTTTAGAAATGTCTTCAATCAGCATAGTAAACCTGTCTATGTAATATAATGCGCATAAGGTACGCTGAACTTCATCATTGAAGACTGCTACTTTCCCTAGAATGTAAGGCTTTAGTTAGTGTGCAATGTTCATTTTTATAGTTTCCTAGCTGTACCCAGCTATTACTAAAATACTGATTTTTACCTAAATACCTTTACATAATTGCCATAAATCATCGAAAATTGATCTGGTCAAAGCATGCAACAGCATAGAACAGAACATAGTTTAAATACAATTACTTTTATTATAAGGTACAATCAAGTTGATTTCATATTCTTAACAGCTCTAGTAAAAGTAAAGATAAAAGCAGCAGCAGTGAAAATAAACAACAAATCAAAACTGAAGAGAGTGAAGATTATTCCAAACAAGAGCCTATGGAGGTAGTTGAAAATATTAATATATTTTATAGTTTTATTATTGTAATGATTGGACTTAAATCATAGTTAATAAATTAATGTTTTTAATATGTAAGTGGCAAAATAATGCTAATTCATTAATTTTGACATAATCATTCAAAGCTTCTAAAAATAATACATTTATCAGGCTTAAGTAAAAGATTTTATGTATATATGTATTTGAATTTTTTTATAGGTAGAAGATATTAAAGTAAAAGAAGAAATAAAAGTAGATGTTGAATATGATGGATATGCAGGTGCCAACACTACTATGTCTTCATGTGATTACTCAATGTCCCAGTTCAAAGATGAACCTCTCTCAGAACTTCCCCCTGAAGATGACAGTATGACTGGTGAGGAAGAAGATGTACCTTTGGTAAGACATTGGTTTGCTTTGTTTTGAAAACTGTTTAAATATAAATCTAATATTAATTAAGTTTTGAGGCTAACAATATATAATTAATATTATTTTTACTCCCTTATGCAAAATTATATTTTTCTGTAGTTGGATCGCATGGCATCAAAGAAAAGAGCTGCCAGTGAGAGTGAGGAAGATATACCTTTACTTCAGCGCAAGAAATCGAAAAAGAAAGTAAAAAAAGGTATTACTTTATATTTATGTTCCACTAGCATTGCCCGCGGCTCCGCTCGCGTTCAGATGACCAAAAACCAAATTCTTAGGTTTTACATATTAGTATACTCTTACATTGCAGTTTTTGTATTTTTTCTCAGAAATGAGATATTTTTCCGCAGTTAAAAGTCTCCTCCAAGTATCCTATATGTTGACCCGGATAACCAGCTATCATCATACTAAATTTCATCAAAATCTATCCAGTGGTTTTCTCGTGATGCGGTAACAGACAGACAGACAAAAAATCTAAAAACTATAGATTCGGACTCTGTATCGATAATAATGTCTATTTCAATTAGAATTTCCAAAAAATATTTAATGTACAGATTCAGGTTAGTTACAATTTTATTATATGTATAGATAAATGACACACTCAAGTTCAAACATATCTAATTTTTCACCTAATTGTCTAAGTAAAAACCACTAGTAGTTACTTTTTTTTAGCTACTTCAGAGGTGAGTATTTTATTATAAAAATATGTCACTTACACAAATCCAAAATTACCTTTTGATATAAACAATTGTCAACATTTTTAAATGTGCATTTATTTAAAGAAACATTTGATGATGATGATGAAGAAGAAGAGGCACCTAAACCTAAAAAGAAGAAAAAGAAAACTGAAAAAGTAAAAGCTAATAAAAGTGTTAAGTCAGAAACTGAAGATGGCCCAAGTCCTACAAAACGCAAGAAAAAGGGAGAAGAAGAAGAACAAGAAGTTTGGAAATGGTATAATTTTTACTATTAAGAAATTCTAAACAGACAAAAACTACTTTATATTATTGATTAAATTATGAAAGCAGAGTTTTATTTTTATAAATTGACATGTTTTTTTATATATTTATATTATTTGTTTTTGATATAATTATTATATTTTTGACAAATCATTTTTCCCAACTATCAATATTTTTAGCACTGGCAATAAAGTGACAGATGTTAAAGCCGATATAGTAGATGGCGCTTCGTAAAATGTCATCCAGTGATGCTAACTAACCTCAACAAATGATATAACTTCGAGGTTATGTTTAGTACATAATAAATAGGATGATTATCATGGCTAGAATAGGTTTGATTCAGTTTAAAACATTTCTAAGGGTAGCCTCGGAAAATATTGAAACAGTGAGACAGTTGCGATGTTTTCGAAAAATGTAGATTATTTTATGGTTATTTTGTATGGAAATATTTTGAAGGTTTTATATTCGAATTTAATACCTTTCAATTTTATAGGTGGGAAGAATCAAAAAAGGATGATGGTACCAAATGGTATTTTCTGGAACACAAAGGCCCACTGTTTGCACCTCCATATGAACCCCTGCCTGAAAATGTTAAGTTCCGTTATGATGGTAAAGTTATAAAATTATCCCAGGATAGTGAAGAAGTGGCAGGATTCTACGCTCGAATGTTAGATCATGATTACACTACAAAGTCGACATTTAATAATAACTTCTTTAATGATTGGCGTAAAGTGATGACTCATGAAGAATCAAAACTCATTAAAGATCTTTCAAAATGTGACTTCAAGGAAATGCAAGCTTACTTCCTAAGTGTGTCGGAAAAAAATAAAAATCGTTCAAAAGAAGAGAAAGCGGCACTCAAAGCCAAAAATGATGAAATCCAGAAAGAGTACGGTTTTTGTATTATAGATGGGCACAAAGAAAAAATTGGTAACTTCAGAATAGAACCCCCTGGACTTTTCAGAGGAAGAGGCGAGCATCCAAAAATGGGTATGCTGAAAAAGCGTGTGATGCCTGAAGATGTTCTAATTAATTGTTCTAAGGATAGTAAAATACCTAAGCCTCCTGCCGGACGCAAATGGAAAGAAGTTAGACATGACAACACCGTCACATGGTTGGCCTCTTGGACTGAGAATGTTCAGGGCCAAGCCAAGTATGTCATGTTAAATCCTAGTTCTAAACTGAAAGGAGAAAAGGATTGGCAAAAATATGAGATTGCCAGACAATTACATAAAAGTATAGATAAAATTAGAAGTACATATAAAGCTGATTGGAAAGCTAAAGAAATGCGTATTCGTCAACGAGCTGTTGCACTCTACTTTATTGATAAATTAGCTTTGAGAGCTGGTAACGAAAAAGACGATGATCAAGCAGACACGGTCGGTTGTTGCTCTCTTCGTGTTGAACACATTGAACTGCACAAAGAAAAAGATGGTAAAGAATATGTTGTAGTGTTTGATTTCCTGGGTAAAGATTCAATTAGATATTATAATGAGGTGCCAGTGGAGAAACGTGTGTTTAAGAATCTCGAACTATTTATGGAGAATAAAAAAGGCAGTGATGATTTGTTTGATAGGTTAAACACACAAACATTGAATGAACATTTGAAAGAATTGATGCCAGGGTTGACCGCCAAGGTCTTCCGTACTTACAATGCTTCTATAACCCTACAAATGCAACTTGATGAACTAACCGATCCAGATGTCTCGTTACCAGAAAAGATTTTGGCATACAATAGAGCAAATCGCGCTGTCGCTATTCTTTGCAACCATCAACGTGCTGTGCCTAAAGGTAAAATTTATAATAACTATATAGCATTTGTGTATGTATGTATGCATGTATGTATATGGGTATGTACTTATTTATGTATTTAGGATATGCCATTGTGTGTAGTAAGTACACCACCTACCATTTCATATAATTTCTCCTACGCCCTAAGGTTGCCTGGAAGAGATCGCTTATAGCAATAAGGCGGCCTCCTGTGCATCATCTATTGTTTATATCTTCTTTTTGTATATTTCTTTGTGGTGTACAATAAAGTATCTATCTATCTAACTTTAATATAAAATAAAATCTGATTTGTTTTACATTCTTTTAAATGTAGTTAAATATATTGCAACAATTAATTATTTGCAGGTCATTCGAAGTCTATGGAGGCTTTAAAAGAGAAAATTCAAGCTAAGCGAGACCAAGTGGATGAAGCTGAGGCAGATCTTGAAGATGCTGCCAAAGCTGCCAAAAGAGGCTCAGTTAAGGAAAAACTGGCATGTGATAAAAAGAAAAAAGCTCTTGAACGACTGAAAGAGCAGTTAAAGAAACTAGAGTTACAAGAAACAGATCGTGATGAAAACAAAACTATCGCTCTCGGCACCTCCAAGCTAAACTATCTCGATCCCCGTATTTCTGTTGCATGGTGAGTTTTATTATGTTATATTTACTAAATTGATTTAAATATATTTCATTATTATATTAGAAACTTGCAAGTATCATTTGTTAGTCTTAGGTTAAAAAATGACACTTGTTAATTTTATTGTAGAATCTAATCTTTAATTTTTATATTATGTTATTTATTAGTCATAATATTTTTCTATTTATTTATTGAATTATCAACAAAAGTTACAATGGTTAAATATCAGATTATCTAGGTTAACATGTTAATTGCACTTTTAGTTATAGGTAAACACAGCATGATAATAATAATTATTGGGGTTTTTAAGTGATTATGTGGGTTAAAATATAAATATAAATTAATAACAAAGAAAAAATCATATAAATGCATATAATATGAATAAAGATATTTCAAATAATTAAAAATTACATAGAATCATTACAATATAAAAACTGTATCAATTAAAGATAATAATTCAAGTTGTTAATTAATGAGTTGTGTAACCTGTATTCATGTCAATACATGGTATACATATGGCATATAGAATCCATAAAAGGTACCCTAAACGCTAAATAAATTTAAAAATCTTGAATTTACTTGAAGTCGCTGCTTGAACAATAGTCACATGGATATTTATGAAATAACACTCCTAAAAATGTGGTATATAGTGGTTTTTGATTCTATATAATTCTTATAAATTATATTAATACATCATTTACTGTAATTGGTTTTTTTTTTCTTCAGGTGCAAAAAGCATGGCGTACCCATTGAAAAAATCTACAATAAAACTCAGCGCGATAAATTTCGATGGGCTATCGACATGGCCGGACCCGATTACATTTTCTAAGTTCAACTATAGCATTAGCTATACTTTATATATTATATACTTTCATATCTGCAAACGTTCCACATTATACATGCATTAATTGTTTATACTTTCCGTTATTTATTGTTTTATGATTTTTCTGACCAACGTTTAAAATATATGTATTAATTTGGTTGTTTAAGTTTCGTGATTATTTTAGACAAAAATATCTGTTCCTTACTTACCTATTTAGGATCCAAATTAGAAGTCTGATTCTAATTTATTTTAGGCTATTCGTTTCTTTGCTTCTGGCTTAGTGGCTAAGTTAGTGTTAATTGAAACGTTAGTATAAGACTGTACAAATTTTGCAATCATTTGTGTAAGTTTCGGCACATTTTTATTAAACGGACGTTCGAGAGGAGTAGTAGCAAAAGACCCATTCTTTAAATTTTTACATTGTAAGCTAGATCTATACATTTAGTATAAATGTTTTTAATTTTACTTTACAGAAATGACAGTGCTGAATAATATTAAGATCAAAATAGTCATTTTGGTGATCGAATATCAATTTAATTTGTATATACATATATATTGTGCGGCTGTCTGTCGCCGACAGCGTCGATCTGTAAGTACGTGTCAGTCAGTTTGTCTGAGGTCGCAAGTCTATATCGCAATGTCTTGAGCTCACACGACTAGATTAATGTAAATTTATATTGTATTTTTATGCACAATGTGCAAGTAGCAAATGTTGTAAAATGTTATTTTATTTTTATAAATATAGGACTCGAAAAATTATGGCAAAGCGAAACCGTCAGTGTTACTAAGGTACAACATAGGTAAAATTTGTAATGTTACAGTGGTGTGTGCGTCTTGTAAATAGTCAATTTTTACCATGTCATATTGTGAAATGAGATTATCCCGATTAAAACATTGACACTAGAATCTCTGTATTTTTTTATTCAATAAATCCACATACAAATATAACAGTTTTTAATAATATACAGAATGAATATAACAAAGTAAACATTTCACGTATAAGATAATTATTAATTAATTGTTTTTAAGTGGTAAAAAGTATTAGTAAGAAAAAACAAATTATCCAGGTGCATCTTCATCAAAAAAATGAATGTTTTCCAAACCTTCAGGCATATAACTGAGCCCGGATTGGTCACGATGTCTCAAATTATATCCTTTACCGTATCCTGCAAAAGATAAGGCTATTAATAGTTGTTATTATAATTATCAATAAATGATAATGTATAGAGGGTAACACCTACAGGTAAATTTCTAAGGAATTAATAAAATTTCTAAGAAATCTATTGTTAACTGCCACGCCGGCGTGTCCGCGATCGTGGAGGGATTAATAAAAGATCTTAGACCTTCACTATATATATAAACCTAACTTGCGAGTACTAAAAACAATCGTCCACCTGAGCAGTTTGGTACTCGGCAGCCAATCTCACGAGACTAACCAACTGCTGGAGATATAATTATAGTTCACAAGTACGCAGTAGTGCAGCAGTAAGACAAGTGCATTCTATTCTTTTTACTATCAAAGTCAAGAGATCAGGCGCATCACCGACGGCTTTTCGCGCTCTCCGAGGAACGGGGGTCAAACGACGCCAACTTTACAACTCCTAGCTGTACCTACTAAGTATTGAAAAAAATCTCAACAATTATACTTGACCCTATTGGTCATGTACTTTTTTTTTAACGTTGGGAAATGCATTTACGCACGAGGTGTGGGACTCACCGGCAAAGCCAGTACTACCCACTAAAACCCAACAAAACCTTCCCCCGTCTTAATGGGGCGTCGCAGGATAGATTACGCATTCAACTACGACGCCCGGACGGCAGGTCTGCCGAGGCGGGGGGGGGGTGGGGGTCATGTACCTAGGAGGACTTCCGGACCTGCAGCCGTACAAGCTTAACACAATACCAACGAGACACTAAAAATATACTATAGTAGGTACCAACAAAAATTGTAAAACACACACAAGTAATAATGGGAAATAAACAGCGCCAAGCAAAAAGCTTAGTTAACAATTTCTTATACAATCTGTAAATTTCTAAGAACCTCTCGAACGAACCAGTGTTTTCCCGAGGGAATGAAAGATTTCTCTGTTGTAAAAAATTCCTAAAATATTGGACCTAAGAATAAATGACTTAATATTTATTCGTAGTACTGGCCAGAGAAAAAAGTTATCACTACACGCAATATTTGGTATAAATCCGTTCAGTGTTTTTTTGCGTGAAAAGTAAACAGATATACATATAGTAAACAGACAAACAAAAATATCAACAACATTTTTTCAGGGTCTATATTCTGTACACAATACGTAACAGTAACTGCTTTTAAAAAAATATAATAAAATATTTATGTACAAATTTCACTTTCATACTCTTAATTATATTATGTATTTACGATTATTATTTTTTATAAGAAAAGAAATAAGAATCAACTTACAAATATGGACAATTATAACTGTACACTAGTTACGTCCGCGTGGAATTGTGTCAAGAATGCTAGCTGCATTTCTCAGCTAAATTATAGCAATCTTTAAGCGAAAAAGGAGCCGGCTTTTCTGTCCTCAGTAGAGGCGGTAAGACGATATTATGTTTGTTTAGAAGTGTTTAGAACTTTGACTCCTTGGGCCAAGGGTTATATAAAGGCATCATTTTGACTAAGCGAGGCTTATTTACGCAACTTGAGTAGTTTAACATTTTACGCCGCGGCCTCCACATTAGACCGTAGACGCCATCTCCTTACGTGGGAACTACTTACGAGCTTAGCTTACAATGTACGCTACACCTTTACTATATAAGTACGTATAGATTCCTTAAGTAAAATGAATTTGAATACAAATGATGTCTAAATACCTAAATCCTTTAAACCTGTCTGAGAAAACCTAATATTTCAAAAGACACATGAAGTCCGCAAAACCGGACTTGGCAAGTGTGGTGGACGCGCCTGATCCGTCGCATTGAAGAGAGGGCACCCAGCAGTGAGACGTTAAGGGATGAATACATACCTAAATCCTTCATAAGCTTAGTGGGTGCATTGCGCAGGTGCAAGGGCACAGGGGGCAAGGGGCCCTCCGCCAGGCCCTGCTGCACGCGCCGCATCGCGCGGTACACGGCTTGGCTCTTGTCGGCGCGCGCGAGGCGCACGGCGCACTGCGCGAGCAGCACGTCGCACTCCGGCATGCCCACCTGCTGGCAGCCTTGCAGGCAGGACACCGCTTCCACTAACGCGCTTGGGTCGGCTAAGCCTTATGATTAGAATAGAATATAACATTATTAATGACACCGCTGAAAATATAAAACAACAAATAAAAAAAGATTAGATGAAGAAAAAAAACAACACAAACAATGATATCTGTACAGCAGTATACTATTACAAAAAGGTCACTCGGACCGGACCGAACTTTCAATGACCGCATGAGAATGGAAACCGATTTCAACAAAAAGATTATATATTCAATTCCATATACTAATAAAGAAATAATCCATCCTTACGGCTTGGATAACAGTAACTTATTATTGCGAAATGCGTTTGATGGACTTCTCGTTCTTCCTATTAATGCGCATATTCTCAAAAAGGTATACCACCTTTAATAAGAGCACCTACGACCTAGGCGTATATTATGCATGCGCGACTTCAGCGTTCATAAATTGGACGTAGTTATGCAAAATAGATCCATCTAACTACAAAAACTTCTTTTGAGAAAATGGGAGTTTTAATAATATTTCTATAACAAATTAACAAGAGCGCAGTTTTTTTGGGTAGTTAGTTAATATTGGGTATTTTATCTACTTTTTGTATATAAAGTGATGTGTATGTATGTAGGTGCCATTTATGATAGTGACTCAAAAAACAATTTCGTGGGCTGGTTTCATTTTGCATAACTACATCCAATTATAAAAATGCGGAATACGATAAAAAATCGGCACGTCGATAGTCGCCGTGTGTAGAGGCCTGCGCTGGATTTACACTAGGGGCATTCGGGGTTAGTGCCAAAGGCGATTAAATTCGGTGGGTGGGAAATTTTTTGTCTTTGTGTTATCGAAAATGTTTTTTTTTTTATTTTACAAAAAATGAAATATAAAAAAAGATTAACTAGTAGGTACATTTTTCAAAAAATTGATATTATATATAAATTATTTCTTTGTATTTTTCAAAAAAATTATAATAAAAAAAAATTAAACTCAAGATTTCATTCAAAATTCCGAACTTTACTACTTACCAACGTCCTCCGCCGCGGCGCGCACGAGCCGCCGCGCGACGTACAGCGGGTCCTCGCCCCCGTGCAGCGCGCGCGTCGTCCAGTACAGCGCGGCGTTGTCGTCGCTCGCGCGGATTGACTTGTGTATGGCTGACACGACGTTGTAGTGCTCTTCGCCTTGCCGGTCGTACAGTATGTGCGAACGCTTAAAATATTATAAGTTTTAAATATTTAAATTGCATGCTGTGTAGCTTTAGGTGGAGTGATGGTGTGTTGAGATAAACAAAGTACTTTACCCGAGTATAAGAATGATTAATGAAGCATTTTTCTTAAATAGCTATCTATAATCTATATTTGGTCTAGACTCTAGACCACGAATGTCTATTCGTTGAGGGTAGTCAGGACCAGCAAGCAACGTCATATATCCTACTGATATTATAAAAGTGAAATTTGTATTGATGATGGATGTATGGATGAGAGTTTGTTACTCTTTCAGGTAAAAACTACGAAACGATTTTGATAAAAAATAATATAGTTTATACAACACAGTATCATATTGGCTATAATGTATAAAGATATAGTGTAGATATATTAACGGACTACGCGAGCGGAGTCGCGGGAAAGCATTAGTTTGATCACAGTGTACTAAAACATACAGTCTTGTAACAAAAGAGACTAGAGTTGATAGATTTAGAAAGTTGCATTCGCTTTTAAAGTAATAGATAACTCCATCTGCTATGGGTGAAATAATTAGTTATGAAGTGATTTTGTTAAAAAATAATTATTATTATATGATGAAGGCATTCAATATTCTCATAAAACATTAATCATAAAATAAAAAAATGGCCACATATTGTAAAATGTGCCAATGTGTAAAATCTGTTATACCTTAATTCCATTTTTCATATCTTCCAAGCTTATAAACTTTGAAGTGGTATGTGTTGAAACAGAGGGACCTGCATTAAGCACAAGCTCTAAAGCTCCGAGTGCGACCCGCGCATCTCCATCGCAAACTTCTGCTAGCCAGCGAATAGATTTTCTTTCTATTATATATCTAAAACATTAAGTGAAAGATGTAACAAATTTCAGCTATAATTAGGTAAACAGATATTTTTATATATGTAAATTTATTTCACTCTATATTACTTACTTTTCTTTATCACATTCACTTTTAGCCTTATCATCTAAGTTATCAACTATCACAGCCAAATTATTTCTTATAACAGCCCTTTCTAATATTTGCCATACTTCATCTATTGTTAACTTGTTGAGAACAATGACTCTACAGCGACTCAGCAGGGCATTGTTTAAACTGAATGATGGATTCTCTGTTGTTGCACCAATTAATGTTATTGTACCATTCTCCACATGTGGTAAAAATGTATCTTGTTGTAATTTGTTAAATCTAAAACAAATTATTATTTATAATATATGTATTAATGTTTTGTAATTTAATTTTATTAAATACTCGCATTCCTATAATTATATTATTATTATAGGTATGTTTTAATATTTTGAATGGAACCTTAATTCTTTTTCTAAAATGAGTGTAGCCTAAGTTACTCCTAATAACATCAGCTTCTGCCAGTGAGTCACGTCAAACAGATATTTCAATTTTATTTATGTGAATAGATTTAATTTTATTAAATAAGATTTTAGTAATTTTATTATTTTATGTATTTTAATAACATTGCAACAAAATTATAGGAGCTAGATTATAACAAATATTTTCAGTACCTATGTATCTCATCCATAAACATAACAGTTTGCCTCTGATATTGGGCTTCATTCTTAGCTATCTTTACAGCTTCTTTCACATCATTTATACCAGACATAGTTGCAGATAGCTTCACAAAACGCATATTATTTAGCTCTTTACAAATATTTGATATAACATTAGCTATTGATGTCTGAAACACAAATAATAAGCTCAATCTTTGATGTTATTAAATTACTTTACATAAAGATAGCATATTTTCTAATTGACTACAAGTCTAAGCCAAATTAAAGTGGTTTTTTGTTTAATTGCATTGAGTATAATATGTATCTAAACTGTGGCTTAAAGGAGGCCTATGCCTAGCAGTGGGCTGTTAATAAGGTGTAGTTATTATATTATTATACATATATTAAGGTAAAGATTAATTAAACTAGTAAACTACATTTATGGTAAAAGAAAATTTTCACCTTCCCACATCCAGGTGGTCCCCATAATATCATATTAGGTATTTTTTTCTTTACTAACATAGAATGTAACATAGATCCTGTACCAAATGATTGAACTTGTCCAACAATATCATCAAGGCAGTTAGGCCTCATAGATTCTGCCAATGGAATATTTTTATGGTCATTTGGAACTGAAGAAATTATTTTGTCTTTCAATGATGACTTAGATTTCATTGGTTGGAAATCCTGTAACAGAAAATTTGTTTGATTACACATAAGCTTTATTTTAAAATAATAAAACATTCTTAATTCTTTACCTTCGATGTAGATGTACTACTAACTGGACTTATATCAATTTTAGTTTTCTTGTGGTGAAAACTTTCTTCTAAATGAGAACTATTCCTTTTCGATTGATTGCTTGATAAAGAATTTAGAAAAAGGCACTTGTTTACATGTTGTTCTATAACTTCTTTTTGAAACCTTTTATCGCATACTGGACAAGAAAGTACATCGTTATTTTCAGTGGGTTCTTCTAGTTTATTCATATTTGCAGGCTCACTTCGCAAATAGCAAAGAATATTTAAGTCATTATTAATTAATATCTTAGTTCCAGATCTATTTCATATAAACACACTATATAATATCACGCACGATCACAAATGATAAAAATGAAAACTTATTTTATAATAAAAAATTAAAAAACAATAATAAAACAATTAACAAATATTTGAGAGCTGTAGCGGGAAGCCGCCTAAAATTTAATTGAAGAATCGATTACCAGACTCGATTTGAATTTTTCAAATTTCAATAATTTACAATGGTTTATTTATTTATATGTTTTATGTTTAAATTATTAATATTTACTAAAAAATAATTAAGATATATTTATGTATACTGAATAACTTCCTATATCGATTACCTAATATTAGCTTTTTGTTTTATAATCGAGTCAATATCACTCATCATATACCACTCGAGAGATTAGTAAATTCATTCATTGATACCAACACCAATCTATCAAATATCAATGGTCTCAATCTGTATTCTGTCAAAACTCAAAAGTCAAATGTCAATGTTGTGCTGCGACTTGAGGACTGAGGTTCGATACTGTTATTTGTTAAGATTTAGAAAGTTCCACGAAAGATGTTTTTTAATATAACGTAACTTTTTATTAGTATATATTTTTAGTTTTAAACTTAAATGTTAACTATAGTATTGAAAGTTTATTTAAAGTGGCTAAAAAATAATTAATGATGATGGATACTAAAAAATCATTAAAAAATCGTAAATCACCTAAGAATTTAAACGAGGTCAGTGAACTCTCTGAATCCGAAAAATGTTATTCACATAAAGCCTTAACAATTTCAAAGAGAGAAGTGGTAAGTACTGGTGGGTATTTATAAAAATCTTGATAAATAATTAAAACACGTAATTTTACTTATTGTAATGTATAGGGTGACGGAGCTCCAGCTGAAAATGAGATGAAAACTAAAGAAAATATTCAAAATACTGAAGATGTAGATAAAACAATCCAGAGCATATATCTTCGAGTGGAAATTGATGTGGTTTTTATTGGATTAATGTTATTAGCACTTTGTACCAGACTTTATAACTTAGCAGAGCCGAAATATATTGTGTTTGTATACATGTTAAAATAATTTATATGTACAATATTTAATATTTATAGCAAGTTGACAATCCTAATTTATTAAACATATTTATTCTTTTTAGATTTGATGAATTGCATTATGGAAGATATGTTACTTTATATACAAAAGGAGTTTTCTTTTTTGATGCTCATCCACCATTAGGTAAACAAATGCTTTATTTAGCAGGACATCTCGCAGGTTATGATGGTAACTTTACCTTTGATAGAATTGGGTCTCCTTATACTGATTCAGTACCTATTAAAGCATTTCGATTAATACCTGCTCTATGTGGAAGCTTAATTGTCCCCATCACTTATCAATTAATGCTAGAAATATCTACTTCCCAGTGGACAGCTATACTTGCTGCAATCTTAGTTTTATTCGGTAAGTCTCTGCTATAAATTTTTCTTTCTACTAATATGTATTCAAACTTAGTTTGTTGTTTGATATGTGTATCACACAATTATAATATAATTTTAATATTTTTTACAGAAAATTGTTTTTTGACACAATCAAGATTTATGTTACTGGAGAGCATCCAAATACTATTTGGCTTACTGGGTATACTATGTGTTATTAAAAGTACCAATAAAACTGGTCCGGTTTCAGTAATATTACTAACTATCGGTGCATTTGCTCTAGGTTGCTGTTTCTCGTAAGTATTAAAAATAAATCAAAGTATAATGTATTTTGTATTGTAAAGCAAAATTTAAGTTTATTCATACTGAATATCTTTATAACATTACTATGTACAGTAATTTATTAATATTTAAATGTGTACTGAAATATAAACTAATTTATATTGAAATTATTAAAGAAAAAGTACATTTTAAATGCAATCATAGCTTACCTTCCTTGATGGAAAAGTGTTGTCATATATTTTATTTATTTTCAGGGTGAAATACTCAGGGCTGTACACATATTTTCTGGCAATATTTTTAGTTGGGCGCCAAATTTGGCGATATATTGGAGAAACTGAATCAATTTTGAAACTCTGTTTATCAGCTTTATGGAGATTCTTCATTCTCATTTTTGTGCCATTAGCTGTTTATATAGCAGTATTTTACGCTCATCTTTCAATGCTCCCCAAAGCTGGCCCACATGACAGTGTGATGACCAGTGCTTTCCAGGCATCACTAAAAGGAGGCCTAGCAAGTATCACTAGAGGACAACCATTGCATGTTTCCCATGGATCACAAATTACTCTCAGGTATCCTTTTAAAATTTAGGAGTTTAAGCTACACAGCGGCTCACTATTAAAAAAAAGTTAAAAATATATGAATCTAAGTTATTATTTAGTATGAAATAGACAAAAATAAGCTTTTTCTTAATGTTGGCATGCATTTCCATGCATGCCTTAAAATAGGGCCTTAGGTAGTACAAACATAACATTATTACTATTCTATGTAATGTATATTGACTTGGGAATTTGTCTCTTTTTATTGTTAACTATTGACTGTATACCACAAATCTAACGAAACTAGTGTCTTTTATAATTTCCACTTGGATCTATCCATCAGTGAAAGTTCCATCAAAATCGGCTTAGCCATCCTAGATATTAGTGGGTACAATAAGAGAAAGTTAGTATGTTTGGTATCTAATTCTTTTGTACTTCCGTACTAATAACAATGTTAGTTCAATAACAGATGTTTATTTTAAAAAACTTATCAAATGACTTATCCTCGCTTCACTCGGTTGAGTCCCTAGGTACGTTTTAATTTTTTTGAACGGGACCGTAATTCTTTTTCGAAACTAAAAGTAACCTAAGTTACTCCTTATAACACCAGCTGTCTGTCAGTGAAAGGCCCGTGAAAATCTGTCCAGCCGTTTTGGAGATTAGCCGGAACAACAAACAGACAGACAGTTCTATATGTACACTTTTCATCCAAATTCGTCGAGCCGTTTCAGCATGGAGTTACATAAAGACACACAAACCTACAAACTCGCATTAATCATAGCAGTCCGATAAATTATTATCAATGTGAATGACTATACATGTACAATTTCCATACCCATAGGCATTCCCACGGGCGCACATGTTGGTTGCACTCCCACGCACACGTCTACCCGGTGCGGTATGACGACGGACGAGGCTCCTCCCACCAGCAGCAAGTCACATGCTACAGTTTCAAGGATGTCAACAACTGGTGGATAGTGAAGCGTCCTGAACAATCTTCCCTGGTCGTGTCCAATCCCCCGGACATCATCCGACACGGGGATACAGTGCACTTACTCCACGGGATTACGAGTCGTGCGCTAAACTCGCATGATGTCGCTGCGCCCTCGTCCCCACAGTCACAGGTTAAATTGCAAAAAATATCCACCTCTTATAGTAGAAAAGTTACATTTCAAGTGTTCAAGTTTTTTAATAAGAAATTACATACATATTTTGTTATACATTTTTTATGTATAAAATATGCAAAAACATTTTTATTTTCGTATTTATAATTTTTGTTTGCCTTTTATTATTAATAAACTAAACCGATTTGATAGATTCTTTTCCAAATCCCAATTGGGAGATTGAGATGTGAAAACGAAGCAAGTATTGTAGCATTATAACGTAAGCTATAAACGAAGCAAATACTGTAGCAATATAATAAAATTTCAGGAGGTTTCTTGCTACATCGACTACAACGTATCGATGCCAGCTCAGAACCTTTGGCGGGTGGAAATAGTGAATCGTGAAAGTGATGATGCGACCTGGGACAGTATCAGGTCTCTCGTAAGACTGATACACGTAGATTCTGGTTCTGCGCTACGCTTCAGCGGCCGACAGTTGCCGGCGTGGGGCTTCCACCAGCACGAGGTAGTCGCGGACAAGGTCGTTACTCATCAGGACGCTGTGTGGAATGTTGAGGAACATCGATATACAAAAGGTGGGTAGATATCCGTTATACTACTTACCTCAGAGTACCTGGAATCACTCCTGGTCCATCATACACCACAAGACTCATTCTTGTGGTGTGTGGTGTGATTCCAGCTCATCAGCCATGATACTTCTATTAGCACCAGAAAGAAGTTCGCAGCAACGTCCTCACTCATCAGGGCACTGTGAAGCTTTGAAAAACTTCTAGATTAAGGTATCTACTAGTATCTAGTATTGTCCATTGCAGTCTTGATTCCAATAAATATATAATTTTTATACTAAAGGTGAGGCTTTGTGAAACTCTATTGCTTTATCCCCATATCTCGAAGACTAAAGTCCTGTGCCAATCTCTTATCTCTCACCAATGCAAGCGAGAGTACGTTTTTGTCTACGTCCACATGAGCTGCACTATTATTAGTGAGCTTGTGAGGGCTGATTGAAATCGGTCTTTAGGGAATTACTTAATAACTAAATAATATATAAATTACAGCCGAAGACAGACGGGAGCGTGAGCGCGAACTAGTCTCAGCGGAGATGATCCCCACGGCGGCCACACAGCTGTCATTCTGGGACAAGTTCATGGAGCTGCAGTACAAGATGGCGGCGCACGCGGGCGACGCGCCGCAGGGACACATGTTCGCGAGCGAGCCGCCCGAGTGGCCGCTGCTGGCACGCTCCATCGCTTACTGGCTCTCGCCTAACTCTAATGTTAGTATTTCATTATTTATGTCAAAGTATAAAATATATAATCATATATCAACCTTACTCGATCGATTAATTTTAACGGAAATGCTGTCAAATTCAAGGGCTGTACAAACACCAAATTTCATTTTCAACGGTTAGTGCTGTTATGACATCTCGTGGTAAGTTACAGCTATACGCATTCAACCTAATGTAATGTAAAGTGGACTCGTTTTCCGCACTTAGACTCTCTTCTGGTCCGTTGTGCGTGCGCATTCAACCTATAGCCAGTACCCGACCGTACGCCCCGTCTGATGCTTCCATTAGAAGACTATGTATGGAGCTAATGTTATATAAGCGAAACGAAATTGACTCATAAGAGTTAGTGAGTGAGTGTTTGTTATTGTTTCATGCTGTAACGACTCAGCTGATGTAGCGACATCAACTGAGTCGTTATGCATATTATTATTATGCATTATGTATATTATGCCTGTTGGCAAGGGACTGTGAGTTTCTCACTCACTAAAACCCACAGTGGAACCCGTAGCCGCAGAGCACCAAAGCGTTACTGGTGCAGGATCGCTTGTACACACACAGCTTCAAACCGCAACGGTTATGGCCTGAACTAACATAAAGGCTCCTTAACTTCATACATACTAAACATATACATTTGTTGTTGCAGGCTCAAGTACATCTAATCGGTAATTTAATGACATGGTACGCTGGCACATTGTCAGTGCTATTATATGGAGTGATGCTCGGCGTTTACGCAGTACGCCGGAGACGAGCTGTCTTCGACCTTAACTCTTACGTGTCACAAAAATTTTACGATGCTGGCTGCATACTCTACTTGGGGTATTGGATACATTATCTGCCATACTTCTTTATGGACCGAACCCTTTTCCTTCATCACTATTTACCTGCTTATATCTTCAAAATCCTTCTCTTAGCTCACGTCATCGATCATATCTATTATATTTTATGTGTTCGAGAAAATGTAAAATCATACACCCATGTGTTCATTATATGTGTCACAATATGGCTGGCATATGTAATTATTACGTTTAAAAAATTTAGTGCACTAAGCTATGGTAATGTGGATTTGACTGAATCTGATCTCTTGAATCTTAGGTGGAAGGATACATGGGATTTCATTCTTCATAAAAAGAATTAAGTTTACAGCCTTAGTAGAAATAAACATGTACATTATTTTTAGTAAAGACTGTAGTTCTAATAAACATTGTAGAGATTTTTAATCTGTAAAGGCTTAAAAAAAGGAGAAGAATTAAAAATCAATAATCAATAACTATAAATAAATTTTTAGCAGACTTAAAAAATGGATATTGATTTTTAATTCTTTTAATCTAGCAATAATGATTTTTAATGAGATTTTTTTTATATAAACTTAAAAGAAAATCAGAGATTGTATTACTCATTTATTAAATTAAGAGATTTTTTATTTTTGTAAAATATTTTTTAAGAAAGCATTATCAAAATACTCTCTATGGGTACAGCTTCATTTCTAATCAGCTGATGCCATTTTAGTCACATAAGCTACATATTGTTTATAAATATTGTACTATATTTTTTAAGTATTATTAAGAATTTTCCATGTATGACATTGTTATTATCAATCTGCATTGATATTAATATAAAACATCTCTTCCGTCCAGTAAAAATAATAAGTGAATTAAAGTATTATTTTGATAAATATTATTTTTAATTTAATAAATCATTGCATTTGTAATAAAAATATATAGGTTGTTTATATTCCAAGGTTTGCAAGTATATTTATTACTCTAAGCATATTGAATTAAACCAAGTACCTAAATAAGGCCTAGTAGATTAACTAACCTCATTGGTAAATTTATATATTTCATCACACATACATACACACATGCAGGCACACACACAAAATTACTTTGAAACGTAATATTATCTTGTGTTGGATTCTTATATGACAGATACAGGTATAATATCATTTAAACAAAAAAAGGATTATACAAAATTATTTATTGTTCAGAAATTATTTTAACACAACTAACGCCGACTTGGTGATGGTTCCACTTCCATTGATTGCACTGGATGAACAGCCACTGATTCTACTTCTAGAGGAATCACACGCTGCTTCAAGACTGCAGTTGTTCCAATAGGATATCTGTATGAACCTTGTTTTTTACCCTAAAAGTATAAAATAACGATACATGGGTAAAGCAATCAAGCTGTTTTTTTCAATCAAAATTAAATTAGAACTATTTTCTTAACATGTTCATTTATTGTTGTTTTTTTAAACACAAATTGAAATTAAAAAAAAAACTGACCTTGACATTAGCCTCTTCATAAGTTCTCAAATATTGTGCAGGTCCAGTAGTACGAATAACACACAGATCTACATTAGAACCAGAGCCAAGATCATTGAAAATACCAGCAGCAATTGCATCTCTTACTAGCTTTTTCCCTTCCTCTTCATTCATATTAGGCTTCCAGTTAGATTCAAAAACTGCCATAGCTGCTAAAGAACCAGAACCTGATGCGAAAAAGATGATTGAAGATGATTTTAGAAACATGATAATTTACAATACCTACAAAGAAAATTAATTGTTACTCACCCATTGTAGCATAAGGAAGTTTATCAACAGATCCATGGGGGTAAATGCAATAAATATGAGGACCAGTAGTATCAACACCCCCAAGAACAAGGGCAGCTCCGATATGACCTTGGTAGCGGAATAGCATGCGTTTAAGTAATGTTGCAGCAGTTTCCACAGGAACTGTACGGCCGGTGTGTAGACGTTGCAGCTCAAGTTGAGAAGCCACTGTTTGAGTAGTCATCTCGGTGTCAGCAGCAGTACCCGCTCCACAACAATACATATTTCCTGCCAAGTAATGAATTTTTTCACAGTTTTTGTCGGACACTACTGTATTTTCTGTTGCTCTAGTATCAGCACCCAAAATGACACCATCCGCGTAAATGATACCCACGATGGTGGTACCGGTCTTCGTCGCTTTGGGAGCAGGAAACCCTTTCTGTGCCAGGAAGGCATTTCTGAAACCAATTTATATTTTTAGATGTACATTTATGTTATAAAATAAAACGTTAAACATATATTATTTGCATACCTTTGGCAGTTTTCAAAAGAAAAACCTGGCGCCGGAACTTCGGGAACAAGTACTGAAGCCATTTCTAATAATTAGTATTTAAAACAAGGTATATTAAAATCCTGAATACAATAGACCTATGATGAACTTTACAAAAATTATTCAAAGTGAGTTTACAGAATTGCAATTGACATAAATATGACAGCGTTGAAGCGTTCTCAAATTTGTTTCAAAGACACCCAGTATATATCTATACTCTTTGAAAGACACTGACAAGTTTTATTTGTCATCCATGCTGACAAGCCAGGCCCAGAACTCTTAAGTTACAGATTATGAACTACGAAGAAATATGATGAACATCGCATTATCGCATCGCAAATCATAGATTAACCTATTAAATTATAAAAATTATATTATTTGAATTCTTTTTGCATTTTAAAATACATATTGAAATATTTTTTTATTCTTAACAGTTTGTTGAGCTCCCCATTTACACAGCCCATACTACTTAGTACTAATTCAAATGTTATATACTATTCTTTATTGCACTTATATGTAAAATACAGAGAGTAACAAACAATAAAATTAGTTAGCAAAGGTGGACTTATCTCTAGAAGAGATCTCTTCCAGTCAACCTAAGTGAGTTAGAGAGATAGTATTAAAATGCAGGCTAAAGTGCAGTAACTCAAATGTAAATACTTAAATAAATATATATTATATATACATATAACAAAACATTATACATATTATATACATAAATATATGTACATACTACTACATACACAAATACATATCTATATAATATAATGCATAATAATAGTAGTTAATATAATTATTGTGGAATAACTTGGGTGAGAAAGTGCTGTTTTATTTTCTTTTTAAAGGCAGTTATAGAGGGGCTTAATTGGATGTCTTTCGGAAGTTTGTTCCAGAGCAATGCGGCATACACCGAAAAAGATTGTAGAGAGAACTTAGTGTTGCTCTTGGGTATGTCAAGCATCGCAGTAATGCAAGGCCGCCTGGAACGAGTAGGAGTAGGGAGAATTTGGAAGCGAGAACGAAGGTATGAAGGAGAATTGGGATCATTAAGAATATTGAAGAGGAATGAAAGGATATGCATATCACGGCGAAGGCGGATTGGGAGCCATTTAAGTTGAGCACGAAAGTTTGATATATGGTCATGCTTACGCAAGCCAAAAATAAAACGAATAGCGAGATTTTGAAGACGCTCTAATTTGTTGAGTTGCTCCTCAGTCACATCTAAATAGCACACATCAGCGTAGTCGAGTATGGGGAGAAGAAGGGTTATCACGAAGTTACAATACTAAAGTAATAATGCTTTGTAAATAATACATCTTTTTAAATTTTCTTAAGGTAACCCTGTTAATACGAGGCTGTTTTTTATTGGGTATTATGAAATGAAAAACAAATGTTATAAAATGAATCTTATTGCTATACAAAATAACGCATAATTTATTATTAACAATTATGGTACATTTGACTTTTATCGCCTGAAGTAGTAAAGACCAATGAGAGCAGGACGAATTGTCTTTATAGTGCTGTCAACAGAGTCTTGTCAAAAGATGAAAATGTATCGCGTATTCGATATAGAAATTGGCTCATAAATCTCGTTTTTCTTGTAAAATAGTTCCTAGATAGACTCTTTTAAAATGTTACTCAAAAGTGCGAATGTTTGCTTTATATACTTCTTGTCATCATTGATTGTGACTCTTGCCGGTCGTGATTTTTACCAAATCCTCGGTGTGTCACGTTCGGCCAACACCAATGAAATCAAGAAAGCTTACAGAAAATTAGCAAAAGCACTACATCCAGATAAAAATCAAGATGATCCAGAAGCATCCCAAAAGTTTCAAGACCTAGGAGCAGCTTACGAGGCATTATCAGACCCTGAGAAAAGGGAAATGTATGATAGGTGTGGGGAGGAGTGTCTGAAGAAGGATGGCATGATGAATAATAATGATCCTTTTGCTAGTTTCTTTGGAGATTTCGGTTTTCACTTTGGTGGCGAACCCCAACAGCATGAGACTCCAAGAGGTGCAGATGTCATTATGGAACTCAGTGTTTCATTAGAAGAACTCTATAATGGAAACTTTATTGAAGTAAGTAAATTGATAGATCTTTAACATTTTATTTAAATAAAAGATTTTTTTTCTTTGAATATTTTTAGATGGAATATCATTTCCTTATCTTTTTAAAAAATTGAGGATAAAAAAATACTTTATTAATTAATCATTGGGATTGATAGAAAGTTCATTATAATGTCTATGTTTTTGTAAATTTCTTGTTAGGTATTATATTTTATATTCACTATTTTGAGATAGTCTTATAATACATTCTTAAGTTTTTTGATATTATTGGAAATATTCAATTACAAGTCACAAAAACATAACATGCACATCAATATTTTTCACAGATTACTCGGAACAAACCAGTTATAAAGCCAGCACCTGGTACTAGGAAGTGTAATTGTAGGCAAGAGATGGTGACCAGGAACCTAGGCCCTGGGCGTTTTCAAATGATGCAACAAACTGTATGTGATGAATGTCCTAATGTTAAACTAGTCAATGAAGAAAGACTGCTGGAAGTAGAGGTATATACATATATACATTTGATATAAAATGTTCAAATAATTTAGAGATAAAATTAATTAGGTATAAACTGATGACATTTTGTCATAGTTTATGTATATAATGATTATTTGATTTGCAACTTTTTTTAAACTTACAATTACTGATAACAAAAAAAAATTGTTATATTTCATATTTAATTCAATATTTATTTCTTATTTCTCATATAATAGGTAGAAGTAGGTGCCCCAGATGATCATAAGTCACGATTGAGAGGTGAGGGAGAGCCCCACATGGATGGAGAGCCAGGAGACTTAATCTTTGTTTTTAAAACTGAAAGGCACCCACAGTTCACGCGGAAGGGTGATGACCTTTACACAAATGTAACAATTTCATTACAGGTAATAATTGTTTGTACAGATAATTCTTAAAGTAATGATTGTTGTGATACAAAATTTTCATCATCTTCAATATCTATTTTTATGGTAAATATTGCTAAATGTATAATGTAATATCAAGTTTCATAATAAAATTATTGTTTAAAGTCATAAAAATTAAAGTTATGTAATTAAATAATAATAACAAGAGAATTGAATTGAACACTAACAATCTATGCCATTCATGATATGGAATTCTTTTAAGTTTACATAATATTTACCCTCCAACAGGATGCTTTGACTGGTTTCACATTAGAAATTGTTCACTTGGATGGACACAAAGTCAGTGTATCTCGCGACAAGGTGACATGGGCTGGAGCGCGTGTGCGTAAGAAGGGAGAGGGCATGCCTAACTTTGAGAACAACAATCTACATGGTAACCTGTATGTCACTTTCGACATAGAATTCCCAAAGAAAGACTTCTCTGATGAAGAAAAAGAAGGTAATGATTATTTTATACATATAATAAAACTTGTAAAATGTTAGTTTCAATTTAGTTTTTTATTTTATCATTTGTATAGGATATGCATATTAATAAAAATATGTTGGGACATTAAAACACAGCACCATCTAGTTCCATGATAAGCTATGAGGCTTGTGTTATGGATAACAGATAGTTGATACACTACACATATATAAACTTTAAATCATACATATTATATATATAAACACCCATGACTGGAGTACAAACATTTATGCTCATCACACAATGAATGCCCCTAGCAGGACTCGAACCCCCGACCGCTGGCATAGCAAGTAGGGTCACTACACACTGAACCAAATGTGTCGTTAATTATTTATTAATTAACTTGTATTTTTTTGTTTGTTGCAGCTTTGAGAAAATTACTAAAACAGTCGCCGAATAATAAAGTATACAATGGACTCTAGTAATATACTGCCAATTTTATTTATTTAAGTAGTGAAATGAGTGTTACATGAACAATGTGGAATGTGGAGCAAGAAATTGTTTTGCTCAAATATGAAGTTTTTACAAAATAAAACAACTATTATTTGAAACAACTTCTTTTTATTCATTTAGAAAAATAAAGATTATTTTAATGTGTCTACACAAAACGTTTTTCCTTATTTAAAAATTTAATATTAAATATTCATTAAAATTGAGTAGTGAACAATTTTTTTATAATTGCTAAACAGAAAAAGTTGGTGCAAATCATGGTATTTTTTTTATTCTCGTATTGGCCTAAAATCACAGTTCAAGTCATATTTGAACAACTAGGCCACTATGACAGAGGAAAAAAAACAATATTTGGCCTTTTTATTAATTATGTATTTAATGAGAATGTTAAAAGTTTAATAAATACATGAGAATATAACTTGTTTACTGATACTTGATTAAAGTTAAAAAAATAATCAAAAGCAATAATAAAATAGATTTAGAATAGAGAGACTTAGCCAGAAATTTATAAAACTAGTTAGCAGGATGTTAACTAAACCTGCATAGGTATTTAAAAATTTACTATACATGGATGGATATTTCGTTTTTTAATATTTCTTAATCTTTCATTTAAGAAAAATTCATGCTTTATAAAGTTGTAATTAAAAAAATATAATTATATTATTCACTGATTTTTAGCTATTTTTTACCAAGTAAATAAGTAAAATTAATAAAATAAAATATTAAACTGTAATATAAAATCATCATAACCAGCCTGCTTTTATCCACTGCTGACCATAAGGGGAAAATGTAATGTATACATATAATAAAATTTTGAGTCGAATCTGTACATTAAATATTTTTTGGAAAATTTTATTGACATTATATTAGTCATTATTACATACAGAGCCCGAATTTATAGCTTTTAGTATTTTTGTGTGTCTGTTTGTCTGGGAACGCATCATGAGAAAACCACTGGACAGACTGATGAAATTTGATCTGATGATAGCTGGTTATCCGGGTTAACATATACGATACTTTTACTGTGTAAAAATATATCTCTGAAAAATCTATACTAAACGTTAAAACGTAATTTTTCATAAAAATACATAATATTGCAACTTATTTTACAATTAGGAACATATCATTAATTATATACTTTTATGCTTTTATAAAATAGTCTCGGCGAGCGAGGCAACGTGGAGTCTCTCTGCCACGTGGCAGGTAAATATAACCGGCGCGATTGTATGTCATCAATACTTTCATTTCATATCCAATAAATGGGTACCGGGATGCAAGGGGATGAACTTGTACCCGCTTGCCATGAAGCCACGCGGACATGACTTGTACAGTAATAACTAAGTGTGCATATGTTTTGTATATATATATATAAAATTTTAATTTAGATGTCTGCGAAAAAGGCTAGAAAAACATTTACTCACAAATATTTAAAGAAATATTGCATTTATGAATAAAAACAATAATTTTAATCATATAAAGATTAGTTAGTATGCTGCATTCCTACGCATCCGATACCGATATATCGGCGATATCGTCGGTTTTCCGATATATCTTATATTTAAGGATAGATAGGTTGTGTTTTCTGCTTAACAATCTTATAAAAGTGAATTTTAAATATTAATTTTTAGTCTGACCCTTAATTACTATTTTCAAAAAATAACTAATGTTCTGTTAAATTACAATTTTCAAAACATAATTGATATTTTGTAAAATTCTAAATAAATATTACTTATCTAAGTAATGCTGCTTGTCGTCGCTGTGTTTTCTATCATAAACCTACAATTTTTTACTTTTTATACATTTTGAAGCCCGCAGTGTCCGCATCGGTATCGGCGATACTTTTTTATAATTATCGGTATCGTATCGGCAGAAGTGCGTATCGATGCATCCCTAGTTGGTAGTTTATTGTGAGCGCGCACGGCGCAGCTACGCGACGAGGCAGGAGTCGTGCGCGCGCGCGGCGTCGGCGGGCGCGTGCGCGGCCTGCAGCACGGAGTTGACGACGGCGCGCGCCAGGTAGCCCAGCGACACGCCCGGCGCCGCCGCGCTCAGCGACCCCGGCGCCGACCCGCTGTCCTGTCGCAACATACATACAATTATATATTGCAATCATTTTATCACTAATTAGAGTTTAGCCCGATATCTTTATGGATATAAGTGCTTTTTGTAGGTTCTTCCGGCTTCAGTTAAAGTTTAAAAAAATGTGTTTAGTGTCAGGACACTCTTTCATACTTTCATATTTCTTACAACCTTTTACGTTTATAATATTAGTAGGATACTGGGCAACACTCCGGGGCTTAACGCATATATGTATGTGTGTACTAGCGACTTACTCTTGCTTCGCTCGGGCGCGGCCGTTTTAGGGTAGATACGTCTTTTTTTAGAGGAACCCAATTCTTTTTATATAATAAAAGAAGCCTAAATTACGCCTCAAACTTTATTGGTGTATGTGCTGTGCTGTTTTTTACTGTAATTTCAGTAAGTGTTTTAAATACAGTTTGTTTCCCAAATAAATAAATAAATTTAAAAATATACCACGTTCAGAAGATTTGAGAAACTTCTGTGTTCCGTTTCTATCTGATCGAATTTAATTTTATAAACACGTCATCGACACTTAATCCTGTATAATCTCATATGTAGCAGTAATAAAAACAAAACAATTTTTATGACAAACGTTTATCGTCACCAACAGATTAGCTTATCTAGCAGCACGTCGTGAACACTAAGAACAGTATAAAAATTCATACAGTGCATTATTGTTTAATTAAAATACTACATTTCATGGTAAATGGTTTTGAAGTTATAGCACTGAAGTGCCTCAAATAAGTTACAGCTCTACATTTCAACCTTAAAACCGTTTCCTGACTTTCACATAATAGCACGTATGACACTCGGGAGCGCCTTTCTCGCTTCTCATCCCGCAGGATAACAATTTCTAGATTGTCTGCCTTCTTCAGACGATTGTATTCAGCGCTCGATTTACACTGGGGCAGTCGGGGCTAGTGCTCAGAGCGGCAAAATTTTAGAGGTGGAAGGATAAATAAAAAAAAAATCTTCGCGTTATCGATTTTTTTTTTTATTTTCCAGAAAACGAACAATTAAAAAAGTACTCTCTAAAACTCAATACAACACATATGTATGTATGTACATACCTCGGCGTAGGTGATCTCCGCGTCGTCGAGCAGGCGGTCGAGGCGCAGCGCGTGGCGCAGGTAGAGCTCGGGGTTGCGGCGCAGGATGGTGGCCAGCACGCACAGCAGCTCCACGCTGAGCTGGCGGCGCTCGGGCGACGGCACGCGCACCAGCGCCGCCTCCACCAGCAGCGCGAACGACAGCTCCGACCGCGACATGTTCACCAGCGTGGGCTGCGCGGGGATCGCCTGACCCTGTTCAATATTTTTGTCTATATTATTAGACTTCTAGCAACTCAACCTCGTTTCGCTCGGATTCGTCCCTAGATACATTTTAATTTTTTGAGCGGAACTCTAATTCTTTTACTGAAATAAAAGTACCCTAATTTACTCCTTATAAAATCAACTACCTGCCAGTGAAAGTCTCGTCAAAATCGGCCCAGTCATTTCGGAGATTAGCCGGAACAAACAGACAGACAAAATTTTTAAAAATTGTGTTTTTCTTATAAATACCGTATATAATTCCATATGCATTTAGTAAAAAGCTGTTATTTTGACATTACAAACAGACACTTCAATTTTATTTATCTGTATAGATAATCTATATTAGTAGACTAGCATTGCCCGCGGCTCCGCCCGCGTTCATATGACCAAAACCAAATTAACAAAAAACCTTATTATTAGTATACTCGTATTAGTATATTAGTTGACCCGGATAACCAGCTATTACCATATCAAATTTCTTCAAAATCCCTCCAGCGATTTTTCTGTGATGCGGTCACAGACAGACAGACAAACAAAAATTCTAAAAACTATAGATTCGGCCTCTGTATCAATAATAATGTCTATTTCATTAAGATTTTCGAAAAAATATTTAATATACAGACTTGACTTAGTTAAAATTTTATTATATGTATAGACTATGGGAAAGTTATGTGCATGTTTGTAAGTCCTTCGCATATATATGTATACATGTAAGCATAATAAATTGTTCCGTTCCTCATCTCAAATATTCGTATAAAATCTATAAAATTACTGTGTTAACTATTCTATTTAAACGTGCTGCTTCATTTAAGCTCTGAAGACATTTGCACGTGCATCTTTAGAAACTCGTGCAGCATTGCATCAATCAGTCCATCAGGAATGAAAATTTGCCAGAATCACATCACAATTTTCCTTCTCAAATAAATTTATAATATCCGAAGGTACAAAATATGTAGACTCTTGATCAATAATGTTGTTTCGCATAAAGCTTCCATACTCGAAAGCGACATGATTAAGTTAGCAGCATTCCTTTTACAAACAGAAAGTTGTGACATACGGGATGAAATCTTTAGCTATTTTTGTTCTGTTACGCCAAAGAAGTATAAATTCTTACGTGCGTACATAAGTACACACACACACACACACACGCACGCACGCACGCACGCACGCACGCACGCACGCGAACGCGCACACGCACACGCACACACACACGCGTTTTTTTATTATGTAAGGTAACTTGAATATAAAAAATATATAAATGCTAATAATACATACCTCTATGATTAGTCCTTCAGGAGTTCGTAATAAAATATCCCAAACTTGTACGTAGAAATGTTTAGGGACTCGACACAGACAACCTTCTAACCGTCGCCGTTGTAGTGGCGTTAATCTGGTGAAGAAATAAGTTTACTCGTAAGTTGATTCATTATGATTAATTATTTTTGTTTTAGTTTTTCTCTAATTGGTGTGGTTTTTTAACAGCACATATGTTAAAAAATACAAAAGTTGACAATATTTAGAAGTTGGATAAATATGGACGTATCTAAAGCCTGAACAAAACAAACCTAAAAGCTTAAAATGTGGTGGAAATACTTCTTTTGGAGTAAAAAAATAAAAAAGTAGAATTTTGCCACCGCGACATACTGTAGGATGTGTCTGATGACATTGGATACTGACGGAGAAGTTAAGACTAGACTCAAAGAGGTATGTTTAAATTAACCATACAAATATTAATTCATAAGTGATCGAGACAATGCGAGGACCATCGTCACCTGCTGCCTGACCTCACCCACAGCTGGGTCCTGTACTAGCTTCATCCATTATGTGAAAGTTATACGTATATATAATACTTGCGACTCACCCTCGCTTCGCTCGGGTTCGTCCCTAGCTTGATTCTCCATGCAAACTTTCATCCCTATTTTCGCCTCCTTAAGAGATGATTTCTAGGGGTAAAAAGTATCCTATTTCCTTTCCAGGGTTTCAAACTATCTACTTACCAAAATTCATCTAAATCGATTCAGTAGATCCAGAGATTACCCCTACAACGTCACAAACTCCAATCTCACAAACTTTACCTCTTAAAGTTAGTAATTTATAATATTAGTTAGATATAAAATTCGCGTGTCACAGTATTTGTAACAAAACTCCTTTGCAACGGCGTGACCGATTTTTATGTGTTTATTCAGTAGGTCTGAGAATAGGACGTAAACTATTATTCATACTCCTAAATGATAAGGCTGATCCACCGCAAAAAAAAAAATTTTTTACATTTTTTTAAATTTTATTTTGTGATATAACCCTAAATTTTCATCCTATTACCAACAACCCCTATTTTTTAATAACGATTATATCATATAAATACATAGCGACGAACCAGAGCGAAGCGAGGATGACTCGCTGTATAACATAAGACCAAAGACTTTTTTTATAGATTGAACGCGAGCGAAGCCGCGGGTTCTACTAGTATTATATAATAATGACAAGAATTTTACTTATATGTATTTACTTACACATAAGTATGTATAAGGCAAAAAAATGATAGCCTATTGGTAGCGCGTTCCTTTGGAAAACCAAGTAAAACGATTTTAAATCCGAAGTCTCGCATATCTAATATATTATGTGCGAATCATTCAAATTCTAAATATTTTATTCAGCATCTATTACTAGCCATTATCATTTGCCAAACGAGGACAACATCGTGAGGAATCCTGCATGATTGAGAAAACTTAGTTTTCGAAACACAGATGAAGTCCGCTAATTCGCATTTGGCCAGCACGATGGACAATGATCCCGCTCGCATTCAAGAGATCCGTGCCTAGGAGTGAGACATTAATAAGATATAAATTATAAAGGCAGAATTATGTGGACAAAATTAGAATATGAATAAGATGTAATATGTGAAAAAAATGCTAGTTACCCCTTCTCATCCGCCCAATCCGACACAGTGAGCACCTTCTGCAACAAAGTCCTCAGCTTGTAGGGCGAGAGGCTCTCTATAGTGGCATCCGCCTTCTTCTCTTCAGGGAAGAGTTCCAGGTAGATGCGGATGGCCTCCAGCACCCAGCCCACGCGGATCTTGAGGATGCCCCGGAACATGTCCGGGTTGGTGCCAATCAGACGCCCGCAGTACAGGACTATCTCCTGTTTGTTTAGAACAGTATATTGGTTTTGAGCTATCAAAGTCACTGACAATATTTTCTTTAGGTGTTTTGGGATTACATATTCGGTGTAGTGGCTGAGGAACATTTTTAGCGAAAATCGGTCGTATGAGGAAAAGTGGATATGTTGAATCAATGGAAATGATAAATTTGGGACTTGACTTTGTTACTTCTTCTTAGTTTAATGGTCGAATTTGAATGAAATATGGAATGGGATACTTTTGGAAAGCATAGAATTAATGGAACTTTCTAGTGGTTATTAAATGAATTTTCTATCTTTCTGTCTCCCTCTCTATCTCTCTTTCTCTCCAACTTAATGGGACTCCATTCTGTCTGGTGACCACCAGACTTACCGAGTAAAGAAGTGACAAACGCACACACGCACTCACAAACTTTAACACTTTTTATTTCCCTTTAAGAAAATATTATATAAACCCTAATGTAAAAGTCACAGTTCTTTATATAAAATCTTAATAACCCTAAAAAATATCAATATATATATATAAAAAAAAGAAAAAGACCTGTTGCAGCACGGCGCCGATGATGTCGTACGGCTGTATGGTAGAGTACATGACGGACTGGATCTCGCCCGGCGTCATGGGCTTGTCGAACACGGTCTCTTTGCGGCCGATCACGCCCACTGTCAACTGCAAATATACATGTTCGTGTATTAAATACTTTTTCTTCTTCGTGTACTTCATTACTGAAGGTCGTGCTTATTCTGAAATGATTTTACCGATGTGTCGACTAGCTTCCTCCACACCAGTCTATCCTCGGCTTGTCTCAGGGCAGTCGGAATATTGAGTCCCGTTATATTTTGAATCTGGTCAGACCAGCGGGTAGATAGATGCTCGATCGCGTGATCTTTTGCCTTCAATCTTCCCTACTACAACCAGTTTGTCCAGATTGTCTGGTTGTCTCCGGGCAATGTGACCAAAATAACTTAGGACTTGTTGATAGCATATAGTGTATTAAATACAATCTATACTAATATTATTTTTATATCAGTCTTTTTTATATCAGGAACTACCAATCCAATTTGAATCATTGATAAAGTTTTTGTCTATGCTTTTTATATCCACAATATATCATAACGTAGTAGAATAGAACCGTAGTGGTGTTCCCGTTTGCCTTGAAAGTTGACGTACACAACTAATTGTAATCTCGATGTGACCTTAGAATGAATTATAAATAGGTTTTGTCGTTATGCCTAGGGCGAAGATTTGATCGATTCGAATTCGAAAATATTCTACGACCTTTAATAAAAATATGTTTATTTGAATAGACAACGAAGAGCAACGAACAAAAAAAACGTGTGTATATGTGTATTTATGTACGAAAGGAAGAAGTTATACTTCTTTGGCGTAACCGAACAAAAATACCTAAAATTTCATCCCGTATGTTACAACTCTCTGTTTGTAAAAGGAATGTAGCTAACTTTATCATGTCGCGTCGTATCGTTAAAATTTTACTCTCATAATTTTTTCCAAACGTGTCAAAAGAAGTATAACTTCAAAAATTTATATATGCGAGAGATGCATGTTGCGTGGTATGTGTGTGTGCGAGTGTACCTGCTTCCCGCTGACGAGCACGGTGGTGATGAAGGGGCTGATGGAGTCCACGGTGTGGTTGAGCAGCGAGGAGCAGTAGCGCACGGCGCGCCAGTGCCGCAGCACGCCCGCGCTGCCGTACAGGCCCTTCAGGGCTTCTAGTGCACTCGTGCCGTTTACCTGGAAGAGATTGATGCCCGATTTCACCAACGTCACATAAGTTTAAGGGATCCTTTAAGCATGGTTAGGGGGCTGTTAGGGAACAGTTTCTGTTTCACCGACAGTTAGGGGTCACCTTAATATTAAAAGGCCCCTTAAATTTAGGTGCTCGTAATATGGGCTTAAAGACGATCGTAAAATTAAATTTAATTTAGGGGATAGTTTAGGGGACTTTTAAGCTAGGGATCCCATACGTAGGTGGTAGCTTATGGGTTGTTGGTGAAATTGGGCATGAGACTGATGTAAATATTTACATTTGACACTGTGATATTATTTTGTTTAGTTTCAACATGATAACTTAAGGTACATAATTTAGATAGTAAAACTATTATATAAATCATGGAGTACTTCGTATTTTATATTATATGGAGATTATTATATGGAGCCTTAGAGCTTGTTTTCTGCTAAGTGCATGTACATTCACCAAAACCATCTATAACGCAACGTTCGTAATTTTTTTTAAACTAAGACTATACGTTAACATTACAAACACGAAAATAAAAAACCCTTTCACACCTCGTACATGGGGCCCTCGCGCTCCAGCAGTATGCCCCAGAGCTGGCACTGCGCGTACACGTTGTCGGTGTCACGCAGCGCGGCCACCACGTCGGCGGTGGCGCGGTGGCGCAGCGCGCGGACGTCGGGCGCGGGCTCGCGGTACGTGAGCGTGCGCGGCACGTCCGTCAGCGACTGGTACCCGATGTAGTCGTGCTGCAGCTGCTTGAACTGCGTGAACATCTCCGACGGGAACTCGCCCTGGCTCATGAAGTCCAAGTGTTCTGTGGATTTCATTTTATTGTTATACTAGCGGAAATCGACTTCGTTTGCGCTAAATATACAAAAAGAAACTCTTTATGCTATTAGTAATAATGTACGGAAGCCTGCACGATTTGCTGACATTCCCGCTTTATGATTACTGCTTCGCTCGCTTGGTCAGTAGCATAATGATATATAGCTTATAGTATTGCTCAATAAACGGGCTATCTAATGCAAAAAGAATTTTTAATAATTCCTGAGATTAGCACGTTCAAACAAACAAACAAAACAAATAAACAAACAAACTCTGTCTCTTTATAATATTAGTATAGATTGATTGTGAAAAATTGTATTGCTATGAACCTTAATGTAATTCTTTAATCTTTTTTATTTTCGACCATAGTGACACCCACTTATAGGCCACTGTTGGCCTATAATAGTGCGAAGAAAACATCAGATTTACAAACAAAAATTTAAAAGACAAAAAAAATTAAAATAAAAACTTACAAGTTATGCTAAAAATATTAAATCATAATATTAATCAAAAAATACCGATATTTCTTTTTAACTTACCGATACAAGAGCTTGATATAAGATTTTGTAATCTTCCCAAGCGCACTTTGACTCCATCGCAGTGACCTTTTTTAAGCATCGCGAATAAATCTAGCATCTGCTTGAAGTGCGGGTCCCTCATGTGCTCCTCTCGCACCAGCAGGCACACCGTCGGCCGCCCTGATAGACGCCAGTACCTAAAATAATATTAGAAAATAATATTTCAATATACGAGTATTTAAAAATAAAAATATTGTATAAAGAAAGAGTAATTGAAAAGATTTTTTTAAGAAAATAAGAAAAAATTGCGAATCCTTCAACATTAAGATTTGATATTTTTCCGATGGAAAGGTATCCGATGATTTTATGATTCAAATATGTTGTCTTAAAATATTATTTATAATATTAGCGACTTCCTCGCTTCGCTCGGGTGCGTCCCTAGAAACGCGAATTTTATTAATAATTTCATGGGTTTAAATTTTTTGCGTTTTTCTTAAATAAAAGTAGTTACTTTTTATAACATCACCTATCTATATCAGTGATAATCCCATCAAAACCGGTCCAGTCGTTTCAGAGATTAGCCGGAACAAACAGACAGATAGACAAAAAATATTATTATAAGTATCCTGTACATATACTCATAAGTATTTAGTAAAAAGCTGTTATTTTGACATTACAAACAGACAATTCAATTCTATTTATATGTATAAATGATTCCGTATTCTAAAATAAAAAGTTGGACGACAGCATTTATTTTTCAACATTTATTAGATTTAGCGTCTGCCATATTAACAGGAGTAAAATAAATATTTTGTGTAATTTGATCACTATTAAAAATCGATGTATCATGGAGTTTATAAGCTTAAGTGTTGAGTAATTTATAAAGTACTTATATTCTCATAATAAAACTCACTTTCCAACAAATTGTAGCTCAGTTTTTATATCGTCGATAAGTAAAGCCATATCTCTGTACAGATAGAACTCGGATACTTCGAATATAAGCGGGTAACAGAGCACCGTCATACCGCACACTCTGTAAATCTGCAAAGTATAATATTTTACTAAATTGTTTACATGTCCAATATACGCATAATTTACATAGTACCACGATTCAAATATATATATATATATATATATATATATATCTATACATATAATAAAATTGTAACTAAGTCGAATCTGTACATAAAATATTTTTTGGAAAATCTTATTGAAATAAATATTAATATACAGAGGCCGAATCTATAGTTTTAAGAATTTTTGTCTGTCTGTTACCGTATCACGGAAAAACCACTGGAGGGAGTTTGATGAAATTCGGATGATGATAGTTGGTTATCCTGGTGAACATAAAGGATACTTTTTACTGCGGGAAAATATCTCATCTCTGAGCTAAACGTTAAAACGTAGGTAACTAGGGACGTACCGTGGGGTGAGTCGCTAGTTTTACATAATATGTATTATATATTATAAAAGCGTGTTAGGTAGGTAGCGTCTGTAGGTCCCCCCCAACGTGCGTTCACCTTGTCGTGGTGGGGGGGCTCAGTAGTACCTAGTAGCGAAGCTAAGAAACGCACAGGGAGGTTGCCCACTTCGGTGGGCGGCGGGAGGTGGCCTTCTTCGGGGGGCGGTATACCATGCGGGTTGCTCCTGGTACTTCTCTGATAGCAGAGTGGACCTTGCAGCAACCCCATGGTTGTGTTGGTCTGCTTTGGCAGACCTGCCGTCGGGGCGTCGTAGTTGAATGCGTAAGCAATCCTGCGACGCCCCATTAAGACGGGGGAAGGTTTTGTTGGGTTTTAGTGGGTAGTACTGGCTGTATTACGCCGGTGAGTCCCACGCGTCGTGCGTAAATGCATTTCCCAACGTTAAAAAAAAAAAAGGTAGCGTCTGTAGGTACTCGTATATATGTTAGGATCTACTTTACACAGTAACCGATACTACGTGTAACGAATTTACATGATCCTTCATTTCAATAATAAAATACAAATTATAAGAATATTTTTTTTATGCTTTAATTTAAATATAATCTTTACCTTACTAGTTCCTAGAGAGCCCACTGGTCTAATAGGTCTTCCAGTCAACTTCAACTTCTCACAAACCCCCAATTCCCTATACACATGAACTAACTGCGTGGAGCTGCATATCTGTGTACAATTTTTATAATATTCTAAATGTAATGAATCTATACTAATAGTATTAAGTGCTAACATAAATCAGACTTTTGCCACGTTTATATTTTTTTCAAATTCCTGAATAAGATATACTTTTTTCCGTAAACTGGCATGATAAATAGAGTTCTTAAAGTCCGAAAGATAGATGTAAAAAGTAGAAAGAATAGAGTAAAAGCGATTTTGATATAACATGAGAAATGTAGGTACTACATTATTTAATTCTATTTTGACATGATTATTTGGGGAAAACAAAATTCGAAATTAGTATCACTTCATGATACTAATTTCGAATTATTATTTTTATTTTTCTATTTCAAGGAAATATTAAGTAGCAGAATTCCAAGGCCCAAGATGTAAGGCCACCAAAATCATCAAATTTTCGTCCCGCCGAAGTTTGACAGTGAAAGGAGTAGAGAGTGCACTTTTACTTTAATAATAATATCTCCTACAAAAATGGTTAGTCTCAGTGAGATTGGCCAATTAAGGCCGTCACGGAAATTGGTTATATGTCCCTAAATTATAAAGTGACTGTCGACTACTAGACCTATTGTCCTAAATATTAATATAGGAAATCAGGTCTATTAACGTAATTAATATAAGCTAGAACTTACTTGAACAGGCTCCACTTCGTGTGGAGTTTGTGTTTGGATACCATATGTGCCCATCATAGCTTGGAGTCGCATCGATTCAGCGATCAAAACAACTTGGACTACTAAATCTGTAGCTATACCCTGTGTAAAAATATAACATGTTAAATAAAGTTATATAGAACACAAAATTACAAATACCCCAAACGAAACAGAAAACAAGCCTTTAAAAGTTTTCATTATCCTATAAAGTTTAAATGGAATAAAGTAAGTACGTCGGGGTATCATCAATTAAAAAACCGGGGTAATATGACATTAAAAAGTCTAAAACAATTCCCATTTAACAAGTGGGGTTGGCTGTGAATACAGCCACATTTCACTCAAAGCACGACCGATCAGCCTCTGCCACGATTGACAACCAAGACCTAAAATAACCTACTCATCGACATGACCTAAAATAACCTACTCATCGAGTGATCGAGACATGTAAGTAGGCCTCGGAACTGGTTAAAAAAACGGTTTATTTCGGTTATGTAATGGTTAATTCATCGCTCGTTTTTTAACCAGTTAATAAAAATGAACGGTTTAGTAAGCCTAAATAATAATGGTTAACGGTTATTCTTAGAGAAAGGATGGATTTCGGTTTTTGATACCGAAATAAACCAGTTAATCCATTCATAAGTAAGTAAAGTACATGTATCCTTCTTCTAATCCATTCACCATTAGCAAAGACGCGCCAAGAGCAACCCAAAAAACTCACTTTTACCGGTTAATTTTGGTCATGGAACCTAAATTCGTCAAAAACCGATCTCCTGGTTTTAACCGGTTAAAGAAGGTAACGGAATCCTTCGTTTGGGGTCAATGACCAAAACCGGTTTAAAAATTGAATAGGTTTCCGAGCTCTGATCTAATGTGATCAAAATGTCTGACTGAATGTCAAAATATGAAATGTTTTCCAAGTGATGCTGCAGCATTAGGTAAAGGTAACCAGTTTCAGATACACAGATACTCCGTTTACTGTCAAGGGTTAGAAATGCCACAATGAGCTGCAAATCACTCTGTGCATTATAAATATTATCGGGTATTTCTCCGAGATTGCGTCCTTCATCTGATTAATCTGGCCAAATATTATTTGGCATGTCTTTAATCTTATGAGTATGTTGAATAGAGCCAAAAATGAAAATATTTTTTGGCCAGATTAATCAGATGAAGGACGCAATCTCGGAGAAATAATCCCTTTTATCACTTCTTAAAATATTAATGAAAGCGCATTCTAATTTTGAAAAGTCAATAATTGTACAGTTTCCATAGAGTACTAAATATGAAACTAAAAAAAATCTAAAAAAAATGTTTTGAAAGTAAATAAAACTAAAATTATGGTAAAAAGTAGATGAAATTTTAGTATTGATACAATATGCCTTTATGAAAGTGTTACCTAATACTTACAAATGTCGGTTTGGCCTTCGATTTGAGCATGAAAATAAAACGTTTTTTAATTTATATAGATACCTTATATAAATGAATCTTGAATCGCAATTGCGTTAATACCATATACATAATAAAATTACTAACAAAAAATTTAACAAAGATTTTTTGGAACAAAATTTACAATAATATTAAATAATAAATTAATTGCAGAAAACCCTAGAATCATCTCGCGGCTGTCATATATGTAAGAGTATGTTAGTAGCCGAGAGCGCCACACCTGTGACCTTACACGACTATATGGATTAGTAAACTGTGATAATATTCGTAGGTATAGCTAAAATTATTGTTTTTTAATCAAAATTCTAAAAAAACCAATAACTACATCACATTAGGTATAATGTATCGCTCACACCTTTTATTTTTTCGTTTTGACGACACTCAGTTTGTAGTGACCCTATAGTCTTCCTGTGCCAACGGTCGCGGGTTCTTGTCCCGTTGGGGGCCTTCATTTGTGTGATGAGCTCGAATGTTTGTACTCCAGTCTCGGGTGATTATATGTATGATATGTATGTATCTCGTACAAGCTCACTCTCTCGTAGCTTGCAAAGGAACTAGATGGTGTTGTACGTTAATGTCTCAAGATATTTATTACACGATATATCTATAGTTTTATAATTGCATTCCGAAGGCTTTTCACTGTTATACGCGTCTCTGATATATCAAATAAGAATAGAGCGTCACGCATAGATTAACATTAAACAAAATGAGATTTAAAAAAAATAGAGTTATAGATAGATGCCATATTAATATAGTTTTCAAAGCTCATATTGGCCGTTTATAAGAAACGCTTAAACAAAATTCGTAAAGTGTACCTGAAAAGCGGAGTACCTTCCGGCGCGCCGCGGCCGGTTGTACGACGGGAGGTATCTTCTGATCGGATCGAGCTCGTTCACGTGCAACAAGCCGCCGGTCAGCAGTTGCGCGAGCACGAACATCGACTGCGCCCATAAGAAGAGACCACCTGTGTCTGGATTTACAATACTGTTTAAGTTTTAATATACTGTACCTAGGCAACTGAGCTTCACTCGGCGTTTTTTTTTTGTTTGTTTTTCAGAAAATATATAAAAATTGCGTTGTTTCAGAAAAGGCGCCTATCTATGTATAAAAACTTAAAAAGCCAAACCTTTTTTAAATACGAAATTTGATTCAAATCGATAGACCAGTTTCCGAGATACACGAAATTTTGTATACTATACATACATATATGTATACAAGAATTGCTCATTTTATATTATATGATACTTAATACTGTTAGATATAATAGTATAACGGAACATTAATTCAATGTTATTTTCTTATATATTCTATATATTAAGTGATACATGAAACTATTTTGCATTTGACTAACGCTTTGTTTCGATTTCCTAGCTCATTTTATTGTTTGATTTTTCACATTATTTTATCAATCGTTTTTAGAACTTCTAAAGAATGGATTTTCAAAAATTGCTTTTAATTTTTATTATATAAAAAAGTTTCTCAAACAGTCTGTCTGACAGAATGAATAAATTTTGAGTCTTTATTAAATAGATATATTTAATTTCAGCAAGCTTTTGAAGCTATATTTTATGTAAAATATGTAAGGATTTTAGTCACTGTAGACATAGACTTACGTGTGAATCAGGTTAAATTAAAGTTAGGCCTTCACCACAGTATCATTTGAATGGTAACATGCAAAGGAATTTGAAAACAGTTAGGTACGTTATGGGCACAGGCGAAAAAAATAATTCTTTTATTAGCGGTGAACATATTCTCTACCAAAACGTGGTCAGTGGTGGACTACCACAAAACAAGCTTTGACCTACTTGATATTACTATTTAGTGTACGTTTAATAGTAATAAGAATATTAATAAAAATATTATTCAAAGTATCCACAGATGATAAAGTTATACTGTTAAATGAGCAATACTCTTCTAAACTCTCTACCAAAGAGATTATATTTGTCAGAAATAATACAATAAAAAAAAAAAGCGTACTTATTTTAGTCTAAGAAAGTATTGATATAAACCGTTATAATATATAACGTAAATTTTGTAGCTGGGATTATACTATATTATTGTCATATCTTTCCAGAATACAAATTATTAAACGACATAACGCTCGGTTATTTTGTTTAAAAAATAACTTTATGTGGTGAGCGTAAGGTCGAGTTTGTGATAAGACAATCGTAGCTTAAGATTTTTGGGTTTTTGAACTTAGAGATATTTATTAGGAACTGTGCATCTAGGGCTTTATATATTAATAAATGATATAGATAACTAGTAAAGTGCAAATCTAAGATAAAATTAAAGCCAAAAGGCAGCGTGTTATTAAGCTTATAAGGTACAGAAAATTAGCACAGAAAGGAGAGCAAACTCAATGGTTACACAATTTTACCTTTGCTTTCTTCATCACCTGGCTGGTCTGTAAACATATTATTTTTTTACAATTCAGTCGTCAGTCGTAGTTTTAGGAGAAAAAAATCTCAAATATTCCAAATAGCTAATGATACAGAACCGAACAGTAAACTATGTATTTTTTTTTTAAATGAACTTACTTGCTGGAATTCTGCGTACTGAATACGGCTCGCTGCGTTCATTCTCAATGCCTTCACGGGGGACATAGTAGTACCAAGGAATTACCGGATCTATGAAAGAAATAGAAAATATAAATAAATAAAAAATGTCTAACGCAATTAAAAGCACCGGTCTTGATATATTTTTTTTTATATAACCCATATATGTAATAGCCACAGTTTGTCTATAATGTCTTTCCGACAGATTCCAAATACAGAGAGTTAAGTGAGTAGCTCTAATGTCTAAATATTTAATTATGTATTATGTACAATATAATATACCTCCATATTCGTCCATGTATATCCGCGATTTGAGTAGTTTCTGATACTCTTCTACTTGGTCTGGCAATGTGCGGAACACACCGTCTATTATCATCATCACATAAAAGAGAGGCCACTCCGACTCTACTCCTTCATACTCCTTAAGTTCTCCTTCATTATAATACCTTCTATTTGGATCTTCGAGGACACATTTGTATCCATCTCGACTGAATCTTTTAAATCCATATTTGCCTTGTAAGCGATTCAAAATATTATTTTTAGTTAATTGAAGTAGCAATTCTTCGTGAGTGGCGAATGCTGGGAAGGATATTGTAGGGAGAAGAGCTGCATCGACACCCTGTTATATATAACATTAAATTCAAATAATTAAATCGCAATAACTTAACTTATAAAACATTTTGTTTCTAGATTCTAAAATATCTTAGTTAAAGGTTGGTTTAAAAACTTATAGAAAAGCAAACAATGAGACCAGTTACAAAAAGATTTGGCGAAAATACGACATAAGTACGGTACTTACTGCGCCGTAAACATCTAATAGTCTTTCAGTTTTGTAACTACTTAAAGATTAAATTAAAAAAAAAACATGTAGCCGTTTTTACATGAAAGCTGCGAAAACATTTTACCATATTTGGATTTACGCAGTAATCCATGCACCCATTATCCATGTGTCTGTCCCAGATGGATTGTCGAATACATTTTACAAAACAATTTACAAAACAGCTTCGTTATGTAAAACAAATATAAGACGTTCAGCTGGACTGTCATTGCGCTATGTTTAAGAAAACTGCTAATTAATTAAATAAAAATCTAACGGTTTTGTAGAACCGCGGATTCGACAATCCGTCTGCGACATGTCTTTATGAACAACAAATCTAGTACTAGTACAAATCTAGTAGAATATTAAAGATCATTTAAAATGTCCTATTACTAATACTGTTAAAAACAAACACATAAGGCAAATAAACTACCTACTTTTGAACTAGATTCCCTCGGCAGCATGGTCTCGAAGATGCTTCGATTGCGGTTGTGCGCGTCGATGTCCACGTACACAACGCTCCACGACGCGCCCTTGTCGCCGAACAGATTGCACCCATTGATGGCTTCTAACGCGGCTTTGGCCATACCTGATTATTTATTTATGAATATAGAATATAGATAGGGAATATAGATAGCACTTGGGAAAAAATGCACAATTTGTCATCGCGACTACCTCGCACCTTTGATATTTTCAAGTGCAAATCATTTCCAACATGAATACCACTTGTCTTAACGGTGAAGGAAAACATTGTGAGGAAACCTGCATATCTGAGAAAACCAAGCATGTTTTCAAAAGGCATGTGTAGTTCACTGAGTTAGTAATTTTGATTTCAAAACTTGGATGATTTATAATAAATCAGATAAAACTAAATTTAAAAAAAATTGTACCTATAGATGAAGCATGGATCTCTGGTTTGCCATCATTATATTTGGTGCCTCTCTCCCACATGCCATAATCAGGAGTTCGATAGGCACGCTCCACATAGTATACTAAATTTTGGACAAATGCTACTTCATCCTGAAAAAAATATATAATTTGATTAAATAATGAAACTCAGTGCTTCATTTTCTTCTGATTTTAATTATAAATATATTATGTTCTAGCTTATTTACACATACATATAATGAAATAATAATAAAGCGAAATTTGTACATTAAGTACCATTACATACATTTGTTTGTAAATATAATTATTGTTACATATTGTGTACTGAATATAGACCCCAAAGACAATAGTTGTTGAAATGTTTGTCTGTATTATAACTGTTTTTCACGCAAAAAGTAATGAACGGACTTTAATTAAATTTGGCATAGTGATCACTTATGCAAGTTAACATTTAGGATAACTTTTACTAATCTCTTATTTCCATGAAAGAATACAATAACTGGTTCGGCCATGTTGTTCTATATACAAAAATTTTAATGATTTATTACAAAAAACTATTTAGCAGCAAGGTTAAATATTTACATACGAGTATGTATTTCTCATTTTCATGAGAAAGTCGCTAGGTCATAACTACCCTACATTTAGTATTGTCTTATGACCTTTATAAAATCTTTAATTTGATAACAAACCTGTGTATATATAATTTGAAGTCCAGATGTAATCATTTGAACAAGAAATAGCAGATACAATGATATAACATCTATTTGCAAATGATGGTACTGGTCATCACTAAGTACAGGTTCTCCAGTAGTTAAATGAAACTTTACATGAAGAGCATGAGCAGCACTTTGACGTGTCTTAAAAGCTTCTACTCTGGCCGATTGCTTAATCCAACATTCAAGAATTCCTCGCATGCATTTCACGGTACTTTGTCCCAGTTCATGTGACTTTCCTCTGTCATCATCAATTCTCCTAAAAAATATATTCATGACTTATAATTCCAATTTTAACATACAAAAAATGTATAAATGTATTTAATATTTAGTATTTACCTATATGCTTGATATAAACCCCATACAGCAGAAGCACAATATATGCTATCTCTTACACTACCAATATGCAAATCAGATGACAAGACCGGAAACAATCCAGTAACAGGACTTTGAAATCTTAATAACTGTCTTTTAACTGTAATTTAAAATTTAAGGTTTTGTTTTGTCGGAGGTTATATTACAAATTAACAATATTTATTAAGAATACAATGAATTTATTAAAAAGACTAACCTATTGCATAATAAATATCCAGTTGTCTCACTGTGTCTTCATAGTTAGAGATCTTTAGAAACTGTTGAGCATTTATATCATCAATACTCCCTTGGCGGATCATTATATCTGGAAAAGCCTGAAAAATGTTATGATAAAATAAAAAACATTGAAAGTTTAATCAACTAAATAATTTAAATAGTATACCTATAGATCTATTAATCATAAATTAATTATAAAGATTTTAATATTTCAACTCAAATAATTACAGCAAATATGTTATTTTAGTTATTCATATATTAAAGTCTAGTAATTTACATATACTATTTTACCTTTCATGTAAATTCAGTACGAATTCATGATTTTGAAAATTTATTTTGAAATAAACTTATGAAAAAGGATTAAATATTTTAGATTTAAAGTAATTGCAAATGTTTGGGTCTACTAAAATCGATGTCCAAACCGTTTTTTAAAAACTAATATAAAATTGTATTTCTATCAATCAATATATAGACATCAAAACTGTACAGTATTTTAATTAATTCACTTTTATTAAAAATTGATTAATGAAGCATGATGTTGAAGCATCCGAAAAGGTCGTAACCCAAGGTCGAATAAATAAAAACATGTCATTGTCAATTGTCAAACATTATTCAAAACCGAGTGATAAAAATCGATTATTAAATAATAATTGTCAAACTGGCCCCTCTGAAATAGAATCATAGATCATACTTTTTGTATTTCATTATTTATAATTATTGTATTTTTATGAATATAATGGTTAAATGAATAACTTTTTACGTAAATAATTACAGTAGTTGTGTTAAAAATATATCAATGGCAATATTTTATTCTTAACATGTTTTGTAGAATGTTTTACTTAAATCTGCCTATGTACTTGAAGATTTTATTATTATTCGTCTATGCTTGAATTTATGAAAGGCCAACCAACGTTCAAGTTTTATCACAGAGTACATTGGTATATACTAGGAGTTTTATATATGTAGCAATATACTCTATGGTTGAAGTCATAACAAAAAAGAATAATAATTATAAACATGGATGACAAATAAAAATTATAAATAAATAAAAGAGTTCAGACTTCAGTATTCACTTTATCATAATTGTTTTTATTGTTCTACAAATGTGAAAGAGTATATTGCTTTATTGGAGTTACGATTTCTGTCGATAGACTCATACGTACTCGTCCTGCAGAGGTAAGATTTATATATTCTGCCATCTGATTAACACAATTAAGAATTCTAAAAAATTTGTGTTATTTATGAGAGTGTTTTATCTGATCTTATCTAAAATTACATTACATCAACAGAGTCAGAAATGAATCATGATCTTCATAGGGAGCAGGATCATGAAAATATTAACAGCAGAGATGCTCAGGTTTTAATGATATCTATTATTGTTTTCTCGTCTACTAACCACTACATATCCATTCAGGATATTGCACAGCTGATATTTACTTGGTTGCATGGTATTAATTGGTTATTATAAACATGAATGTGAAATAACATTTGCTTTAAAGATACATAGTCAACTAACAGTGACACTAGGAGTGATATTTATGAAATGATCTAATATTTTTTAAATATTAAGAATGATAAATATGATTGCATAGGATATTTGCATGACCTAATGAATCAAATAATAATTTACTAACTTTTTTGGGAAATAATCTCTTTGCAAGCTATACTAATCTATACTAATATTATAAAAAGGGTAAAGTTTGTGAGTTTAAGAGATTGTGTGTTTGTGACATTGTAGGGGGTAATCTCCGGATCTACTGAACCAATTTAGATGAAATTTGGTAAGAAGATAGCTTGAGACACTGGGAAAGATATAGGATTTTTTTTTTATCCTGAAAATCATCCCTTAAGGGGGTGAAAATGGGGATGAAAGTTTGTATGGGGAATCAATAAAATATTACATTATGGGTATTGTTTAGTTCAATGTTATGATGGTTATCCTTCACAGAGTGGTGATATTAGGGGATGAGGAGTCTACGTATTATATAAAAATAAAATATATTATATATAATATTAAAAGGATTAATAAAGTCTTACAATGTATGGAAAGGTTGTAACTTTAAGGTTTTGTAACTACTATCTTTCCAATTTTCCAAAAATAATTTTGAAGTAATAGACTACCCATACTACTATACCCATACTATAATAGGCCAGTGGTAACACACTCGCTTGGGAAACCGAGTGAACCGAGTTCAAATCCCGGGTCTCGCACCTCTGATATGTTCATGTGCTAATCATTTCCAACATGATTACCACTTGTCTTAACAGTGTAGGAAAAACATCGTGAGGAAACCTGCATGTCTGAGAGAACCTAGCAAGTTTTCAATAGACATGTAAAGTCCGCCAACCCGCACTTGGCCAGCGTGGTGGACTATGGCCTGATCCCCCTCGCATTGAAGGGAGGCCCGTGCCCAGCAGTGGGACGTTAAAAAGGGCTGAACACATACATACATACAATAGACATGCATACATTACCACCCTTATTCAGAAATATAAACTAACCCTTTGGACTGGATCCCAGCTACTAATTGACAGGCAAATTTTATGGCATGTTATGCTGAGTTTTGGAACTAAAATTAGAAATACATAATATTATATTATGTATATATTATAAAATATGTCTCATTAATATTTGTAAACTTGTGATGATGTTGCATAATTTTGATTAACAAGTGTGTGTGCTGTTGCATGGTCTTAGTGCTGTACAATATAAAATAACATATATATTTTTTATTTTAGCAGGTTGACTTATTTAACTTAATTGGGGGAAGCTGGCCACCAGCGCCAAAAGAGCCTGAACATCCTGAGTATGGATCAGTGCCCAGAAGCTATAGACACACTATGCAGCATAAAAGTAATGATCGAGTGAAGTCTATGAATCTTATAAACCATATAGCTCCAGATAAGAGGAAAAATAAGCCTACAACATCATCTAACTCAAGTACTACAGAATCTACACATATCACCAAAATGGTACATGATACAAAAAAAATTGAAACCGGTCTATTAGTGGGTATGTGAATAAAATAATATTTTATTACATTAAACGTTTGCATATAACTGTAGATAGAAAATTTGGTGAACATTTGGTGTTTGTTCTTGAATTTTTATCTTTTCACGCCACTGCGCGACGTAAAGGAGGGTAATGTGTTTATCAGCCTATACATGTATGTATGTATGTAGGTTTGTACTTTTGTGGCACTATTTAGACCAAACGCGTGGTCCGATTTTGATAAATGACACGTCGTTTGATTAGTCATGACGGCGCGAATGCGATAGAAAACATAAAAATTTGGAAAAATCAAAATAGCCGATTTTGGACGCCATATTGTGAAAAAGAAAAAAATGAAAATCGACGAACTATGTCAAGTGAGGTATCGTTGAATAGGTATTTAAAAATCATTTTTAGGTTTTTTCATTTTAAATGAGCTTAGCAACCATTCTCGCTAATTTTCCTACTTAAAAATACTTACAAAGCTGTAAATAAATAATATAAAAAATAAATATATAAAAATAAAAACCTGACTGCATAAAGGCTAACTAAAAAGATGAAAACAAGTTCACGAAAGAATAATGAATATATGTAGTAGTATGCAGTCAGAGAGATACACGTTTCATCCTTTCCGTGAGATGTACATACATATATGTATGTCTCCGAATGCATAATACTGTACTCCTTTGTGAACTTGTTTTCATCTTTTTAGTTAGCTTTGAGCTTTAGCAGTCAGGTTTTTTATTTTTATAATATATCTATTTATTATAATTGTGTAATGAGACAATAAATATAACTTTTTAATAAAAAAAATACACATTTCAACATCACCTTAACGAAGGTAATCAAATAAGTTAATCAAATATCAATACATCTTAAGGGGTTAAATTTCGAAGAAATCATCCTTAAATATAGCCTATTAAAAAGAAAATTAACAACATCGATTCACAATAGATGAAGATATTATATAAAAGTGTACTTAGAATATAAGTATATACTCAAATTGAGAACTTCCTTTTTTTTGCAGTTGGTTAAATATCATGCCCTCTGCCATTTCATAAATGTCATTTACCATTCCTAAAATTATTCTTCATAATAAAATAGAATATAAAAAAATATTTACCATTTTTCTCCCTGTAGGCATTCCACTTTTTAGTATTGATTTTATATTAATAATAATTTATAAATATTAAATACAATCACATCTTGCAGAACAAATACAAAACATTTCCAAGTAGAGCACAGACTGCAAACATGCGTTCTATTTTAGCGTTTCTATTTTCTAATTTTAGGCATGCGGCCGATGTAGGTGATCGGCCGTCATAACGTAGTTAGCTCCGACATGTCTCACGCGTATTATCTCCAAGAGCTACCTATCGATGAAATACCGTTATGCGTACTTCAATATGAACAGAGTATGTGGGGAATCGAGTTTAATGTAGGGAATGTGATCATCAATTGCATTCTAGTATAACATTCTTGTTTGTCTTAGATGTGTGCAGCAATGAAGCTCCGGAAGAGTTTTACGATTCTCCTTCACTAGGATCACCCCGAGCGGTCCCTCCCAAGCCTCCAAGTTCTCCCGAACACTTGCAAGATGATATTGGAGTCGGTTCACTTGTAGAAGTTGCCACAGATGTCGACCAAAACTATTATGGAGTGGTCAGATGGATTGGCCTTATTGATGGTGAGTATCACATTTGAATATTAGAATAATGGGGTCTCATTTATTTTTTAATAAAAATAGTTACAATCCACATTCTGATTATCTGATAATATAATACAAAAAATTTAAGAAGTACAGTACAAAATATACATTTAATGCAGGTAGTACACAAATGTTTACTATTGTTATGTTAATACAAATGTAAGTTCACCACTCAAGTATCTTTCCACGAAAGGGACAAATTTCGATAAATTATTTAAACTAAAATTTATTTATGAAGTTTTAACTTTCGTAATTTAATTATTTTCCATCTAATGACGAATTGTTTCATGTTACATGCACCTTTTTTTTTTTTAACGTTGGGAAATGCATTTACGCACGAGGTGTGGGACTCACCGGCAAAACCAGTACTACCCACTAAAACCCAACAAAACCTTCCCCCGTCTTAATGGGGCGTCGCAGGATCGCTTACGCATTCAACTACGACGCCCCGACATGTTACATGCACCTAGTGTAAGTAGGTAAAAAAGCATTATGTAGAGTCGGAGTCGGGGATATACATGTTTTTATCTTTGCTGCGAGTCTTGATACGTGTAGGTTTCTAATTCCTAATAAACAGACCCGACCGGGGTTTATTTATTTTCATAAATTAATATTTTTGTAAAGCTTATATGCCATACATTGTTTTTACTTTTAAACAACAGATGCACAGCGTTGTACTCTGACTTCACAATACAATAATATGTATTGGCTAGGCTAGGCAGCTATCTATTAGTGAAAGAATTATAAAAATCAGTTTAGTCATTACAAACAGTCTAATTTCTATTTGCCAGACATAGCCACAGCAGGTGTAGAGCTAGAACAAAACGTGTGTGGCTTAGGCGACGGCACCCACAAGGGCTCGCGGCTGTTCACGTGCGGCTCGGGACGTGCACTGTTCGTACCGTTGCCACTGTGCCGCCGGGACGCACGCTTCCGTGATACACCGCCGCCTGAGCCCCACCATGTGGACCACAGTGATCAGGTTTGTGGGTACTTTAAATGAAAATTTAAAGTATATAACCTATATATTACGTATCCTTGCTTACTTTGATATTGCTGAATACCTAGTATAAAATGAAGTTGTTCTTACAGTCTGTCGGTTTAGTTCTTTACTCATTTAAATGTTAGTGACTGTTAGTACGGGATGCGAGGTTCGAGCGATGCAAGAGTTAGATGGTTAGTTTATTATACTATTTCACTCTTCAAATTGGGTATGTTGTATGTGGAGTAAGCAGAAATACCTATTATATAATAATTGTTCTTCATGCTTGAACAAAAAAGACAAATTATGATAATATTAAATACAGTATATGTAGGCTGGATTTGATGTCACAACTTTTTAATAGATTGAGAAAACAATATGCACACCAATGGCCCATACATAAATACTTTTACATAGTCCTGCTTTGCTTTTGCAAAAGGCTAGAGGCGTATAGCATAAAACACTAAAAATTGTAATAATATCTATTATACAATCCATGTTCCACTACAGCCAGACTGTCCCGTGGTCCCCGGGGTGGTCCCCCCGCTGGACTCGCTGGGCGAGCTGGCGGGGAAGAACCGCGGCATCCAGGGGCACCATAACTCGTGCTACTTGGACGCGACGCTCTTCGCAATGTTCACCTTCACCAGCGTCTTCGATGCTCTGTTGTATCGCCCGCCCGAACCTGAGGTATGTACATTTTAATTTTGATTAGAACGTGCCATATTAAATTATAATATCCTAATAATATTGAGTGATTTACTGAAAAATACTCAATAGGATATAATGAAAGCACTCTAGAGAAACACAATGTGCTGTTGGTTTATAGGTTAGTTTTATAAATATTGCACCTTGGTAATATCGGTTCTGTGTAATAATATGAATTTACCAAAATGTTCTTGGCAAAATTTATAACAGTTTTTTTATATATATGTTAGATTTTAATATATATGTTTTGATATATATGTTATGAGCCTCTGTTTATATATTTAAGATCTTTTTTGTAAATATTGCCTAAAATAAATGATTAAATAAAATAAACAAATAAAAAAATGATATTGTAAAGTCGACACGGTCGTGTGTTCAGGACTCGCCGCACTACTCGGAGGTGCAGCGCGTGCTGCGCGAGGAGGTGGTGAACCCGCTGCGGCGGCACGGCTACGTGCGCGCCGACCGCGTCATGAAGCTGCGCACGCTGCTCGAGCGCCTCTCCGACGTGCCCGGACTCACCTCCGAGGAGAAGGTGACATACACATATACACGCACGCACGCTCACACACACACGCGCGCGCGCACACACACACGCGCACGCACGCTCGCATGCGCGCACGCACGCGCACATGCGTAAGCATACATTCAATAACATACATAGGCAATGATAGGTCACAAAAAAATTAATAACTAAATATCACAAGGAATAGTTAGACCTGGTAAATTTTTTTAAACGTTTTTATTAATTTTCTTTGTAATCACATTTTAGAAATCGTTTTTAACTAATTTCAAATACGTGTAAACCTTTGAGCTCATTCTAATTATTATGAAGAGTTTTTCAAGTCTCAATTATTTAGAGTCAACGGCGATTGAATAAATAACAATATATGCATACGTTCTATAGAGCCTTACAAGTCACAAGTCGTAACAAAAATAACCATACTCTCAGGATCCGGAGGAATTCCTGAACGGGTTGGTAGCCCAGCTGCTGCGGGCCGAGCCGTTCCTGAAGCTGTCGTCTGGACAAGAGGCGTATTGCTACCAGCTGTTCGTGGAGAAGGACGAGCACGTGACGCTGCCGAGCGTGCAGCAGCTGCTGGAGCAGTCCTTCGCCACCTCGGGGGTGAAGCTTAGCGAGGTCAGGTGAAAGGCTATGTGTTATTTAGTTTTTCAAGTTATACTCTTTTTGGCCCGTTTGGAAAAAAAATATGAGAATTTTACGATGCGCGCGCCCAGCGACAGCCAAAAATCGACATGATGAAGTTAGCTGCATTCCTTTTACAAACAGAGAGTTGTGACATACGTCATGAAATCTTTAGCTATTTTTGTTCTGTTACGCCAAAGAACTTCTTACGTGCGTACATAAATAAGTACACATACTTTTTCTTTTTTGACGTGATAACGTCTTATAAATCTTATAAATCGATGCACGCTGGCTGCACGCACGAAAAAGTGTCACGTTCCGCGTGAGCGAACGACCACTCAGCCCGATAGACGCCTAATTTATGTACTGCATCCAAACCTGTCAGTCAAAAGTCTGAGGTAAGCGTTACGGGGGAGGCGGGTTGAAATGCACGCTGATTGGTTAATTCAATACAAATATTGATGGGAACCAAAAGTTTTATATTGTATCGTAGGTAGGCATCGTATTTAGTAAAATAATTTTCTGTTTAAAAGAATATTTTTAATTAAGACAAGTTTTGTTTACTATAATGAAATAATAATAGAATACATAATTTTATTTATACGGGTTTATTCAAGGTTTATTTACAGGTATATCCATGGTTAAAGTTTTCGGAAAACTGTCCCTTACACTCTGTATAACTAAACTACTACTTATTTACATGAACTTATTATTTATAAAAAAATACATTAGGTACTTATTACAATTATTTATTCTTCACATTTAGCGTATATAAATATTCATGAATTAAAAGTACACAAATTAAAAAAAAATATTATTATAGATAAATGTCATAATACAAAAGAAATTGATAATAATACATATAAGAAGTAAAATTAAAATCATCATTATAAACAAAAAAAATTACAATAATTAAGATTAACAATCATGCATTTTATAATAATCAAATGACTTATTTCTAAAAGAATTATAGTTTAACTGGTGCAGCACTAGTTACACGTGCTGGTAATTAAAGAAAAGTATAGCATCAATGAACTGCATTGAAAAGAAAGAGATGCATAGTCCGAGAATGTCCGAATACATCAACGCGAGTTGCGTTGCGACCAAAATAACTTGAGCTCTGATTTAATTACATTTAATGAATTTGGAAATTAAAATTCACTTACCTATGAAAAGTGATGCCATTTTTTTTTAAATGAGCCATGTTACGTGTCTGTTGTATTTTTTGTGTCGGAAATTTACGAGTCTCAAGCAATGTGTTCGCGGGTCACGGATGTGGTCGCTACTAAAGTAAATCGCGCGATCGTTTTCTCAAGTCAGACGTATTTGTCTAACGTGTTGACTGAAAGTGTTCGCCTTGCGTGAGGTGTCTATTGGGTTGAGTGGTCGTTGGCGTGAGCCGAGCGTGCGAGCGAGAACGCGGAAGAAGCGATAGAGAGGCACGATTGGCCTAAGTTGTTATTAGCACATTGTAACTTGTAATTAATCTGTATAATTTAAGTAAAAAAATATTTGAATTAACGAGTGTAAATAAATGTTACTTTATCGAAAAAATTGTAATTTTCAATTAACTCCTTCTTTGTATTATACAAAATAGTGATAATTCAGTGATGATAATTCAATTCATAAAAGTATGCAATTTTGTATCAATACTTTCTTAAGACGTTATCACGTAAAATTATCGTCCGTAAACCGACTTTACAGAAAACCATTTTTTTTTGTTTTAAAATTTATTGTTGTGTTCGAGTATATTGAAATAGTTTTGTGATGGATAAAGAATATTGATGGTGTATGGTTTGGCCTAATACTGGAAAATTTTGTGTAAATAAAGTGACTATATAAGGTATTTTGAATCCAAGAATGGGCGATGCAGGTAATTGAAAGTTTAAAATTAGGTCTTGATAGAGTTCTATTTTTAACAGGGCACTCTTCAAATTTTAATATAAGGATTTTAGTACGCTTCGGTTAACAAAAATCGATAATTTATCTATTTGTTATGGCCATATCAACACTTCAGATAGAAAAGATTTTAAATTAAATTTAAAAATTTCAGGTTCCCGCAGCTTTTATCATTCAAATGCCTAGATTCGGCAAACAGTATAAGCTATATCAACGAGTGCAGCCATCTCCATTACTGGACGTCACTGATCTTATTGAAGGATGTAAGTTAATTTTTTTTTTCATTATTTCTATTTTATAGTAAATAACTGATTAGATCTTCATGGTGCAGTAGCATATTATTAATAACTATTAAACCAAAAAGATACAATGACTTCAAACCATAAAAGCTAAATATAATAATTAATAATAATTTTAAGATTGGAAAAAACTTACACCTGACGAAATATACCAGGTAAAAATGTTTTTTTCAATCGGAAACTTAAGGAAATTTTACGAGGAATCTAAATATGGCAAAAAATAAATTATTCATTGATTTTTAAGAATTCAAACTTCAATTTGAAAATTTAAAATTGTTATATATTTAAAAAAAAATTATATCTGTGTCTCTAAAATATAAGATAAGATTTTTTAAGAAATTTAATTAAATAAAATATTAAAATTCGCTTACTTTTCTACAACCTATGATTTTTTTTAATTTACGTTCATCTCTTAAACTTAAAACCTCCCTAACTCGATTAATTTTGATCAGAGGAGAAAAGTCATAAAACCTTTTTTATGTAAAATCGTAAGCTCTACGTATTTTTAAAAAACTCTTTTGTCTATTTTTACCGTTTTCGAGTATTTGCGAAAAAAAATAAACTTTTTTAAACCCTTGCCGGGGGTTGTAGCCAAAAAAACATTTACACATTGTTAGTGTATCACTAAAACTAAATTATATCAAAAATGCATGAGTAAAAATGGAGATGAAAGTTTGTATTGGATTAGTAAACTTAACTTGAGTACTTAAATTTGGCTCGAGCTAGAGACGAATGAGTCGCTCGTTAGGAGTAATTTATACATGTCCTTGCGAGCAGTGCCGCGGCAGTGCACGGTGTGCGGCGCGCTGGCGCGCTGGGAGTGCGGCGCGTGCGCGGGCGGCGCGCTGGACGCGGGCGCGCTGTGCGCCGCCTGCCTGCGCCTCGCGCACGCCGCGCGCCCCGAACACAAGGTACGACACGTTCACCATCGATCAAAAAGTATTAAATACATAATCAACGGCAAGAAATGTCCTCATCGAATGAGCGCACATTTAAACATTTGAGCGCGCATTTATTTCATTTCTTTTTTGTGAAAACGACTTAAAAGTTGTTGCCTTAAATGCAATTTAAGGTTCAATTTACATTGGTGTATATTTATTTCTATTAGAAATAATACCTTAACACAGTTGGTGCCAGTTTTAAGAGAACTTTCGCATGTTTTTAACGTACAAAAATGCATTTACGCTGAACATCTACTATTGCATACATACAGGTAGTTACGTGAGACGTACTGGCTAGAACAGCCAATACCTTCACCGTCTTCATATGGCTTCATATGGTCTTCGTATGGCAGCTTCGTTTACACACTTAACCACAAAACTCAGACTGCTGTTTGCTGAGGCAGACGATAACGACCAAGGGGTTGCTCCCACTATCTAGTTTGATATCAGGGAAATACCAGGAATAACCCGCATAGTACATCGCCCACCGAAGTGGGCCTCTTGTATGTCTCTTGACTTCACGCGTAGCTAGATAGCTGGACGCGCTAAAGTGCGATTTTGCTTAATTATAATATAAGTGATTATAGTACAGTGTAGTAAAAAGGTATGTATACATAAATTATGTAAGTACTTATATTATTCTTCTGACTACTAGTAAAGCTATAACATAATATATAAAAGGCAAAAGTGATTGACTCATGTATCAACGCACAGGCCAAACTCTTAATTAAGGCTAGAAAATTTTGGCACACGTATTCCTCATATGACGAAGGCATCCTTTAAGGAAGGATTTTTCAGAATTCAACCCTTAAGAGGGTAAAATAGGTGGTGAAAGTTTGTATGAAACCTAGATACTTACCTTTTAGAGATTTTTTTTCGTAGTTTTAGCGCGGGCGAAGCCGCGGGTTCTGCTAGTATAGTATAAAACATTAATTTTTATTTAACACGTGAGCAGGCGACACCTCTGCAAGTGTGCGAGGAGTACGCCAACATCCTGGAGTCGTGTCCCATCCCGCGCGTGTACATGGAGCTGTTCGCGGTGCTCTGCATAGAGACCAGCCACTACGTCGCCTTCGTCAAGACCGGCGCCGCGCACGACGCGCCCTGGTGCTTCTTCGACTCTATGGCCGATAGGAAAGGTATTGCTTCCTTTGATTTAGCATTGTGTTTGTACTTATCCTATGAAATGTGAATTATAATAGTGTAATTTAATTTAATTATATATAAAAACTAAAAACATTTTATCATTTCTTAAATAGGTGGCATAAGTAGGTTTGAGCCGTAACTGAAACGATTGTATTATCTTATATATTATTTATATATTATCCTAATCATGTCTAAACTATTTTCAAAGTGTAATTAACTAGCGATTTACCCTCGTTTTGCTTCGGGTTCGTCCCTATTCAAAAACAAATCTATCACACGGGAACGGTACATTTTTTCGGAATAAAAAATAACATAAGAGGTAAATTTAATCTAGAGCCGTTCATCCATTCTGGCGTGAAAGAGTAACAAACATCCATCCTCTTAAACTTTCACATCTATAATATTATTATGGTTTAGTATAATCCGTATTTCCATATTAATATTATAAATGTGAAAGTTTGTGAGTATGGATGTTTGATACTCTTTCACGCCAGAACGGCTGAACGGATCTGGATGAAATTTGGCTCAGAGGTAGATTATAGTCTGGAATAACACATAGGGTACTTTTTATCCCGGAAAAATGTACGATTCCCGTGGTATAGGTTTGTTTTTGTTTTCCTAGAGGCGAACCCGAGCAAAGCAAGGGTGAGCCACTAGTAATAATATAATTAATTCATTAATGGTAACGCTCAAAAGACGAATTATATTCCCGTCAATCACATATCAGGCGAGCGCAACGGCTACAACATCCCGGAAATAGTGGAAGTGTCGATGTTGAGCGCGTGGCTGAGCGAGGAGGGCCGCGCGCTGCACGCCGCCGCGCCGCTCGACCGCCACCTGCCCGCGCCCGCCAAGCGCCTGCTCGCCGACGCGTACATGTGCTTCTACCGCAGCCCCGACCTTGCCATGTACAGATAGAACACACACACGCACGCACACACACACGTTACACTATATACATACCAGGGCTGCCAGTAGAGTCTAATTATTTTATACCGCTGGGTCACTCAAATCAAATTTTATTACACAAATTAACAAAACTGTTGAGAAATAGTCTGTGACGAATAAAAAATTTCAATAAAAACACGTAACAACTTAAAATGAAATATACATATAATAACCATATTTTACAATTTTCGTATCCAATTATACGATCTGGCAGCCCTGATACATACACACATTACACATACATATAGATGCACATATTACATATATATACACATTAAGTACATATTGACTTTTTTTAATAAAAATATAAAAATTGAAGAGCCAAAAGAGCTTGTAAAAATATTTGAATTGAGTATAATTTGATTTGATTTACACACGCATACACATATGATGCACTTACTGAAATCATGCTGTTTGTTTGTTTGTTTTGAAAGGCTCAATAATTACGAATGTAAGTTTGAAAGGTAAAGGTATAAATAAGTAAATTGTAAATATTTCTTACAAATAAAAAATAAAAAGAACGCAATGGTACACTTAAGTTGTTGTGCCTAGACATTACATATAAAAGGATAATGAGACAATCATGACGACAAAAGCCATGAAAATATATAATAGTAGATACAAAATATGCCAAGAATTAATAGTGCAATTCGTATTGCAACCATACATTGAAATATTATTTTTTCTATTTAGCCAAAAATTGTAAAAATGTAGATAGCCCCCTTTAATTTGATGAAATTTATCTCACGCATTTAACCTGCCGTTTCTTTTAGTAGGTTAATATAAAAAAGTAATAGTATTGACGCATTTTTATTTTTTAATAATTTTGTTACTAAAGCTATGTATTATAATAATAACACATTATGATACAATAATATTTATTTATTCGCATGATTCGATTTACATGTTTATTTATTTCTGTGTTGAATATTATATTATAATGTGATAAATTTTGGACAGAATCATTCCAAAAAAAAGAAAATCGTCAAAATGTGCAATACATATATTTTTCACATATTGTTCTATTAAAAAAATACATTATTTATTCAGATATAGAATTATTACTTGAGTTTATAAAATTATTTATATAATTGTAAGCTATACATACATACATTTCAATTTTAATATTATTAAAATAATTATCAAATGCATAAAACATAAGGAGAACATGAGTTCATCTATGAGAGTATTCAAACCCACCTAAATTAATGCTTGGGAATTTTAAATGTATAAATAAATAGTAAATAAAAATATGCATATATTTTTAATATTTAGTTTCATTTTTTCTTAATATAACTAAATAAGTTAATCTACGAAAATATGTAAATAATCTCTACTATTATTAATAAGACATCACTGCATCTACTCTTAAGTGATAATAGGGAATATGCGTCATTTTTTTTTATACAATAGCATACATATTACATCATAATTGTAAAAAATATCCAGCTCCAAAAAACTAAAATTTAGTGTAATTTTTTTAAATATACATATACATACAAAGTACTGTTTTGGCGCGCTTGGCGTGACGTCATGGTCTATGATTGCAATCAACAAATGAACAGGTCTAAATTGTTGGTACTAATCACAAACACCAAACAACATACAGCACTCTATGTATTATATATAATAGATTTTGACGTCACATTTGGTCTGACCAATAGCATTATGTTACAACTGCTTTATACTTTCCACCTATTTTTGCTTTTTTTAATATTTTTTTTTATAAAAAAAATAACATTAAAAAATATTGTATAGGCTTAATTCAGAAGCAATAAGAATTATAAAAAAGTTATATTGCACCTTTATTTAAATCACATGCATATTCCGTATTATGCTCCTAAATTGTAAATTTTTTTGGTCCCAATAGAGCCTTATAAGTGAAGTTAGATCGTTATGAACACATAAAAAAACTAATTATAGACAGACCTTTAAAAGTAATTTTTAGAATCCAGCCATATATACTTCTAATAAGTTGTGAATTAACATTTTTCATTACATTACAATTCGTCATGGTCAACAAAATCAGCAGGGTCACATTGACAATCAAATTTTGGTTGTGGTACCAGAGTCATTTTTTCCTTAACATTTATTTCGCCTACATTTCGTTTGCTCCATTCCTAAAACAAAAAGTTACTTATCTATACTAATATTATAAAGAGATAGTTTGTTTATATCAACCTTTTTGCATTAGATAGCCCGTTTTTTCAGGAAGACTATCTACACATACATAAAATTGTAACTAAGCCGAATCTTTACATTAAATATTTTTTGGAAAATCTTATTGCGATAGATATTATTATCGCCATAGAAGCCGTATCTATAGTTTTTAGAATTTTTGTCTGTCTGTCTGTCAGTTACCGCATCACGGAAAAACCACTGGAGGGATTTTGATGAAATTTGGTATGGTGATAGCTGGTTATGTAAGTGTATACTAATATGTAAAACCTAAGAATTTGGTTTTTGGTCATCTGAACGCGGGCGGAGCCGCGGGCAATGCTAGTATTCTATATTTCATATAATAATATAGTTTATCTATTCCATACTAACCGTTAAAACATACATAGGTAATAGGGACGAAAGAACGTGAGTCGCTAGTTACTCATAAGTTACAACTTTCATAACATAGTGGAGTATAATATTATGTTATATGTGGGACAATAGAAATGCTACTAAGAAGAATAAAGTGACACAATTTCTTAAAGCTATTACAATATTACCTTACATTTCAATTGGAACTTACCCTAAACAGGACAGCATGATAGCATAAAATGTGTTGAGGTAATAAATTTTCATTTGCAAAATCCCTTGCATTTCTAGCAATCTTGTATGCTTCATCATCATGTTCTTGTGCCCATTTTATTAGATCTGGTAAATCTTTAAGATCTCTTTTAATTGGGACATAATGTTTCCAGGGTTGTAACTGCTTATAAAAATGTTCATAATAAGGGGAATCCTGTTTGAAAACTAGACCACCTCCAGATAAAAGATACGGAAATCTGTAGGCTGCAACTGTCCCATCGATATTGATTTGATATTTATACTAAGAATCAATAAAAACATACAATTATTTGTGTGAATATTATATATAATAAGCTTAACATATTTAACTTACATCAAAGAATTTGAAAAATGATACATGTGGCATTTTTGGTCCATATTGTGCTTCTTTTTCACGGAAAAAGAAAAAGTTTGTTAAGGAAGCATTAATTAAGTCAGGATAAGCACGAGCAATGTCTATTAACTGTAACCTTTCAGCTCGTGAATCACGACCCCGCCAAAAAGCACGATTTTCACGTTCTTTCCACTTGCTTCCTATGCTGCCCTGTACTGATAATGTATCTAGGGTTACTCTACAAACATATAATATAGGTTTTGGTCTGAACATACTATATACATATTATGTGATTGATTTTTATTTTAAGCCTCCATGTCTTACCTTCCCATATTCTCCAAAGCAGATTCAGTGATATCATATGTAGGCATCACTATATCAAGAGTCTCATCATTACCACACCATGAAAATATGGGCAGCGGTTCATTTGTTTTGTGTACTAATGGCCAATCTCCAAGATTGATTACTAGCTCCATATCAGGCATTACAACCTTACGTGTAAGTGAAAGTAAAATATTATCAGCAAACATATTGAATCCTACATGTTTGCCATAACAATCTCTATAAATAAGGTTATTTTTAATAACATAATGACAAAAACTTGTACTCTCAGGGTTATGATACTTTTCAATAATTTTATCAATTTGAGTTCGAATATTTAAATTTTTAAATAACCTAAGGTCATTATTTATTTGTTCATAAGATAAAGGGCATTGATATTCTCTTAGCCAAGTTTCTAAATGTTTTTGCGGGCAATCACACTGGTCTGGATGTATAGGACCTGTAAAGGAAAAAAAACATTATATAAATGTTATTATAGCAGAAATAGATGGACATAATAAATTAGTAGATACCTTCATATTTAAAAGGCGAATCCTGAATATGCTTGCTTTGATAATAAATATTTATTACTATTTCAGTACATGTCTCATACACTTTGTAACGTATAATAAATGTACCATCCTTGCGATCTAAAGTGTTAACCCAAATCCTACATTTATTCGTTTTTAAAGATTTTCCATTAATTTCTACTGCAAATTTTGCTGCGAAATCTGTGGAATACCTGCAACACGTAATGACAGAACCATATACCACTTACACTATATATTTCGCATTAAAGCCATTAAAGTAAAGAACTGAACTGAACACTACATATTCAAAAATAATGTTTTCTTAAATAATCTTACGAGCTTTCATTGAATGAAGTGAAATTTACAAAAAAGTATCTTGCCGGCATCACAATATTTTTAGGTTGTAAACCGGGACCATACATTTTTATTACATTATTACTAATGCCTATTTTAAACAGAGAAAACATTATAAAGAGGTACACAAAATAACATTTTATCGCCATTTTTCCAGAAATCTAGAATATTTACAAAAAATAACAATAAAGCTTTTTAAAACTATTTATTTTTAAATAATACGTCTATAAAGTTTTCGATTCGATTATTTATCTTATCTCCAAAAGGTTTGTTTACTTTTTAAATCATGGATTTAAGTTTGACAAATGACAATTGACATTATATTTGTTATTCTGTTGCTAGGCACTAAAATTAAAGGAGATAATATAGTAGAAAAATTTTTTTGCAGAAAATTAATTTTTACTATTATTATATAAAAAGCAATTTTATGTTGGGTCTAGCTGTTGTGGATCCCGAGATGTACTAAATCCAACGATTTTAAGTAACTTTAAGAGGAGCAAATTTTTTGAGGTCAAATGCTTAAGATTGTTAGACGACTACTCCACTTTTTCTGAACTTTAATTTTCCTTCTTGCCCTGCTATTTACTTTTTTCAATTATGACAGATGATAGCTTTCAAAATACATATTTCGGGTTTTGTATTTCTTCTCTCGTTCGCTCTTCGTTTTAATAATTTAATTTAAAATAATAACAAAGTATAATAAAACTAATTTACTACTTATTTAAATATTCTACATGGCTAATTCAAATATTAAGCTGTTATGCAGCATACTGAGCAAAATGAGGTTCGTGAATATTTAATAACCACACTTTTTTTGAAAGAAGATTAATTTATAACATAATCGTTATATTTATAAGATTCCACTTCTTGAAACATAAATGTGATCATTTTGTGATCAAGAATAAATTTTTACAATTCGCACATTATTGTATTAAAAATTTGTTGTACTACATAATTGTATTTTTAAGGGTAAATAACATTTCAGAATTGATTATATGGCAATTAGGACCAGCCACTATCAACCCAAATTTCGGCCCCCACATTGGTATTTACCAAAAGAAAGAGTAGTATGTATTTTTCTGAATTTGCCTTTTTTGTAAATAATTAATTTGAAGTACTTTATTTTAATTAATTTGTAGTATTTGTATATTTAATTATTTATTTTTCCATGAGTAACAAATGTAATGTTTAAATAAAAATACCTCAAAACTATTGTTTAAAACTTGAAACACCCAAAAACTATATTTATATTTCCTTGCCTTTTTAGTTGAGTGAGGATATGCTTACACAAGAAAATAGAGACTTCATTGAAGAAGTTAAACAAGATAAATTGAAATTGCAAACACGAATAGAATCACCAATCCTAAATGAACAGCAGGAAGTAGTCCAATGGGATCCTAAGACTCGTAGAGTGGGATTGATAGCACGTAAAATAGGAAATTATCCATTATGGTCTAAAGATGGCAAAAAGTTTCAAACTACTTTGTTGCAGGTTATAATTATTATATATATTTGAATTAAAAGTTGATTATATTTTAACACTTGTAAGAAACAACTTTGTAGCTCTACATTATAGTTGATATAAATAAGAAATGAATTTCTACTTTAAATTAATTTCAATACTGAGTTAAAATGACATTCTTGCCAACTATGAAAGCGTGAGTGCTTTCTTTACCTTCTTTATCTATACAACATCACAAAAAAATATTATCAACAAGTAAGCCATAAATTACTTCCATATGAAACTTAATAAAAATAAATGTGAAATATGTACCCCATCTGATTATTTTAGTTAGTGTTTCTAAGAAATCTTCTTTTTTGATGTGATTATGGATGGATTATGACTAAAGAAAATTTAAAATTTCTTTGTGAGTTGTCAAGTCACAAGTCTTATCATACTTGAACTATTTACTTTAAAATAGATTTTAAAAATTTATTCATAACATTTGATTGTTTCAAAAATATAATTTATTACATTTTTTTGTATGCATAAAAAAATATAATTTTCTGAGATAAGGCTTGACTTTAATTAAGCAATTGAGTTTTATACTGTTTTCAGGTAGTTGATAATCACGTCATAAAATATATACCTCCAGAAGAATTTAAGCCAATGAAAACTACTAAACATAGTTGGAGGGAAAAACCCAGATTAGGTTGCCTTTTAGTAGGGTCTGAAACAGTTGATCCAAGTACAGTCACTAAAGAATATAGTGGACTCTTTAATAGTGTGGGAATGTTGCCAAAAAAACATTTATGCCGCTTTATAGTTTCTCCTCATGCACAACTTCCCACTGGGACACCTTTATTTGCAACCCACTTTAGAGTTGGTGATTATGTAGATGTCAGAGCTAAAACGTAAGTATACATTACTATTATAATATGTAACTTGAGGTGTAATATTTTATTTGTAATCTTCTTTTTATTATAGAATGGATCGTGGTTTTCAAGGAGTAATGAAAAGGTGGGGCTTCAAAGGAATGCCTGCATCTCATGGTGTTACGAAAACCCATAGGCGTCCGGGAAATATAGGTGCTGGAGGAAATAAAGCAAGAGTTTGGCCTGGTACCAAAATGCCTGGTCATATGGGAAACAGGTTAGTGTTAATAACAAAATACCATAAATTTTAAATAAATAGTTATTAGTATTTTTAATACTCTTAATACATAATAAGGTTCCCCATGCAAAGATATACTCTTCAGTTTTCAGATTTTATGGAAAATTCTTATTGGGTTATCTATACATATAATAAAATTCTGAGTCGAATCTGTACATTAAATATTTTTTAGAAAATCTTATTGAAACAGTCATTATTATCAATACAGAGGCCGAATTTATATTTTTTAGAATTTTTGTCTGTCTAATGTCTCTGTTACCGCATTACGAGAAAACCATTGGACAGATTTTGATGAAATTTGATATGATGAAAGCTGGCTATCCGGGTCAACATATAGGATACTTTTTACTGCAGGAAAATATCTCTAAGAAATCTATACTGAATGTTAAAACTAACTGGGGATGAACCCGAGCGCCGCGAGGGTGTGTCACTAGTCTATCTATAAAAATCTATAAAACCAGAGATTTTGTATTTTACAACCGTGTTTTAATTTTTATCAGGTGGCGAACATTACGTGGTGTTAAGATTCTTCGTATGAACACAAAACATAATGTGCTTTGGATGCTAGGTGTGGGTATACCTGGAGAAACTGGAGCCATGTGCTATTTGTTCGATACAGTACTACCATTGAAGAAATTACAAACAGCCCCACCTTTCCCAACACAGCCATTTGTTGAGGATTTGCCATTAGAATACTATGATGAATCAATACATCCCTTTGAAGAATCGTCTATTACTTTTGAAGAATCTTAATTATAATCCATACTAAAAAAGTGAATAAATTAAGTTTTAATTAAAATACCAATGTACTAATTGTAAACAGCTATGAAGTTTTCTTGGTTTGTTATTTTATTCAACATTACCTGTCTCTTCATAATCAATTTTTATTCAAATTGACATTGGTAAATACTTCAAAAGGTAGATATTTAAGAGTTATTACAATTTTATATGAGTCTTTCAATATAATAGATCATAATATTAGTATTGTAGATGATCATTTCATTGATTAAAAATAAAGAGATATGAATGTGTTTTTATACAATTTAATTTCATATTTTAAATCCCACTTAAATTAACTAAACTATATTTTATTATACCATAATTGGTAATTGTTCATATTTTATAGAAAGGAATATTACTAATAAAGCAATGTGATCATTACAAATCCTTGACTTATAATATTTTATATCTTAAGTTATACCTAAAGTTATTATTATTAAGCACTCATGAAAATCCTACATAATTATTCATTGTTGCACTAAACTTCAGGAGATCAAGCTATTTTACATGCACACATCATGTTTATTTTTACAATTGACATGATTATTACAAAATATTAAATCTACTGCTGATTAGGTGGTTGAAAGCCATAGCCTGGATAGGGTTGTGGTCCTCCTGGTGGAGGAGCACCTGGAGCAGGAGCCCTAGCATAAGGATAAGGTGATGGAGGATATTGAGCAGGAGGATAACCTTGTTGATAAGCATGAGGTGGATAAGCTCCCCCAGTTGGTGCATAATTTTGAGGGTTCTGAGGATATGAAGACTGGGGAGGTGGTGCAGTCGATACAGATGGTGCTGGACTCCCGGGTTGTGATGATGGATTAGAATAAGGTGGTTGGGTAGCTGGTGGATAAGGAGATGGTTGGCCTGTAGGTGGATATTGTTGTCCAGGTGGTCCACTCTGGGGTGGAGCCCCAGAGGCCACTGTTGATGGAGGAACACTATTTCCATGGGAACTTGAATTATAAGTTGGAGATTGTGCAGATGGGGATCCATATCCAGTACTAGTAGGGTTCTGCGAAGTATACCCACTAGGTGGGGGCTGTGGAGACCTGTTAGGTTGTGACACAGGGGCTGAGCTGTAAGTCGGTGTGGTAATTGGGAATGGTTGCGACTGATAAGGTTGAGGCTGTGATGTGGTAGAATTATAAGAACTTACACCAACATTAGGGTAATTAGGACCAGATTGTGGGGGTGGATAGCCTGAATTCCCTGTATACGCTGGTTGACTTGACCCTCGTACTGGATAAGGTGAACCTGCTGCAGCAGGACTACCTGGTGGAGGTGCATATGGCTGTTGGCTAGATGACGGTGGATATCCAGAACCTGGATGTGTGGATGGAGGATAATTATTAGGAGCAGTAGTGATAGGTGGGCCATATGTTGAATTGGGTGGATAGCCTTGTGGCTGTTGTGGTGGATTAGGAGGCCCATATCCTTGTCCAGGTGGTCCATAGCCAGCCTGAGGTGGATACACTCCAGGTGCACCTTGGTATTGTCCTTGATATTGATTCTGTGGATAAGGCCTTTGACCGTATGACTGGGTTGGTCTTGTTGGAGTAGAAGAGACTCCAGAAGGTGGCCTATAAGATTGTTGCGGTGATCCTGGAACTTCTGCTCCACTAGTTGGTGGATTAAGTGGGCCTTGTTGAGCATTTCCTGCAGCCAATTGATGCGGTGGCTGCAAAATGTTCTATAATTAGATATTCCTTCAAAACAATTAAGTATTGACTTGTAACTGTAAGTCCATTTATTTTTTATTTATTTTTTTCTATAAAGGCTTATAGTCGCGTTAGTAAGTCCATTTAAACAAATTATATTATCAGATTTGTCAGTGTCATAATTGACTTCAGTTAAAATTATAATGTATAATGAAGTTTCTAAAATCTATTTTTAAAATATTTTATCTTAATAATGATTTATTACCACGTTTAAAACTCGTAAATCAGTAGTGATATTTACCGGCAGGAGTATGTTAATATTCTGATTGGCATCAGCCACAGTTGCCAAATATACTAAATTCCTGTGCAACACTTGCTGGTACTGGTGACATTCCATAAGCTGACCCTTAGCTTGATATTCTTGAATGGTCTGTATTAAATGAGCATTCTCATCTAACATTTTCTGAATTTGGGCTGGTGTCAATTGAGGTCGGTTACCTCGAGGTGCAAAGGCAACAGACATAACGTTAACGGTTTTTATTCGCAAGTTAAAAATATAGCAGTAATACTACTAATTGGAATATTATTCACATGATAAACTACATCAAAAATTATAAATTTAACTAGTATCGTAACTTGTAAATACAAAAGAAAGCGTCAGCGAGCGGGGGAAAGTGAGAGTGTTGCCACTTGCAGTTTTATTTGTCATCCATGATTGCCAGCTTGAGCTAGAAGCATAAAGCGGGCTACTCACACCCCTGCCGCACGACCAGGTCCAGGAGCAATCTAGGGTGTAAAAGTGGGGATGACCCTTAATTGCCACAAAACGGGGAAGATTTTTCGAAAGAAAGGCACCACATGCATGGACTGTTTACATTCATTAAGAGGTAAAGCAATTTATTGTGATATTTCTTTTAAACCTGTTTTTTTCGCTTTTATTGTGTAGGGACGAACCCGAGCGAGCGAAGATGAGTCGCTAGTAAGAAATATATTTACTTGTTTTTTTTTTTCGAAATTCATCCCTTAAAAGGGTAAAATGGGCTAATAAAGTTTATACAGAATGACTTGAAACTTGGTATTAATGCTCTTCAATACAATTAAATAAATACGTGTTTTAGAATTTTTCGAAATTCAATCCCATAATAAGTAATAAAGGTAAAATAGGGAATGAAAGTTTGTATGAAACTCTGTAATTAATATGTAAAAAAGTACAAAAAATAAAAAAATATTCTTCTATACTTTTCTATACGGCTACTGACACACCTGCCGCAGGGGCAATCTAGGGAGTACGGCGGTCGGAGCAATATCAGAGCTGTCTCTACACACGCGTTGAGAATGGCGGCCCAATATTATCGAAAAATCAAAAGACAGTGTTTCCAAAACTTGAAATTTTATCCACTTATGAGTAATTGTAAAAAATTCTAAAACCCATTAACTGACAATTTGAAAAATGTAGGTTTTTATTTAATTTTTTTTTTCATTTTTAATATTTATTTTAAATGATTACAAGTAGCGAAAGAAACTTATTATAGGTTATTATTATAATTATTACATATAATCATTTAATAATAATAATAAATTTCATAGATAATTCAGAAAATAATAAAAAGAAGGATAAATAATGCAAATGATATTTAAAGATATATGACTTTTCTAAGTATTTAAACGAAAATTTAAAAAACATTATTTATATTTAAGTCGTGCTGTTAAAGAAAAAACTCCTAAGAAAACGAAAGAAAGGTAGAGAAATTGCCGCGATCACGCTACATCCTACTACACACGCGGCAACGTGTAGGGCGGCAGGATCAATCTTAGGACCAAGGATGGTCTCGCGCCATCGTATATTGCCCCTGCGGCAGGTGTGTCTGTAGCCCGCTTTAGAGTTTAGAGTAAAGAAGATAGAAGCGCACTCACAACCTACTTTCACTTTGCTGGCGAGTTTTGATAAATAAGCGATTCGATTCCGTTGAGATGAATGCACAAGGGAATACAATTCGTCACTCGAGTCCACTCGCCTCGTTTCGGCAATCGGCAAGACATCGACAGAGTATAACATCTATCTCTACAATATAGTTTGCGAGGTAACATCTACGTAGTGATGTGCCAACTCGGAAAAAATGACTCGATTTAACTCGAGTTGAAATTCACATAACTCGAATTGAACTCGAGTTAACTGGATGAAAAATGAAGTGAATGATTTGTTTTCTTTGTACCAATTTAATGACTCAGCTTCGCAACAATATAAAAAAAATGGTACAAATTCGTAAAAAATATTTATTGGGACAAAAATAATTATTTATATATTTTTTAAATTTAATTATATTATTATTAGCAGAACCCACGGCTTTGCTCGCGCTTAAACTACAAAAAAATACTCTAAAAAGGTAGGTTTCATACAAACTTTCATCCCCTATTTTACCCTTACGGGATAAATTTCGAAGAATGCTAAAACATGTATTTATTTAATTGTATTGAAGAGCGTTAATACCAAGTTTCAAGTAATTCTGATCGTAAGTATTTTTTTGGGTTGTATTATAACGTGTTTTCCCGTGAGAATGAGATACTCTTCCGCGGGTATAAAGTAGCTTACATCACTCTCTAGCCCTCTAACTGTCTTCACCCAAAAAATTACCCCAATCAGTCACTCCATTTCGACGTGAAAGAAGGACAAACAAACAAACACACTTTTACATTTATAATATTAGTATGGATATTATAACGCTGTCATTCGATTGATACGCTATGGCGGGAGTAAAAACGACAGCAATTTAAGTTAAACACTGCGGCATCTTATTTGGTTGTAATAGGAGCGATTTTGCAACATAATTGTATAGTGTGAAGTGCTGACGAGTGACGACTGTACAAAGCGTGCACACAACGAACGAATCGCCGCGCTTGCGTAAGAATGAGAACGCGTCAATCGCGTACTTCGCTTGATTCGTTTATTTACCACGCCAATACCAAATTTAAGTCAGAGAGAATATAACTCGAGTTAGTAAATCGAGTTGACACATCTTTACAAATTAATACGTTTTATCGACATCGACAATTAACAAGTCAGACTTTGACATAGAGTATATTGCTACATGATACATATATAAAGTTATTAAAGACTTTGAACTTTGTTGTTAACTGTTCTTTTAGAACTTAGAAGTTTATCGTAAAGCAATAGATTTGGTTTTATAGTAAGACTTTGAATTTTGATATCTATTATTTTTATTATTTCAATTTGAAATGGCATTAAAAGGAATAAAAGTTATAGAAATGTTAGGACTAGCACCAGGCCCTTTTTGTGGATCAATATTATCAGATTTTGGAGCAACTGTTACTGTTATTCATAGGGTATCTTAAATAAATACTCTAGTTGATAAAATATAAATTTTCTTTACTTTAACTCTTTATATATATCTATTATTATTTTTCTAGATAGGCCCTTCAGGTTTGGATGTAATGTCTAATGGAAAAAGAAACATTTCCTTAGATTTGAAAAGCAAGGAGGGTATACGAATATTAAAAAAGCTTTGTGGCACGTCTGATGTTTTAATTGATACTTACAGGCCAGGGGTCTTAGAAAAGCTGGGACTTGGACCTGACATTCTTTTAAAAGAAAATGATAGATTGATATTTGCACGATTAACAGGATATGGCCAACATGGTTACTATAGAAATAAGGCTGGACATGATATAAATTATGTTGCCATGTCTGGCATACTTGCAATGCTTTCTAAAAATAATGAACCTCCACAACCTCCGCTTAACATTATTGCTGACTTTGCTGGTGGAAGTGTTTTATGTGCCTTTGGAATTTTATTAGCATTATTGGAGAGAACTAAATCTGGAAAAGGGCAAATAGTTGATGCAAGTATGACTGAAGGGGCTGCATATGTCGCAAGTTGGTTATTTAAATCAAGAGAACTATCAATTTGGAATGGAGAACCTGGTAGTAATATCTTAGATGGTGGTGTACCTTATTATGCAACATACAAAACAAAAGATGGTAAATTCATGGCGGTAGGTGCATTAGAGCCCCAATTTTATCGAAATTTTTTAAAAGGATTAAATCTCTCTGAGGATATCTACGCTCAAGGTGAAATAGAACTCTGTAAGACAAAATTTACAGAAGTCTTTCAAACAAAAACACAAGATGAATGGTGTACAATTTTCAAAGATTTAGATGCATGTGTAACTCCAGTTTTGGATACAAGAATGGCATATAAACATGAATGTAATTCATCAAGGAAATCTTTTTATATAAACAATGAAAATTTTATTGTGCCAGAACCTGCACCAAAATTGTCCAACACACCTGGAATAGCAAGTGGCAAACAAATAAAACCTGAAGGAGGACAACACACTGTTGAAGTTTTACAAGAATTAGGATACACTAGTCAAGAAATTCAAGAATTTATTGAAAGTAACTGTATATATGTACATAAAAAGTCTAAATTATAATCAGTCCAATTGTAATATTTTATTAACAGCAGATTTTATATCGAGTAATTTTGATATATTACTATTTGATAAGGTGTGTTCTGTAATTAAGGGATGGTTTTGAATTAAAGTGATTACTTTTCTTAATTGACATAAGTCAAAAATAACATGATTTCTTTCAAAATAATACCTATTAAATAAAAAAAAAAAATCACCTTTAATGTAGTTTAATCTTTTTTGAGCTATATGTGAAATGAATTTAATAAAAGCCTCAAAATCCATACCAAAGACTGATTTGAGAATAAGTTGACATTGGGTTGTAAATTCTGGAGTATTTTTGAACTCTTCAATTTCATGTTCAACAGAAATCAAATTATTTTGCAAGGAATTCCATACTATCTCAATGTTACAAGCATTTATAAAGTTATGATTAATAGAAATAGTATCAAGCAAATTAAAAACTTGGTGATGCCATCCAGAGGGAACAAAAATTCCATCTCCTTTTTCTTGAATTATTTCAAAATATTTAATGTCATCATGATTTTCAGCATTAAATAATAAGGGTAGATTTCCCAAAGAGTCTTTTATCTTTTCTTCTTCTCCTGGAGGTAGCAAGATCCATTTCTTTCGACCTACCACATTGACTGACCAACTATAAGATGTGTAGACATCTGCATGAAAAGGTGTCCTAAAAATTATATAAAAATAACTTTATTCAATAGTATGTACTACTAAATTAATGAAAATTATCAAATGGTTACAAACCAAGTACCCTCAGGTCCTATATATACAAACATGAAATCATCATCCTGATAATCTGAAGCAAATTCATTCAACCAATCGGAGGCAAAAAATTCAGGAACTTCATAAAAATTACAATCTGGTACAATTCTTTTTAAGTGCCAATCTTTTAAATACAATAGTTTATCCTTATTTTTACTTTTAAAATAGTTCATATAATCATTGACTTTCATATTGATCTTGCAATGTGAGTTAAAAGTTATGCTATCACAGTTTGCAACAGGTGCATCAATATCACCATATTGGGTTACAAAATAATCACAATTAATAGTTCCATTCTTAACCCATTCATTAGAACATAGCCAAGTATGAGATATATTTTTTATAATACAAGGCAAATTTTGCATCATATGTTCTTTGAAAAATAGTTCATATTGGAGGTCACGGCTATCGTAAGTTTTAATATCACTGACAGAATAATTATATTGAGGTAACTCATTACATTTCACATTAACGTCAACACCAACTTTTCCTGAATTATTCATTATTTATTATTTAAATTTCTTAGTATTTATGGAATAAATATGGGACATCATATTTTCCTCCAAATATTATTATCTTCGAGTTAAAAACTTTATATTATATAAAATGTTCGTGATCTATAAAGATTTCGTAGGTATATTGAAATAATTCTAATTTCTCAGCCTAGTTATTTAATATTCATCTGTATTATTCATCGACTGGACAGCGGACTGCTGAGTGCTGACAGTATATATCTATACTCTTTGGTGCTGACTGCTCACAACTCACAACTGACATTTGAAAGTTAAAATTTAGAAGCTAAAACCATCCATGGATAAATCATAAAACCATAAAACTTGAAGTTTGAAGTGGAACCATGGATGATGGATGACAAATAAAACTAATACTATATGAAAATAGAAATAAACATTGATTCATATTAAATTTAACAGATTATTTATGCAAGTATACAATTACTTTTTTTTTGCGTTTCTCTTACCTACCCTACCCCAGCCTGCAAATTTATGATTGCAATGAAAAAAATACTAATCGATAGATTTTCAATAGCTCAATTTTGCTCTCCTTTAAAAATCAATAAAGTCTTTGAAAAAAAATTAATATCTTTTGATGTATATGCTCAAAGTTCTAAAACAAAATGAAAATCTTGTATTGATGTTAATTTTACTAATGATCCCTGTCATGGCTATTACCTTAATAGAATAAGCATTTGAACATAAGATTTTGTCTTAATTTATCTGTTGGTATTAATTTTCATTTATTGGTAGATTCCAGATCTGTTCTTTATGTTATAATATCTGAAGTGGAATCACACAATGTGAACAATTCATAATTCAATAAATTTAAAGAAATCCACCGAGAAACAGAATTAAGACGTTGAATTGGAACGATTGTCCAAGCCCGCCGAGGCCGACCGACAATGCGCGGTGCGCATGCGCACGCTCACTTAACCTACGTTACATTTATTACAACTATACTTTTAATTATTTAATAATCAGCGAAAGTGGAGCTGGTGAGAACTCTACTTGAGCAATTACAAATGCAACTTGAGCAGTATTTTAGAACTTTGAGCAATTTAAAATATTGTATATATCAAAAGATATAGAAATTTGAATATACGGATAAATGAATTTTTTTTCAAGGACTTTATTGATTTTTAATTTTATAATTAATGGTGAGCAATTTGGAAGGGCTACGTAGTTGAATTGAGCTATTAAAAATCTATCGATTAGTATTTTTTTCATTGCGAATATCATAAATTTGCAGGCTGGGGTAGGGTAGGTGTTTCTCTTCTTCATTTTAGTGCCGTAAGCCATTGGCAAATTAATCTATGCTCTGAAGCATTTCATTTGAAAATTGAATTGAGAAGAATTTTTGCCCGTAAAATACAGTTCGATATCGATATACAAGCAATAAACACTATAAATGGCTCCTTTTGCCAGTCAATTCATATGCTCCTAAATTTAAATGTTGAACATATTTTACTTGTACGTGTGTACTTGACGGTGCTGTCTTTTTTACCCGACTGCACGACGCAAAGGAGTGTAATGTCTTTATCAGTCTATGTATGTATGTTTGTTCCTCATAACGCGAGTTTCGTCTTCGTAACTCGAGTGTTATAGGCTATGTAAAAATAGTTAAAAATTTAAAATGATGGATTTCAGGCGGCATTTTGAGTCATGTGTCTTTAAAACACATAGTGTGTACTCATGTATGCACGTAATACAGAAGTTATACTTCTTTGGCGTAACAGAACAAAAATAGCTAAAGATTATCATCCCGTATGTCACAATTGTCTCTTTGTTAAACGAAATGCAGCTAAGTTCATCATATCGCCTGCAGCTAACTTCATAATGTCGCTTTTTGGCTATCGGTGTGCGCGCGCAAGTATTTACGGGCGTTAGTGCGTATTTAGTGTCGCTCTCGCTCACGAGCTCATAATGTCTATTTCAATAAGATTTAAATTCCAAAAAATATTTAATGTACAGGTTCAGCTTGGTTACAATTTTATTATATGTATAGTCAAAAATATGTCAAGCCAAACGTAATAGTCAACATAACTTCAACGTCCATGTCTGCACAGCTTGCCTGTCCAGAACACACTAAAATTTAGTGTGTTAGTATTTAGTGCCTAAATACTAATCATAGATGACAAATAAAAATACTAATGCACTGGCAAGTGGCAAGCGTGTAAGTGCCATCCAAGTTGGATGGCATTTACACGCTTGCCACTTAAATTAAATTACAATGCATTAAAATGCAAATTAAAAAACTTTATTCTTACAAATTACCTGCTTATTACGTCTACACTAAAAATCCAAAAATAAAAACTTTTAAAAAATAAATAAAAACCGACTTCCAGGCACTGCAATGTAAAAAATAACTAAACGGAGGTTTTCATTAAGAATAGTTAAAGTGGAAAGCCTAAATAACAATACTAGTCATTAAGTGTTAAAAAATAACCATTCGATATGCAAACATTATATAGTTCCGTCATTTTGGATAAATATCCGATAAAAATGAGTGAAAACGAGTATTTATCCATTCTTGATAAATACTTGAGTTTTTATCTTCCGAGTAATTATCCTCCGTCCATCACTACATCCAATCGTTCGTAAAGGCTTGGAGCTTGTATAGATGTTGGCCAAACCTCGGCAAGTGTGTAAATGTAGCATTAGATTGTTATTTTTTCTTGTTAGTTGTTGTACCTATAAACTTTGAGTGCTTATTCCTTAGTTAATCTGTGGATGGCGGTGCTTGGGGAGCTACGCCAAGTTTTTTGTTTCGTAAAACATACGATTATTTTAATAATTTCAACTTATTTTGATAGTATCGTTTTTATTTCTTTATAGATATATTATACTAATATGTTGTGTGATAATATTCACTATGTATTTCTTTGAAATTGTTAAATTTTGCCCTATAAATTTTCTTGGCGGTAACAATATCATGATTACCAACAAAAATATTGTGCTTATAAGAAACTTATTAGCTAAGGAATACTAGTTTATTTCGTCTATTTACTTTAGAAAATCGTGTATAACTTTATTTGTAAATAATTTTGAGATCAAGTTTAAAGAAAAATCTATCGATATGAATGATGTTCGTGATAAAGTTGTTGCTGGATCTTCGTCGTGGGAGGCTACACCAAATCTTAGTGACTCTTCACCAGAGATACAATCATCGCCTGGTGGTAGTGGTGATACTCCACAAACTCCAGGTGCCCCAGCCCCTTTGGCTCCTCATCTTGCTGCTGAATTGCATCCTGATCTGCTACAACAAGGTTGGCGCAAGTATTGGTCTAGAAGAGAAAACAGACCATATTTTTGGAATAAAGTATCTGGTGAATCTATGTGGGAATTACCAGCAGTCAAAAGAGACTTTGATCCAATAACAGATCCTCTTGGAATATGTCATACAGGTCCTCCTAATGCCGGTAATGTTACTCCAAGTGCTACTAAGAGACGTCCTTCTGAAGACAATGGCCCTCCAGCCAAAAAATTTGTACTTGCCGGACCATGGGATATTGAAGTACCTACTAATGTTGTAATATATGAACGCCCTCCAACTATATGTCCACACCCACATCCTGATATTGAAGGATTTCGGTTCACCTTAGCAAACAAATTAAGGCAATGCTATCAAGAGCTATGTCACACAAGAGAAAGTATAGATGCTCCGAAAGATTCTTTTAATAGATGGTTAATGGAGAGAAAAGTCAATGACCAAGGTGGTTCTGATCCACTACTTCCAAGTCATTGTTTCCCTGAAATATCAAGATCTATGTATGAAGAAATTATGAATGATATACCAATAAAACTAACTCATCCAAAATTTACTGGTGATGCTAGAAAACAACTATCACGCTATGCTGAAGCAGCTAAAAAAATGATTGAATCTAGAAATGCATCACCTGAAAGTCGCAAAGTAGTTAAATGGAATGCAGAAGACACATTTCAATGGTTAAGGCGTACTGTTGGTGCTACATATGATGATTTTCAAGACAGATTAGCACATTTAAGAGTAAGTAAATACTATATTATGAATCCTTCAACAATTATATATGATGAGTTATTATGTTACTTAATCCTTTAAATATTTTTTTTAACAGAGACAATGTCAACCACATTTAGCTGAGACTGCAAAAGCTTCAGTAGAAGGAATTTGCCTTAAGATTTATCATTTATCTGCCGAGTATGCACGTAAAATAAGAGAAAAACATGGAGTTCTCTTAAAAGAGAATGGAATACAGGTACATATTATTTCAATATGAAATTATTATTAATATTATATTCTCATAACAACTATATGTACTGCGCCGACCCCAAGTGATTTGGGAAATGGGCAGGGAGAAGAAGAAGAAGAATTCTCATAACAACTATATAAATGAACTATTAAATTATTTCTAACTAGGGACTCACCCTCGCTTCGCTCGGGTTCATCCCTAGTGATTCCCCATACAAACTTTCATTCCCTGAAGGGATGATTTCCGGGATAAAAAGTATCCTATGTCCTTCCCAAGGTCTCAAACTATCTTCTTACCAAATTTCATCTAAATCGCTTCTGTAGATCCAGAGATAACCCCAAACATACAGCCCAACAGCAACATAAACTCACAAACTTTAGCTCTTTATAATATTAGTATAGACTAGTGATGTCTCTAGGTAAGTGTACATAGCCCCTAGGTGTGTTGCTACAGCTTAATAGAAAAATCTTTTTAACAGGAATAATTCTGAAAACCCTTTTGGTAGTTTTTGAGTTTATTGCATTCAGACAGACAGGCAGACGCGGCGGTAGACTTTATTTTATAATTATTTCTAATGTCTGATACTATTAATGTCATATTAAGTCATAAATTTTATAAAAAAAATAATAGTGATCAGTCCTATGTTCTCCCCTTCAATGGGTAAAATAAAATATTAAAAATACCCCATCGGGTAAAAAAGAAAAACGGTGGCGGTCACTTACCCAATAGAGATCAGTGAAAAATGCCTATAATATGTGGTGGATTACTCGATACTGTCATAAGCCCAGTTTAATTATTGCCTCTTTGCAATATGAGGAATTGATTAATAAAATTATACGTCTAATTTTCAAATGTTTAAATTACTATTTATTCATTTATATTATATAAATTAAAAAAATATAAATAACACATTGTGTTTTTTTAAGTTATGCCTTTGGTTCGCGCCAAAATGCCGTTTATATTCAAGTGCGCTTTGTAAATAGTAAGAAACTTAGTAACAATATAAAAATTATATTAATTTTAGGAACAATTATACGTGTAGACTAAAGGTATTAAAAATCCTAGGAAATTTTGAATTAGATTATTTCTTCTTTTAAATGAAATGAAATAACATTAGTTGATGAACGTTAATATTGAGCTATTAAAAAACTAATATGGCACCGATAATTTAAAATGTATATTCAATAATTAAGTTACATTATATATATTATTCATACATTTATAGCAAAAATTGAATGATTGTTCTTTTGGTTTTTTAATTATGGGGGCCCGATAATTTTGCCGCAACTAAAATCATACCGCCCGGTCTTTACTAGCCAGCTAGCTAAATCCAGCACTGATGGCGCACATAGGGGCAGAGGGACAATATTTTTGAAATCTGTATCGATCACTTATCCACTACACAGCCTCGTATTTTTCTATACAGAGATACTTTTTAAATTAATTTTTAATTAATCTCATGACTATACTGTACACCAGGAGCTAGCAGCGCCCCTGCAGCAGGCGGCGCTGCGCAAGGTGTGGTGCTACCCTGTGCAGTTCGCGCTGCCGGCGCCGCGCTCGCCGCTCGTGGAGCACTTCCTCGACCGCGACCAGGCGCTGCTGCGGTACCTCGGCGAGACGCAAGTGCTCAACGCTTCTTATTTGCAGAAACTTGTGAGTTGTATTTTTAAACTCGATCTGAGACGATTTTTACCGACTTAATTCACAAATATTGTCATCTTTTTAGATATCCCTCTTTCTATTGGTGAAAATCGTATGAAAATTCTCACGTTAGTTTTTGAGTTTAATAGCGTCAACAAACACAAAGTCAACTTTAATTTATAATGTGGTAGTATTTTTAATGTAATGAAATTTTAACATTATAACCGATACCGAGACAGATTACATTATAAAAGAAAGTGTTCTTTCATTACAATCGAGAATTAATTGTGTGAGCTGTGTTGTTCTATAGGTAAATAGTAAATAGTAATAATCTATACTAATATTATAAAGAGTAAAGATTACTACTAATATTATAAAGAGTATAGAATAGGCACCAAAACTATTGAACCGATTTAGATGAAATTTGATAAGAAGATAGGTTTACACCCTGGGATGGACATAGTTTTTATCCTGGAAATCATCCCTTATGGGGGTGACAGTTTGTATGGGGAAGCAACCTAGGGACAAACCCTAGCGAAGCAATTATGATTTGCTAGTCTGGAATACAATTGCAGTGGAGGTATTCATCAGTAATCTAGAAAGAATCAAAAGTAAATACGCAACAGATGCAGGCGGAGCGGTGCGAACATTTATTTTGCTGTATCGTTAGTGTTAAGACTCTAGCAACTACTTAGCCCGATAGACGCCTAATTAATGTACTTCTGCACCCAAACCTGTCAGTCGAAAGTTTGAGTTGAGCGTTACGGGGGAGGCGGCTTGAAATGTACGCTGATTGGTTAATTCAATACAAATAGTGATGGGAACCAAAAGTTTTATATCGTATCGTAGGTAGGTGTCGTATTTAGTAAAATAATTTTCTATTTTAAAGAACATTTTTAATTAAGACAAGTTTTCTTTACTATAATGAAATAACAACAGAATACTTAATATTATTTATACGGGTTTTTTCAAGGTTTATTTACAGGTATATTCCATGGTTAAAGTTTTTAGAAAACTGTACCTTACACTCTGTATAACTAAACTACTACTTATTTACATTAACTTATTATTTATAAAAAAAAATACATTAGGTACTTATTACAATTATTTATTCTTTACATTTAGTTGTTTTTGAAATGTATTAACGTTGGACTCTAGTGAGTAGCATGTACGGCCGCAGATCCGAGTCCTGGGTTCGAGCCCCGGGAAGTGCTAAGTATATTGTATAGATAAATTGTGTCTAAGTCGCTAGTGTTTAAATTGTCGCGTTTTATAATAATATATAAAAAAATTTTAACAAAAAAATAAAAACCGACTTCAAACAAAAGCACTAAAAAGTAAAAAGTAACTGATTGGTAGTTTTCATTTACTATACATACGTAATCAAATATTTTCGAAGTTGGTGTGCTTTGTTGATATTTTATGTGGAAATAAATAAAAATGACTGATTGAATATAACAAATATATATTATTAGCAGTAGCACGACCAAAGAGTATATAATAGTTACAAACTGTACACGGCACAAATGATGAAAAAGAGAGGATTTTATGCTTACATGACGCGATTTATATACAGTTTACATTGACAGGTCATGAATGTTGCCAACTTAATTATAATTTGTTTGCGTTCTTACTTGCCAACACTCCCCACAGAACGCAAACCCATTTTACTTATACAGAACAAATGTTTTTCAAAAGTCGTACCTTTAGTTAAGTTATCAGCTACCATATTGCAACCATTTACAAATTTAAATTTAACTTTAGAATTAACAATGTTATCTCTAAGAAAATGTAAACGAATATCTATATGTTTAGTTTTAGATTTATAACAGTCTGTTGATGCCAGTCTTATTGCACTTTGATTGTCACAATGGATGAGTAGCGCGCTGTCCACGCCTTGCCCGAGCTCGTCCTGCAGTTGCCGCAGCCACAGGGCCTCCTGGGACGCCGCTGACATCGCCATGTATTCGGCCTCCGCCGTAGAGAGTGCCACGGTTTGCTGTTTACACGAATTCCAAGATAAACAAGCATTCTGAAACAGAAAAATATAACCCGTACATGATCGTCTATCCACTGGGTCACTCGCCCAGTCAGCATCACAATATCCAGTTATTTCCTTTGAATCATCTTTGACATAGCATAGCTTCAGGTTCCTGGTTCCTTGAAGATACCTCATGATCCTTTTTATTCCAAGCCAGTGTTGATTTCCTGGATTATTACAGTACTGACTCAACTTGTTAACTGCGTATGTAATATCAGGTCTCGTGACATGTGCCAGATATAACAGACATCCCACTGCTTCCCTGTATGGGATATTTTTGTTTCCATCTTTGGGATTTTTCTCAAATTTTGCATTCACCTGTATCGGGGTACGAACTGGTTTGCATTCAGACATATTAAAGCGGTCTAATACTAGGTTAATGTATTTTTCTTGATCTAACATAATCATACCTGCCTCTCGGTTCCTGCTTATATTTATGCCGATACAGTTCTTCATTTCACCTAGGTCTTTCATACTGCATTCTCCTTTTAACTTGTTTTTAATCTCTGTTGTTTTATCCTTATTATTTGTGAATATTAAAAGATCATCCACCCACACTGCAATGAATATAGTTATAGACTTATTAACTAAATAATAAATACAGGGATCTACATGTGATCTTTGTAAGCCAATTTTTAATAAAATATTATTTAATTTAAGATTCCACTGCCGGCTAGCTTGTTTGAGTCCATAAATTGATTTATGTAAAATACATACTTGATCATTCCTTTTTTTTTTTGTAATATTCTGGTTGTGACATGTATATCTCGGTATCTATGTCACCCTGAAGAAAAGCACTTATAGCATCCATCTGAAAAATTTCTAAATCATACTAATCATACGAAAGCAAGTATCGAACAGATGTATACCTTACAACAGGAGCATATGTCTCATCATATTCACTTCCTTTCCTCTGAGCATACCCTTTGATAACCAGTCTTGCTTTAAAACGGATAATCTCACCTTTGTCATTTGTTTTAGTTTTATAGACCCATTTACATGGTAAGACTCTTTTCCCAGATGGTGCATCAACCAGTGACCAAGTTTTGTTTTTAATCAGAGAGTCATACTCCTCTTGCATAGCCTTTTTCCATTGGTCAGCATAAGGTGATGATAATGCGTCGTCAGTTGTCTGTGGATCATTTAAATTAAGTATCGGACAGAAGTAACTTACATCATGGTCATCTGTTTCTGCATACTTAATAGGTCTCCGTGGACGTAAATTTATGTTTCTTAATGGTGACTCGAGATCCATCGATTGTTCCGGTATGTAGGATGTATTGTCATTATCATCAGACTGGTAGTCCTCGCTTGACTCACCAGTAGAATGGTTTGTGCCGTGCTCTCTTTCATCATTTGTGCCGTGCTCTAATTTTTCTTTACAGGTTTCTTCGAGTGGCTGTATCTCTGAACTGCTGCTGTTGGATGTACAAGGTAAGTATATATTATTATCATATTTTTCCACGTTTTCTAAAAATACAATGTCTCTACTTTTTATGATTTTATTAGTATCTGGATCAAGTATTCGATATCCTTTGGTAGATTCACAATAACCAACAAACAATAACTTTCTGGATTTGAAATCCCATTTTTGGCGTTTTTCTTTTGGGACTTGTGTCATTACTTCACAGCCAAATATTTTTAAATTAGACAAGTTGGGTTTCTTACCAGTCCACATCTCCATAGGAGTTTTACCATCAATTGATTTTGTAGGTGATCTGTTAATTACATATGCTGCAGTTGCAAGGGCCTCTGCCCAGAACTGTTTTGCAAGCTGAGCATCAAACAACATACATTTTGCTCTTTCCACCAGTGTCCTGTTCATTCGTTCAGCAAGACCTTTCTGCTGGGGTGAGTACGGAGCACTTGTTTGATGTTCAATTCCATATTTGTTCAAGAAGTTTTCAAATTCTCTATTACAGTATTCTTTTCCATTATCAGAACAAATTATTTTTATTTTTCTTTCATGTTCATTCTCTGCTTTGTTTTTGTAATCTTTGAAAACTTCTAGAATATTTAATTTATTTTTCAAAAAAATAGACATGTACTCGTCTCGTGTAATCGTCTATGAAAGTAATAAAATATTTCATACCTCCTAAAGATTCTTGCTCCATTGGTCCACATAAATCAGTGTGGACCAGTTGCAGTGGGTGTGAAGATCTTGAACCGATGTTGTTAAAGGGCAATCTGGTCTGTTTCCCAGAGAGGCAGGTAGTACAGGTAATAGAACCTTTATTTTTGTTTGTGAACGGCTGTACTCCCTCAGCACACTCTGGCAGCTTGTTAACATCTGAAAAATTCAGGTGTCCCATGCGTCTGAATTTTACTTTCTTCATTACCATTTAGCAATAAATTGACCTTTCCCATACTTTCCACAGGTAGCGGTGTCTTACTGGCTACAGTTATGGTGGGTATCGGTGGACTTGTGACATCATACATCCAGTGACATCTATTTGTCATATGCATGGAGGCACCTGAGTCCACATACCACAGGTCCGGATTCATTGTATGAAATGCTGAAAAAGCTGCAACAAAACTTTTATTACTTTCTATATTTTCTACATTCTTCCTTTTCGGAGCATGACAATTCCTTGCAAAGTGTCCATGCTTGTTACAATTATAACATCGGAGTCCTTTGTGAACCTTTGTTGAATCATGTTGATTTCTTTGAATGACCTTTTTCCTTGTGAAGAATGCTGAGTTATCTGAGCATTGAACTTCCTGCAGGAGTTTAGATTTAATAGAATCTGCACTTATCTTGATGCCAGAGCTCTCCAGTCCCATTATCATGGGTTTATATGCTTCAGGGAGGCTAACATACATTACAGCTGACATCAGTGTACCGAGCCATTCATCATTTACATCAAACTTGATATTCCTGAGTTTGTGAGCAGTCGACATGATTTTATTCACATAATTATCTACGCTTCGAGAAGATTCTAATGAATTGTAACCTGAATTCGACATCTTCTATGCGTATTTAAGATTTTTACGGTTTGTGACTGAGCACGCGGTACGCCACGCCGGATAACCACAAAATGGCGGACAACACGCCGGCCGGTATTCTTAGTTTTACTGCTAACTGCGTTACTTCTTTCTTCTTTTATTTCCACAATTAGTAGCAATCAACTACGCTCTGCTACCATGTTGATATTTTATGTGGAAATAAATAAAAATGACTGATTGAATATAACAAATATATATTATTAGCAGTAGCACGACCAAAGAGTATATAATAGTTACAAACTGTACACGGCACAAATGATGAAAAAGAGAGGATTTTATGCTTACATGACGCGATTTATATACAGTTTACATTGACAGGTCATGAATGTTGCCAACTTAATTATAATTTGTTTGCGTTCTTACTTGCCAACATGCTTTGCTTTGTATGGGCTGGCACCGATTTCGAAAATATTTGATTAGGTATGTATTTAATAGGTAGGGCTTTAATCACTTAGCCAAAGCACACCGACTTCGAAAATATTTGATTAGGTATGTATAGTAAATGAAAACTACCAATCAGTTATTTTTTACTTTTTAGTGCTTTTGTTTGAAGTCGGTTTTTATTTTTTTGTTAAAAAGTTTTTATTTTTCCCTTTTTAGTGTAGACAGTAGTAGCAAAGTAACAATTCTAACGTGTTAGGCTTGTCAAATCAAACAAAATAAGCCCAAACTCAAACTATCTATTATTAGCCGTTGAAGAGTTCCACTTATCCACCTTCTGGCCTTACCATCAGATCAGGTCAACAATACCGAACCACTGTACTATCAACGGAAATAGAAACACTTGCAAAGTTTCAAGTCAATATGACAATTAGAAGTAGGTTAAGTTAGAGGTGGTATTTTTTTTTGAAATTTAAATGGGACCAATCTGGAAGTATACACTTTCAAACAACACAAAAATTGTCCAAATCGGTTAATAAATGACGGAGTTCTGAGGTAACAAACATAAAAAAAATACAGTCGAATTGAGAACCTCCTCCTTTTTGAAGTCGGTTGAAAATAAACACTACGGGACTATATGTATGTAAATAGTAAATACTTACCTGAATATTGACTCCGCCCGTAACCACGGGTGCAACCCAGTCGAAACGTCGAGAACTAAATATTTTAACACTCACAAGTATACCCGTGTTAAGTTTCATAGTGTTATTTTTAGGGTTCCGTACCCAAAGAGTAAAACGGGACCCTATTACTAAGCCTCCGCTGTATCTCATGAACCGTGATAGTTAAATAGTTGAAATTTTCACAGATTATGTATTTCTGTAGCCGCTATAACAACAAATACTAAAAAACAAACTAAATTAAAGTTTTAACTGGGGCTCCCATACAACAAACGTGATTTTTTGCCGTTTTTATAGATAATGGTACGGAACCCTTCGTGCGCGAGTCCGACTCGCACTTGGTCGGTTTTATATATTACTAGCGGACCCGACAGACGTTGTCCTGTCTACACGTCTTTAATTTGAAAATTTCAAACTTTTTTTAATAATTTTTTTGATGAAAATTATTATTCAAATTGTGAATCTAAACCATTCCCAGATCCCCTTGAACACACACAAAAAATTTCATCAAATTCGGTCCAGTCGTTTGAGAGAAGTTCAGTGACATACACACTCACAGAAGAATTATATATATAAAGATTATCTATTTGATCCCATTGATCAAAGTCCGTCGCGTGTACAGGAGTACCTGTACAGATACAGCTGCTTCGACGATAAGAAGTTCGAGCAGTTCCTGTCGCGCGTGTGGTGCGTGCTGCGGCGGTACGCGGCGTGGGTGGGCGCGGCGGGCGCGGGCGCGGGCGACGCGCACGTGGCGCAGATGGCGCTGCCCGTGCCCGTGCTGGAGTGCCTGCACCGCTGCTTCGGGGTCACCTTCGAGTGCTTCGCGAGCCCCCTCGACTGCTACTTCCGGCAGTACTGCTCGGCCTTCGCTGACACTGACTCGTATTTTGGTTCGAGAGGGTGAGTGTTGGTTGCTTTTACTTTTGTTGTATGAGATTATTTAACTGTTTGAGTACATTACATTAGATGGCGTATGAGTTTGTTTTTCTTTAAGTTTGAACTTTGAACTCAATAGGCGTTAGGTTGGATACAATGTTTATCAATTTAGAGCGTATAAATTATTAGTAAATTGGCTTAATTAAACATAAAAGTCACACGGAAACAACTATTTTAATTTATTTATATTAAAGACTCATCCTGAGGTACACTCTCATGTAATTTTTTTACCTCAGTTATAGGATTGGAATGTGAACCTTGGTTATTTTATGTAATTACACTACGGAAATGTACCGCGGTTTCGTCACATTAGCTTGCTTTTTATGAATATTTAAAATAAATGGCTAAATGCTTAGAGAATAAAGATAGGTAATCAGACTGATGGACATATTGAAATTATACAGATTCCGCTTTAGCCATTTGGTTATGGAACTCTAAAATAAAAACTCATTCTCAGGCCCTTTTTGGAGCTGCGGCCGGTGGCGGGGTCGCTGGTGGCGCACCCGCCCTACTGCGAGGAGCTGCTGGAGGCTGCGCTCCGGCACATGGAGCGCCTGCTGCAGGACTCGGCCGAGCCGCTCAGCTTCGTGGTGGTGCTGCCCGAGTGGCCCGACCGCCACACGCACGCGCTGCACAAGCTGCAGGCCAGCCATTTCAAACGGAAACAGGTGGGGATATAAAACTATCTATAACGTACTAAAGACTCACCTTCGCTTCGTTCGAGTTCGTCCTAGGTACGTGTCCAATGGGAATAAGATATTCTCCTGCAGTAAAAAGTAGCCTATGTCACTCTCGACCTTTCCAACTACCTGTATACAAAAAATCATCCCAACCCGGCACTCTATTTCGACGTGAAAAGAGGACAAACAAAGGAAGGGTTCACACCTTTCTTGGTCGATGAGGTGACGAGTAATAACGGAGAGTGGAAGAGAAAAACGTACTGCTCCGATCCCAAGCAATTTGGGAAATGGACAGAGATGTGGTGATGAATGGTATGTGTACAGACCATTTCAAACAGAAACATACCAGTACAGCTTATACCATAGCTATTGACCTGCCGGTGGGCCTCCAAATTTTTCTCAGGCTTTGGCAGTACTATTTATACTAGCACAAAATATAACTACTATAGTCCATTCGCGTTAAGAAAATAGTGAGTCGTAAGTGCAACTGCTGAGTGAAGGTTTATTCATAATGGAGTAAAAATGCATTTTAAATATATTTCTAAACATTAAGTTTAATGGATGAAAATCTACTTAATTGTCAAATCAAAATGTCTTTGATAATAAGTATATTTATTCAGTATAACTAGAATGTTCATTTCTATTTATTATAAAAGAATCTAAATCATTTAAATCACACAGTTTAAAGTAATTAAAAACATTGTAAACTATTCTTCTTTCTCCACTATGAATTATCGATCCATTTTTATTCTTATGAATAGGTGAGGTATTCATTTTTAAAATTTATTGTAGATAACGCACAAAAGACAACCGTTTCGTACGAAAATCTGCTTTCAACTTGTCATTGTGAACTGACTTTATAATTTTATGTAATTTCATTGGTCGGGGGGCGTGGCTAGCCCGGTGGACACCAATGACTACACACTATTTTCTTAACGTGATTGAACTATAATTTGAGTAGTCTATGGAATCTCCTGATTTAGATTATATTTTGGGCTATTCTATTCGGCGGCTTTGATAAACGCTAGATAACGCTGATATTAAAAGGCGTTGCCAAATTGGAATGCGCCTATATGTATATCTAGCTTTATAGGGTGGGGTATCAATTTTTTTTATAAAAATGTTTACACATTCCATATATGTATCTAAAATATTTATAATATATTTTTTACCTAAATATTATATACAAATTCATCGCTCTATGAGAAGACCGCTACTGTAAAATATTCATCACCACAGAAAAGTTACTGACTTAGCACGGTGAATTGTTTTAATGGTTTTTTTTTTTATTTCAGGTTGTAATACCTGCTTTTGAACACGAATATCGTCACGGTTTTCAGCATATACTACCAAAGTAAGTTTTAAATTATAATTGTTGGTTTTAAAACGTTATTTTTTAAATAACCTAATAATTGTCGGATTTATAATTTTATTTAATGCCCATAGTGGACCAAATAGTTTTAGATATATCAAATAATTGGTGGTTTAGCGGGATTTCGTGTTAGTTATTTTATACCTATGTAAACAAATTACACTGAAGAGCAATTAAATCTGATATTATTATATAAAAGCTAAGTGTAAAGCAGACTTTTTTGTAGCTCTATTAAACATGTACATAAATATTATGTTCCATGTGTTCATCAAAAAAGATTTATTATTTTCCTACTAGCTTTTTGTGTAAAAAAGGGTATAGAGTTACAAAAATCTCAATATAATTACAGGAACGAAGTGTACTTCCGGTGGGGCGGCGGCACCGTTGTGGTGTGGCTGCAGAACGCCGCGGGCTTCGCGCGATGGGGGCCCACCGACGAGCGTGTGGAGGCCCTCCTCGACGCGTGGCGCCCTCGCGCCAAGCTGCGGGCGGGGGACACCACTGAAGACGCGCCTGTCGCCCCCCACGCTCCCCCCGCACCACCCGAGAAACGCCTACAATAGCCGGCCGGCATTACAAATGGAAATATATAGCTATTGCTAACCTCTTCACTTCTTGGTGAAAAGTCGCACTTAAAGTATAGAAATCTATATAGTTGGTCAACGTCCATTGGTTTCAACGGAATTGCTGTCAAATTCAAGGGCTGTCAAAATACCAATTATCATGGGGAACGGTTGCGAAGTTAAAGCCTTGTAGTGCCGTCTCGTGCAGGCTGCCAGTAGAGACAACTGCTGCCAGTAGAGCCAACTTATTTTATACCGCTGCGTCACACAAATTATACCAAATCAAATTTTATTATACAAATTAACAAAACTGTTGAGAAATAATCTGTGATAAATAAAAAAAAATGATTAAAATTACGTAACAACTTAAAATGAAATATACATAAAATAACCATATTTTACAATTTTCGTGTCCAATTATACGATCTGGCAGCCCTTGTCAAATTACAGTTATACCCGCCAACCCTAAAGTTTCCCAACTATCATTTATATGGTATCGAGCCCCTCGAGTTTCAAACATTGTCCACACGATTGCCGTCGTCTAGAGGCCTTCGTTAAACAACTGTATAGATTAATATGTTGGTTATAGTTTGCATTTCACGCTCGTATGTATTCCCGTCCGTATCGAATCGTCGGGAATTCATGCAACGTGAAAAATATGCTAACAATCCACTAGATAATTGTTCAATGATTTTTATCAAAACATACGTGATATTTGAGTATATACAGAACATAATTTATAATATTTCTATAGATTTTGACATTATAAAAATAACATAACACGTTTTTCGTTATGCCAGATAAATTATGAATTTAAACTACATATTATATTGTAAATCTCAAACGGTAACATAAGCTATTTATTTAACGACATAAGAATGAAAAACAATATTTCCTACTTATCTAAGAGCAGCAATAATTTACTCACTGATGATATTGATACAATAAGGTCCGCTTCACCCTATTAATATTGTAATACAAGAAACAATGAATGCATTAACAGTAAGACTCACGTTCCGGTCAAATTACGCTCCAGCAACGTTTTTTGTATAGAAATACTTTACCAGACCGATGTCGGACCGAGAACGGACTGTGATCGGTACTATAGTGTGGGGCGGCCCTAAATGGGAATCGTAAATAATTCATACATTGTCTTGGTTTTTTTATATTTTAATACATAACTTTAGCCAGAAAAGCCAAATGAACCCTCAAAGTGAATGAATGCTCAGAATATATTTAAAAAAAATAAGAAGGGAAAAATATCTGTTATGCTTTAATACCCTTAAATTGTTTTTTTTTTTTTACTTAAATACGCATTTTTAAAGATTAAATTGAAATATATCATTTATGAAAAAATCAAATATAATGAAAACCAAAAGTAATTCACGAAAAAGACTTGGTATCGGTTATTTCAAATATGCTGGTACAACAATGCCAGTCAGGTGACAATATGGCTGTAGATGCTTAAATTTATATGGTGTGAATGTGTTTATGGTAATTTTTTAATCATTATCTGGAAATTAAATTGGAAACTGCCGCCAAAGTAATGATTTTTGTAAAGTAAAACATATTTGTGAAATGTTTTATTTAAATTGTGATTTTTACCTCTAATATTTAATTGATAAAATTGTAAAGTAGCCATTATATCCATCCAATGAGAATGAACTATTGATATATATTATATTCATCAAATCTTGACATATTTATATTATCATAAAGAATTATATTTTTATTATTATTATTTTTTTATATAATTTTTATCAAAAATCATTTAACATGATATCTTTTATGTATAAAATCGGTTTATTCTAATGAACTATTAAAAGACTTGAAATGTTTAATCATGCAATGGCTACAGTTGATCATATATTACTTTGACATAAATCATGTTGACCATAGAGTATGCGACGTATAGAATTGTACATAGTATAGAGGTGCGCGTAATGTATATAGACTTGGAGAATTTGGTTATTTACTTAATGTAAGTTCTTTTTAAGGAGCCCTTTTTACTGTTGTATAGTTCGATAAAGATTATATTTTGATTGTTTAATTATTATATTTTTCTGAAAATATAGTCTTTTATTTTTTATTACCACTTTATTATTTAGACCATAAGCACTAAATTATGTATGTATGTATTCATCCCTTTTTAACGTCCCACTGCTGGGCACGGATCTCCCTTCAGTAAAAGGGTAATCGGGCCAAAGTCCACTATGCTGGCCAAGTGCGGGTTGGTGGACGCTAAATTATATGTAATAAATTATACCTATACATGATATTTGTTTTAAAAAAACGACATTTTTTTAAATATGTGACCCGTGTAGATCACTGGTTTTGTTTGAGTGGATAGACATGATTTTTTGACTTTTTACAAGTTTTTAGTTGCTTTACTTGTAATGTGAGTAATTGGGAGAGTTAGATTTTAAACGAAATTATATTTTGTACAAATTGTAATTTTGTTAGTATATGACAATAGTTTTAACCATCGAACTAATCAGATAATTGCTTCAGGCCCAGGGGGTAGAAAGTAAAGTAGATTGGGGAAACTACGATTTCCGTGGCGCCGGCATTTCATGTATGAAGTAGGGAAAAAAGAATATTTTTTTTGTTTTCGAGATATGGAGCTTTGAAGTTTTTTTAGTTCTAAGTTGCTTATTATATTGGTAGTTGGTTAATTCTCTTCATTGGCTTTTAGTAAAAAAATCGACTTGGAGCTCTCTTCGTAATATTTTTTTATACTAAATTATTTTTAAACATATATTGTAAGTATATATTTGTGATCTCCTTTTAAAAATCCTCATTTTGATACCTCACTCGATATGTCTAGTACAATTTATTTTAAGATACATTTTTTTCAATCATTACATACATCCATAAGTAACACTCGCATTAATATGATAAATCTAACGTGTGAACATCAAAATCACTATAATAATAGGATGGGACTAACATACTACAAGTTAAACACATAACCCTTCTTTGTAATTCGCTGCCGCAGTCGAGTAAAAATAGTGATTTCCATAATAAAAAAAAATCTATAATTTTTAGTGTCTCATTAAATGAAAAGGGTTAAAATAAAAAAGAAATTGAATTGGAGTTCATATTTATTCAATATCTCTAACACTAATGCAAATATAAAGGTGACGCCATAAACAATAGGCGGATTTTAGTGACATTTTTTTTCTCACAAGAAACTACTCTAATAAAATACATTCTTATCACCAAATATTTTGCTGTTTAATTTAGAATAAGATATCAATTAAATATTAATTTTAATTCTTAAAGTACCATAATATTAGAACATGCACCAAAATATATGTAGCATAAGTGTTGAAAGGAAACATTTCCAATAACACGAAGAATAATAATGAAATAACACGTCACGTTAACAACATCACAATAGAAAATAAATGACTTACGTGACATTATAATAATTGGTATATCTTTACATTTCACACGCGTAAAATATTCTAGACATAGCTTTAAAGTTTAAACTGTGCATACTTATTAAAATAGATTTATTTAATGTTAGTGTTTTTTTTAATGTAGAAAAATATGAAATATAATAATCACCAGGGGAAATTCTCACTTATTTTTCACTATATACAACAAAATGTTTGTGCCAAGAAAATATTGAGATCTTTGTATCTATATTATAAACATAAAATAAATTGTAGCATTGAAAGATCATGTTTAGGCGGCTATGATATATTAATTTGTGAAAACATGTTTGTAACAAATAAATTCAAGATAATGATGACGATAGCACGCGAAAAATATTTGATATTATTTTTAGGCCACTATCAGCTAGAGCAAAAACTTTATTTTTTGTTTAAATGAAAAAAAAAAACCTTAAACAATATTTCCTTGCCTCATAGCTTTTATTTATAAAATATGTATTAATTTACTAAAATAGTTTCCCTTGTATAAAACAAATATAATCAAGGTATGTAATAATAATATATAATAATAATATTTTAATTGCGAACACATTTGTTTACCACACTTATTGTATTACAAGTAAAATTATTTAATTATCTTAGTTTAAGTCAGCAGGCACAAAACATATCCTATCCGACTGACCCCTTACATTTACCTTCACAAGACATTTAGAATTGATATTAAATATTATAGAATAAGTTGAAATATGGATTAATCTATAGCCATGTAAAAGAAAAATAAATCAAAACCATTAGAATAATTAATACACAAAAATATACATAATTAATTATACTCCTCATCTTCATCCATAGCAAAGTCCACTCCAGAATCTGCACACACAGGGCTGTAAAAAAATGTGATATCAACAATAGAAATTATATTACCTATTTCTTTCAGAATAAGCAGTAAATAAACATACAAACATAAAATATTCAAAATTTTATTGCTCCCGAAATTTCGTTTTGATGAGCTTAATCTCAATGGTTTATTTGTTTATTTCATTACAGAGATTGAAAGGTGGCAGGAGTGTTCTTATTGTGCACTTGAGTGAGCTTACGGCCTTCTCCATGATGCAATGTCCTTGCCATTCTTTCATCAAACTCTGTGCAGTCGGAAGTGAAAAATATACAAGTAGGCAAAGTTGCTTTCGCAATTATGAATATTAGAATGGATATTGCCTCAGAGTATAATAAATTTTTGTTTGTAATCTATACATATAAATGAAATTGAAGTGTCTGTTTGTAATGTCAAAATAACAACTTTTAACTAAATGCATATGAAAATATATATAAAGGAAACACAATTTTAAAAATTGTTGTCCGTCTGATTGTTCTGGCAAATCTCCTGGACTGATTTTGATGTGACTTTCATAGGCAGATAACTAATGTTATAAGGAGTAACTTAGGCTACTTTTTTTTAGAAGAATAGGATTTCGCTCAAGAAAATAAAACATACCCAAGGATGAAACATCACCAGTATAAAGTATATTCTAATGAAATCAAATGTAGGTATTGTTATAAACGTCTACAGTTAGAACACACATTCAAAATGGGTTGCCATTAACAATTATAGTCAAAGTTTGAAGAGAATGGACTTTTAATCGTATTTCTTTGCATGTATTCATTGGAAATAGTTACTTGTAAAACCTGAAGGTATCCAAATCTGTGAAGTTTATGAATTGAAGATTTAATTTGTTAGTTTGTACAGTAATTTACTCACCTCATTGCTCTGCATGTAAAGAAAACAATTCTCTTAAGTTTCTTGTTATAAAAGAAGTAATTAAAAGTCCAGAGGCAACCAGGTTCCCCAAATGGATCACTAGCTAGATCTGGGTTATAGCTGTAAATTCTGCACTCTGGTAATTGTACTTCTTCCTCCATAGCAGACCATAAAGATGGTCTTAACTGTCTCCATCGAACCCCTCCTACTGCAGACAAAGCTGCATCTACAGCACCTTGCACCCAACTCAGTGATGGTTCAGCACTGAACTCACTACTCTGTTATGAAAATATGAATATAATTGACACACTTGACTTTCTATTGTAAAACCAGTAATAAGCTTAACTCAAAAATTAAAGTTAGAATTTCAATTTATAATTAGATATCTTTAATGATTTTACATGTAAAATTTTTCATTAAATCATATTTAACTATTATTGTTAGCTTTATAATTATCATACTATAAAATATATAAATACTTTATTATCAATAATAAACAAGCTAATAAATAGATAATAGTATTAAAGATAACATGTAAAGGACAATTACCTTTGCCATTGAGAAGTCATAATCAGGAAAAGCAGCATTCAAGGTAGCAATCAAATAAAACAAGGTCTTTCGAGATATAGTGTCACACAGGACACCTTCTTCATCACCAGACAAGCTTCGACTGAAATATATTCTTAAGTAATTATTAAATATTTATACATCTAATATGGTATACTACACAGTATACTTTTAACATTATTACATTATAAAATAATTACTAAGTAAGTACCTGTACAAGATACCTTCAGGAGGGGATAACGCCTGAAGGTTGTGTGTAGTTTCTCCATCTGCAGTAAACCGTTTATAGAAAGCCTTTTCAGCACCTGCCATTTTGCAGCTGTAGCTCTCCACTCGACCCTGAACTGCACTATCTCCGTTTAGGATCGACAATGCACTACTTATAGCCTCAAGGCGTCCGCTCTCTAAGAGTTTCATTTTTACTTTTAATCTCTTTTATTATTTATTATCGATTTATCCACAAAAACTTCTAGTTATCGGAATCGAACTTTTAAATGTACGAGTAGCACTACTTCTGTACATAGCAGAGGGGTGTATGAATATTCCTTTCCTTTTGGAATGAAGTAGATTAACGCTCGGTATCAAATTCGTCTTCTGTTCTTCTTCCGCGCTGATGGGATGCGGGTACATCACAAATAAGAAGGAGAAGTTTGGTTTATAAATTGCTATTGTTGATAGCAAGTTATTTATAGTTTGTATTTAGCTTGAGCACAACAATGGCGCGCGTCTTTTCACTAGCTGTCCTAGTTAAGGCACTACAGCACTGATATTTATTATTCACACGTTAGAAGTCAAAATCCATAGAAGACATCGTTAAAATTGTAAAATTAATCAAAAATACACAAAAATCACTTAAAGACTTCCTCTAAACCAAGATAGTACGTTTCATTCAATAATAATTTTGAGCAAAATGCACAAACAACTGTAACAATACGTAATTACCACCATAGACAAGTAAATCGCAGATAAAGATAAACTATAAAACATGAACGAACGTTTGTACTTTATTGTTCGTCTATGGTATGCACAATGTATGGGGAAGAATTTTGCCTTTTTCTACCGTCAGATGTCACGATCACTATGGCCCTCAGTATATTGTAAAGATTTAGAGCTTGGATGGAATTGTTTTAATATATTTAAAATTTAATTAAAGTGACAAATTGTGCAATGCCTGGATGCAAAGAAAATAGATATCATTTGTTTCCAAAAAACAAAAACTGAAGAAATTGTGGGATTGTTGCGATTGAAAGATTGCCCGTGTGTAAATTACGATTTATTCATCTTTAAAAATACTATATAACATGTGTTAGAGACTATTATAAAATACATAATCAGTTCTTCTTCTCCCTGCCCATTTCCCAATTACTTGGGGTCGGCGCAGTACATCCTCTGTACTGCTGATAGGATTTGGCAAAAGTTTTACGACCGGCCGCCTGCCTGACGTCAACCCTCCTTGGGAATGCTCTTGTTTATCACGGAATATGTCTTATGATATGTCTTTTATATATTCTATCTCTGATTATGTCTTGTAATATGATGCACATTTAGATTTTTAAAACATTTTTTTACTATTAATTAAAGTTTAATGTTATTTTCGTATATATTTTAAAATAAATTTTAATCACACTATAAATTTTGGTTTGACGTTGTCAAAAAAAAAAAAAAAACATATGACAGTTATGTTTCTAATAATATATTATATAAATAAGCGGCCAGTATTATTACTACAGGGATAAACTAATATAACGACCAAAGTTGGCGAAATCACAACCTTTATATTTAAAGCTATGTGGACATTATTTTAAAGAAAGTGATTTTAAAACTTTTAAATCGTCTAGAGGTGATTTTTTTTGTACCCTTTTACATATTAATTACAGAGTTACAAACAAACTTTCATTCCCCATTTTACCCACTTATGGGATTAAATTTTTGTAGCTCGTATTTATTTAATTGTATTGCAGAATATTAATACCAAGTTTCTAGTAATTCTAATCACAAATAGTTCCTTACCCATATAAACTTTATTACCACCTTTTACGCCTTTAAGGGTAGAATTTCGAAAAAATCAAATAAATATATTTCTTAACTTAAAGCTAAACACTACTTTCTGTGTATTTCACATTAAGAATGACAGAGTTTCATACGATCTTTAATCCCCTATTTTACCCACTTAGGGGATGAATTTCGAAAAATCCTTTCTTATCGGATAGCTACATCATAGAAGGAATACGTCCTGCAAATTTCTCGTTTCTACGACTAGCACTTTAGGCCGTGTGTTGATCCATCAGTTAGTCAGGACCACCGCAATGTGCACGTCTCCTTCTCAATTCTTCCTTCAGTTGGTTCTAACCTAACTTCCAAGTACAATATATTGCACAGATACGATAATAACACAATAGAAGTAAAAAACTAGGTGTAAAAGAGATAATAAATTGCTTAACCTCAGATTGAATATAAATAGATCATACGTGTCACGCCCTTCTTTCAAGAAATCTTCCCCCATTACAAAAGTAAACCAAAAAGCATCCAGAAAACTTAAAAAATAAATAAACTTACTATAATTCAATTTCTTTCTCTTAACACATATAAAAAAATCTTGGTAAATATTTATAATGTATATCTGAAATATAGGAGGATATAATATGTATATTGATATGGTACATTCTACATTGTATATGAAAGTAATTATCATGGATGACAAATAAAAGAAATTATTATTTATTTCTATTTTAGTAAAAAGGGCTTTATACTCTATGATTTCTAGCTTAAACCGTAAATGTTAATTGTCATTGTCAATGTCACGATATATAAAAATTAAAAAATCATTATCAAAATAAAAATCTTAAATCTCCCTCATTTTTATAACGTAGTGGATATTCTTTGCATTTATAACCTACATAAATTTAAAAACATATTTGATAAAAGTTATTAATTAAGTACAATAATGGCTTTGCCAATTAATGTAACAATGTTTAATATAATAAATAAAATTTCTTTAAATATATTGAACAAACAGCCACTTAATCGGTTAGGATTTCGATATTATGGTAGGTAAACAATTTGTATGATTAAAAACCTATCAATTTAATATTTATTTATTCACGTTATTAAATACTTATTTAGCATACATTTTTAGCAACACATAAACGTTTTTACCGACGCACTGATATTGTACAAAAACGAAAAGAATTGGGAAGTAACTCTAGATCATCGTCGGTTAAAAAACTCCTAATGGTAAAGTCTTGACAGTTAATGCAGAACCTCTTGCTAGGGCTATTGCAGCTGAATGGGATGCACAAAATGAATATATTGCTCAGCCTACTATGCATTTGGTATGCTTGATATCAGTTTTAAAATTAGGTTTTAATAAAAAAAATTAAAATTAATTTTTTTTTAATACTTTTAGACAGCATTATGCAATACAGCTTTGGACAATCCAGGAAAACTAACAAGTCATGATATTGTTAGCTATTTACTTGACTTTATTGCAACAGATACCTTACTTTTTTATTCTGAGGTTAGTACATAGAATTGATAATTTTCATTGTTTTAAAACAGTTTTTGATAGTAAAAGTTTAACAGCATAAAATTATGATTTAGCAAAATACTTCCCTTTTAACTTATTACACATTTATTAATGCAGGAAGAAGAACTTCGATTATTACAAGAAAAAAAATGGGCTCCAGTTTTAGAATGGTTCAATAAAAGGTTTGGTGTTAAACAGGAGGTGTCCCAAAACTTAGAGCCTCCACCAGTAGCAACTGAAACAAGAGCAATTTTAGCTAGACATTTGTTATCTTATGATTTTCCTGCTTTAAATGGTGAGTATTTGGCAACCATAACTCTTGTTACACCAATATAATCTTATTGGTCCAATAAGAGATTTCTTTTTTTAAAGACTATTATTTTATGTAACACTATTGACCATGGGTAGCAGCAGTATTATTTCCAGGGGGGTGCATTTGCTTCTTCACACTAAACTAATAATACTATAACTTTATTGTTCGTCTATGGTATGCACAATGTATGGGGAAGAATTTTGCCTTTTTCTACCGTCAGATGTCACGATCACTATGGCCCTCAGTATATTGTAAAGATTTAGAGCTTGGATGGAATTGTTTTAATATATTTAAAATTTAATTAAAGTGACAAATTGTGCAATGCCTGGATGCAAAGAAAATAGATATCATTTGTTTCCAAAAAACAAAAACTGAAGAAATTGTGGGATTGTTGCGATTGAAAGATTGCCCGTGTGTAAATTACGATTTATTCATCTTTAAAAATACTATATAACATGTGTTAGAGACTATTATAAAATACATAATCAGTTCTTCTTCTCCCTGCCCATTTCCCAATTACTTGGGGTCGGCGCAGTACATCCTCTGTACTGCTGATAGGATTTGGCAAAAGTTTTACGACCGGCCGCCTGCCTGACGTCAACCCTCCTTGGGAATGCTCTTGTTTATCACGGAATATGTCTTATGATATGTCTTTTATATATTCTATCTCTGATTATGTCTTGTAATATGATGCACATTTAGATTTTTAAAACATTTTTTTACTATTAATTAAAGTTTAATGTTATTTTCGTATATATTTTAAAATAAATTTTAATCACACTATAAATTTTGGTTTGACGTTGTCAAAAAAAAAAAAAAAAACATATGACAGTTATGTTTCTAATAATATATTATATAAATAAGCGGCCAGTATTATTACTACAGGGATAAACTAATATAACGACCAAAGTTGGCGAAATCACAACCTTTATATTTAAAGCTATGTGGACATTATTTTAAAGAAAGTGATTTTAAAACTTTTAAATCGTCTAGAGGTGATTTTTTTTGTACCCTTTTACATATTAATTACAGAGTTACAAACAAACTTTCATTCCCCATTTTACCCACTTATGGGATTAAATTTTTGTAGCTCGTATTTATTTAATTGTATTGCAGAATATTAATACCAAGTTTCTAGTAATTCTAATCACAAATAGTTCCTTACCCATATAAACTTTATTACCACCTTTTACGCCTTTAAGGGTAGAATTTCGAAAAAATCAAATAAATATATTTCTTAACTTAAAGCTAAACACTACTTTCTGTGTATTTCACATTAAGAATGACAGAGTTTCATACGATCTTTAATCCCCTATTTTACCCACTTAGGGGATGAATTTCGAAAAATCCTTTCTTATCGGATAGCTACATCATAGAAGGAATATGTCCTGCAAATTTCTCGTTTCTACGACTAGCACTTTAGGCCGTGTGTTGATCCATCAGTTAGTCAGGACCACCGCAATATGCACCTCTCCTTCTCAATTCTTCCTTCAGTTGGTTCTAACCTAACTTCCAAGTACAATATATTGCACAGATACGATAATAACACAATAGAAGTAAAAAACTAGGTGTAAAAGAGATAATAAATTGCTTAACCTCAGATTGAATATAAATAGATCATACGTGTCACGCCCTTCTTTCAAGAAATCTTCCCCCATTACAAAAGTAAACCAAAAAGCATCCAGAAAACTTAAAAAATAAATAAACTTACTATAATTCAATTTCTTTCTCTTAACACATATAAAAAAATCTTGGTAAATATTTATAATGTATATCTGAAATATAGGAGGATATAATATGTATATTGATATGGTACATTCTACATTGTATATGAAAGTAATTATCATGGATGACAAATAAAAGAAATTATTATTTATTTCTATTTTAGTAAAAAGGGCTTTATACTCTATGATTTCTAGCTTAAACCGTAAATGTTAATTGTCATTGTCAATGTCACGATATATAAAAATTAAAAAATCATTATCAAAATAAAAATCTTAAATCTCCCTCATTTTTATAACGTAGTGGATATTCTTTGCATTTATAACCTACATAAATTTAAAAACATATTTGATAAAAGTTATTAATTAAGTACAATAATGGCTTTGCCAATTAATGTAACAATGTTTAATATAATAAATAAAATTTCTTTAAATATATTGAACAAACAGCCACTTAATCGGTTAGGATTTCGATATTATGGTAGGTAAACAATTTGTATGATTAAAAACCTATCAATTTAATATTTATTTATTCACGTTATTAAATACTTATTTAGCATACATTTTTAGCAACACATAAACGTTTTTACCGACGCACTGATATTGTACAAAACGAAAAGAATTGGGAAGTAACTCTAGATCATCGTCGGTTAAAAACTCCTAATGGTAAAGTCTTGACAGTTAATGCAGAACCTCTTGCTAGGGCTATTGCAGCTGAATGGGATGCACAAAATGAATATATTGCTCAGCCTACTATGCATTTGGTATGCTTGATATCAGTTTTAAAATTAGGTTTTAATAAAAAAAATTAAAATTAATTTTTTTTAATACTTTTAGACAGCATTATGCAATACAGCTTTGGACAATCCAGGAAAACTAACAAGTCATGATATTGTTAGCTATTTACTTGACTTTATTGCAACAGATACCTTACTTTTTTATTCTGAGGTTAGTACATAGAATTGATAATTTTCATTGTTTTAAACAGTTTTTGATAGTAAAAGTTTAACAGCATAAAATTATGATTTAGCAAAATACTTCCCTTTTAACTTATTACACATTTATTAATGCAGGAAGAAGAACTTCGATTATTACAAGAAAAAAAATGGGCTCCAGTTTTAGAATGGTTCAATAAAAGGTTTGGTGTTAAACAGGAGGTGTCCCAAAACTTAGAGCCTCCACCAGTAGCAACTGAAACAAGAGCAATTTTAGCTAGACATTTGTTATCTTATGATTTTCCTGCTTTAAATGGTGAGTATTTGGCAACCATAACTCTTGTTACACCAATATAATCTTATTGGTCCAATAAGAGATTTCTTTTTTTAAAGACTATTTTTTTATGTAACACTATTGACCATGGGTAGCAGCAGTATTATTTCCAGGGGGGTGCATTTGCTTCTTCACACTAAACTAATGTACCTTATTTAACATATTTTTGCGGATATATTAATAAAATTTTATTTCGTTAACTTATATATATATATATACTCGTATATGTCGGAGGAAGCTAGGAGTCGGATTCATTGTTGTTTGCATGATGAATAACGGACAATATTATTTGTTTACATTTTAATTAATTTTAACATTATTAATTTGATTTTATTTGATTTCTTACATTTTTCTATAATTTATATACTTCGGCAATCTAATAAAAGCTAGGAATATGTTAAGTCACGTAACGACCAATCGGAGCAGAGCATTGTGCCATCGTTTACTTTAGGGAGACTGATTGTTTTTTCGGACATTCGAGTGATAGTAACTGGTCGAGTTGGATCGTATTCATTGGTTGAAGTAAAGACGGTGCACTGAACCCGCTGCTCGGTCTTAGTTATTAATTCCTTGATTTAATTTCTTTCAATAGTGCGTATGAAAGTGAATATTATTAAAATAAAACACTATGGAACTGCTAATTGTGTTTTGTGCTTGCACTTTACCCAATGACGCCCACTAAGCCCGCAACAATGAATGATGATGTCGGGGAGAACAATGTTTCTCCGACATATATTTTCCTTCATAGAGAGGGGGTGCAAGTGCAGCCCCTTGCATCGCTATCCCGGCGCCCATGCTAGTAACTACCTTATTTTGCTTGAGTGTATCTCATTGTACTACTAACAGTAGTGTATGTGTTACTTCAGGTCATAAAAGATATGTACTAAATTTCATTCGAACTCATCAAGCCATTTTAAGGAGTCATACTTCTTTACATAAATATTTCATAGTATGTTTCTTGTTGATATTACACTAATAATGTATACATAATGTCTTTTTAGCAATTAATTTTGGTGTAGAAGCTCTGAAGTCACCTATACTTATGCTGGCATGTATAGACAGATATTTAGAGCCAAAAAGTGCTGTTATGTTAGCCAGGTTGGAGGAAGAATACCAGGTTGGTACAAAATTATATTTTTAACATATTGTAAACCTACACTTGAGTAACACTTATTCATGACATAAGTAGACCATTTTTACACCATACAATAATGAATCTAATATTAGGTATATTATAATATAAATTATGGATTACAAAGATTAGATTGCAAAACAACCTGTTAGTAAAATTTAGATAATCCCCGTATCAACATGTTCCTTAACATCCTACAATTTTATATACTACAGATGACCAAAAACCAAATTCTTAGGTTTTACATTAATATGTAACTAATGTATACTCTTACATTGCAGTTTTTGTATTTTTTCTCAGAAATGAGATATTTTCCCGCGGTAAAAAGTATCTTATATGTTGACCCTGATAACCAGCTATCACCATACCAAATTTCATCAAAATCTCTCCAGTGTTTTTTGTGATGTGGTAACAGACAGACAAATATTCCAAGAACTATAGATTCGGCATCTGTATCGATAATAATCTTTATTTTAATAATATTTTCCAAAAAATGATTTAATGTACAGATTCGGCTTAGTTGCAATTTTATTATATGTTGTTGAATGTTGATAAAAGTTGGGCGTCTCGTTAAAACGAAGCTACTCGTTAAGTTTCAGCTAAATATTAATCATTAGGCATTACGAAAAAAGGGTGGTGTATTGTGGACACAGAGACTTAAATATCGGTATAATACAAACTGTGGACTATACGAGTATTATATATCCTAGACCAGTAGTGTTTATTTCAACGTAGGTAGGTACTTATTGTTAGATACAGACTGCGTTTTTACGTACGCTACGTACGCATTTTACGAATGCTAAAAAGATATAAAGTAATGGCAATTTTACGTACAGTCGGACTTCGGAGGCAAACCTAGTATATAACTGCCATTTTATGCTATATATTCAAGTGTGTTAATTACATTTTTATTTACAGCTTTTTATTTATTGTTTTTTTATTTATTTGTAGTATATCCCAAATTATTTTAAGCTGCATATATTTTCGTGACCACCTCTTAAAATCTATCATTTTAATGTCCTACTCGAAACAAATCTGACGGTGACCTAAACTTCATTATTATTGGTTAAGTTGTTTTAAAGTTACAAGAGAACATAGGATCGGACATACATACATACCTACATAATAATAATACAGGTCAAACACATAACCCTGCTTATCCAAAATCCATTTATCCATCCCGCCCATATTTTTTCTTTTGTGTTTCGCAATGTCTTAGTATATTAGGAACCATTTTTATATTTTTATGGTATTTTTTTATTATGATCTATCCTATCTGTGAAAGGTATATTTCTGTTCCCATTCCCATCATTTATGCTTCCAAGAAATATTCGAGTCTAATATGAGTGTGTGTATCAAGTAGATAAATTATAATAGTCGAAACCTCTTTCTGAATGAAATCTCTAAAAATCTAAATGTTTCTCTCTAACACCTATATATTTAATAAAATTCTTCTAATTTCTAACATATAATTTTATTTCTAATATAATAATATTTAACATTATGGGTAAACAAGTTTCGATCGTTATATTTTATCATAGCTCCTCCGTTGGGGACACGTGCCGTGGGCGCACGAGCTCAACCAGGCCGAAATGACGATGCGCGTGACCGCCTCGATCCTCGTCGTACAGAGCTCCAGTGAGCGACACTCTGCTGCCGCTAAACAGGCCAAGAACGAACAGAATGTTTAAACATCTTTTTAAAAATTAATCATAAATAATTTGTTGTTATTTTCTAGGAAATTAAAGTATTAGCTATTCAATTGTCTTTCATTCACTTTAAACGAGGATTGCAGTCATTCAAAATAAATGCGTCTAATTAAGCAACCATATGATTCATTATATACTACTCACTGTCATCTAGTTTAGAAAATAATTTTGTCTATATGGACTGTGGGTATATTTTGTTGATATATTTATTACCAAACAGCGTACAGCACTAAAAAGTACCTACAGACAACAAACAAAAGGAAGTCATCCATTTGGTACAATTTGCAGCACTCGAATGACCGAGGAGGACATATTGACAAAAGACAATAGGTAAGTACGATTTTCTTAAATATGTAGTTGGAAAATCTTAATTAAAACAGAGTTAGCGTAGAAGTGTTAGATTTATAAGTAAGTAAAAGTATATATTGTAAGAAGTTGGTGTCCAAATTTAAGTGAGGTCAGGCGCAAGAGAATGAATAGAAATAGCAAAATCTGTATCGCAAAGTTCTGCTAAATTTAGATGGGCGGGCGGAGAGCGGCGCGCCAGTCGGGACACGGAACGCGACCTCGCTTTGTATTCCTCGCTGTGTAATGTGCCGTTCTTTATTGACAATATACTCATTAAAACCATCATATTTACGATGTTAATTTACTCTGGAATATATTTAAAATGGAACAACAGTTTGTAAAGATGAACTGATTAAACCACCTACGCCAATTTGTCAGTGCATATTTATAAGTGAAGATGAATGTGTGCTTGTAGTTCCGGATAGACACTCATTTTTACGACATTTTGTAAGTAAATATTTATACTATCTATCTTCACATCTAAGAGCCATCACAGTGCTGTTATTTTAATATTTTTTTAAATTGGTCTTAATTTTGGATAGTTACAGATATGTAAGTAGGACTTTTCAGATTTTTAAAGTAGGTTAAAATTTAGTTAAACTGTTTCGAGTGTTTACCTCATAGTTTATGGCTTCTATAATGAATTCACTTTGACCTATATACGTGTCCCTAGTTCGTGTACCTAAATTTTTTTATAGTTGGTACAGAAAACTGATCTTTAATCTGTAAGTAAGGGAATTAATCGAATAAATTTTGATTTAAAATTGACATGGTGTGGCTTTTTTATACGTAAAAATATCTAACTACCGTTATTGTTTTAGTTTATGAAATTCTTTTGTTCCTTAAATAACGGAAGACAAAAATAAAAGCAAAAGTAACGCAAGCATTTACGATTTTCAGGGGTGATGAACGGCGACGTAGAAGTGGAGGCGCCGCGCCCTCGCCCACTGTCCTCGGGGATTTGGACACTTTTCTCCTGGCTGCGGCGCACTGAACGCTCTTCTTCTAGCGAGAGTGTTTCTAGTGTGGGCTCTGATCGCACTGCCGCTAGTTTCGATTTTTTGGCACCTTTTCATTATAAGCACGTCAACGAACCTCTTGTTCTACCGCAAAACCCAATTACTGAGACATACAAAAAGAGACTATTAGAAAGAAATATACGAAGGCAAAACGATCAAGATCTCACATTGCGGAGAAAGTACGGCTTATATACTGAAGAAGGTCTAGGTTACGACGCTTTTAGTTTACCGCCAGCGAGAAAGATACCAAAAGATTCTGTCAGGCTCCGACGTGCAACAAGTGAGGGTTCGCAAAGGCGAGCTGCTTACGTGCCAGGAAAGAGACGTGCCCCTCTTCCACCTACTATTAATATTTCAAATTCATTACCCCGAACCTATAAACGAAAGAGGCCAGCACCGAAACCTCCCACTAAATTAATAGAAGAAAATAAAGAAAACATTGAAATAAATAAAATTTTACAAATGGATTCAAAATCTACACAAGAAAAACGATTATCTGAAAACAATTTTTCACTAGAATGTAAAATAGAAAAACCTATGAAACAAGATCATCTTAATAAAGACGTCAAGTTGCGAAGCGATAAAAGTTTTCTCAAACAAATTTTCGATAGTAAGAAACGATATTCAGCTATAGATACAACTCACGTTAAACTGCTACCAAGTATTAGTGAATTGGATAAACAGGCGGCTGAAATAATCGAGATGAAAAGGTCGTTAGATGCAAGACGTGGTTATAACAATAACGACATTTTAAAACTTTCTGGAACTGAAGGCAATTGGATATGCACAATTTGCTTAAGAAAATATAAAATGACGATTAAATTTTGTACATACTGCGTTATTACTAAGGAACCTAAAGAAACAGTTTTCACTAATGCAAATATAAATAAGAATGTAACGAGCACTAATGTCACTAATACGTGCATACAAACAGAAAATATATGCAAATCAGGTCGTAGAAATGATGTTGACGAAAAGAAAAAATTGCGAGAAATGCTGAAGGAAATGAAAGACTCTCTACCTAAAAGACCAAAACACGATAAAAGAGATAATTCTAATATATTACCAACGACAGAAACGCCAACGTTACCAATTGGGTCATCGATGAAACTTGATAAAAAAATTTCAGACAATATTTTGTTCAATGAAATTTCAGCAAATAAAAGTAATGAAACGAAAGTTAATATCCAGCAAGCAAAGAATTCGTTTCTTCTCTCACAGCCATGTTCTTCAAAACAAATCGTAAGTGATATCGTTCTTAGCAATTTAGGAAAATTGAAAGTTCACAATAATGGTTTAAGCACTGGAAATTTTGGTAATTCTCCAAAAGTCGACGTACCCTCCACCAAATGTGAATTAGTAAACAAAATAAGTGAATTACCTAAAAAATTAGAACATCTAGAAAACAAAGTTATTACTGAAAACAAAAAGAACGATATTACAGTAAATAATATATCAACCGAACCACAAAACGCGAACAAAATATTAAATTTAGGAAAAAATGAGCCAAAATCTGTGACAAAAAATAAAGAATGCATTGCTGCATTACCAAAAGATTCTAATTCTACTGGTTCGAAAGCACTACTTGATAATGTAAATAAAGACAATGAAACTGTAATTAGTGCAATTAAAAAAATATCAAAGTCAAATGACCGTAAAGATAACTTGAGTGATAATTACAAAACAACACAAGATAAATTCAAACGACAATCTGTTTTAATTCCAATCAAGGAAGTAGAAGTGATAAATGAAAAGTTAGATGAAATGCCTAGAAATAAAATTGAGACTATTCGCTTAGGTGACGTGATATCGTCCAAGGAAATTCAAGGATCAAATGGTACAAGTGCCACTGATATGGATAAAAATAGTAACTTCCATACACCTTTAAAAATTTCGTCACTGTTAAATCCAATATATTGTCCTAAAAAGAAAATTTTAGAGGATACGAGTAAAAATTCTCAAACAGATGCACACAAAGAATCTAGAGGGTCACCAAAATTAAATATAGCAAATAATGGGTCTATAGTCGTATCCGACATACCAAAACATGTTTTTACCGATACAAATCCTAAGACATCGTGTTCAGGGTCAGACATTAAGGAACCTGAAAACACACAAAAGAATTGTTCAATTACTAAAACTAAAGAGAACATTTATTTGAACGAATTAACTAGAGTTAACCGGCCTGATGTAAAAAGTAGTGAAAACAATCTCGATATACACGCTCATCGTAGGGACTTGGTAAATCAACTTGAGCAGGCAATTGCAAAAGGAGATGAGCAAACAGCAGCGGAAGCTGCCGCTAAGCTTGCGAAACTTAAATTATCCTGTTCCGTCTTATCATTCTCCTCACAAATTGTTGCAGAACCAAAAAAATTATCAAAAACGTTTGAAGTGTCTAAAAATAATCCTTTAGAGAAGGAAAACACTCAGAACAAAGAAATAAATGTTTCCAAGAAGGAAACAAAAATTGATAACTTATCTCAAATACAAAAAAATGGAAGTAATGACAACAGATTGAACGAAAAACCTTTTATAAAATCAAGTGTACAGTCTCCAATTCCTTCAACTTCTAAAGATATCGAGCCAAATCCAGATCAAATAATTCCGTGAGTAAAAATATTCTCTGTATTTTAATTTAATTAATATGTATTTAAAGCAATAAATATAATCTTGTTTACCTTCACGCAATAACATTTTTTTTAAAATAGCTAATCAAATTGTGTCTCTTTAAATGTTTTTTTAACTAAAAATCTCTCAATATTTATAATAAGAATACTTAAATTAATTACATTTAAAATTTGCCATTTATTGTCACATTTAGGTAGAGACGTCTAGCGTGATCACTATCCTAGCACGTTACATTGCAATTCTTTATTGAACTAGTCTTTATAATGTTAAAACTAAAATATTTATAATTAACAGTTTCATTTATTTCAGAATTTCAGTTTGGATTGAAGACAAGGAGGCAGCCAGAGGTCCTATTCGTTTAAATGTTCCAAGGAAATTTGTTGTAGGAGATTTGAAAAGGGAAGCAGAAGCATCTTTAGGATTGGAAATCCGGTTGCAACGCTGGATTATAGGAAGGACTTTATGTTCTAATGACAACACACCACTTACTTTGCTTGCTGGTCCGGATCTCGTAGCTCCCTTTTACCTATGTTTGGTAGAATCCGGTAAGTACTTACACTCCTTTACTACTTTTTGACTAGCGACTCACCCTCGCTTCGCTTAGGTGCGTCCCTAGGTACGTTTTAACGGTTAGTATGGAATAGATAGATATATATTATAAGATAGCCTTCCTCAATTAACGGGCTATCTTATGAAAAAATATTGTTTTAAATTAGATTAGTAGTTCCTGTGATTAGCGTGTTCAAACAAAGTCTACTTCTTTATATTATTAAGTAAAGATTATACAAGATATTACTAACTTTAATTTGGCTGCCTCGTTAGTCTAGTGGCTAAATTCATGGTTTCGAATTACGTATCGTGTTTAAAAAATACTGGTTTGTTGTCAAGAAAATTACGATTGCAATTTAAGGACTGCTGTATGGCATATCCTCGTGTTAAACTTAATACAGGGAATCTGATCATAGAAATCCCTCCCCATTCCTGTCTGATAAGATCTATTTGGCCAAAATCTTGGGCGTATTTCTCTAGTTAATATTTAATCTCATAGAAGACATTTTGTTGTGAAAGTTCCAACGTATAATTTATTTTTATTCTAGAAACAAAAACGATTGGCGCACAGGAACAAATAAAGACTGCGAATAAAAGCACCGCTAGCCCAACGAAAGATGAAGAGAAAAAATTAAATTCTGGGGACTTTTATATAGAACTGATGAAATTAGAACAGCAAGCACTCGTTCCTAACACCGAAGTATTTGAATGTGGCGTATGCATTGAAGAATGTGCAGTAGGAGCGGGTGCTGTACTCCGAGAGTGTATTCATACATTTTGCAGAGAATGTCTTCGTGACGTCATACGTCACTGTGAAGAAGCTGTAGTCTCGTGTCCCGCCATCGGCTGTCCTGGAGTTTTGCAAGAACGAGAAATACGAGCACTTCTTACATCTGAGGAATATGAAAAATGGCTAGCCCGCGGTTTAGCTGCGGCTGAAAGTGGCACTCGCAATGCGTTTCATTGTCGCACTAGAGATTGTGCCGGTTGGGCCTTTTGTGAACCGGGAGTTCGAAGATTTCCATGTCCAGTATGCAAACATACTAATTGCTTGCCATGTCAGGTACATTGTTTATATTATTTGTTAAGTCTAACGAAACAGGTAGCAATGATATATACCTATTAAGTTAATTATTATTTAAATAATAAATGACTTTTTTCTAGGCCGTACACGAAGGCGAAACATGTGAGAGATATCAAGAAAAATTACGTCAAGCAGTGACCGCAGTCGAAGCTAATCAAACAGATGAAGGGACACAAGCCTTACTTAAAGCATTAATTGATCGCGGTGAGGCGCTAGAGTGTCCCGAATGTAAGGCTATTATAACGAAAAAATGGGGTTGCGACTGGATCAAATGCTCTGCATGTAAAACTGAGATTTGTTGGGTAACGAAAGGCCGTCGTTGGGGCCCAGGGGGTAAGGGAGACACAAGTGGGGGTTGTCGTTGTGGTATTGATGGAAAACGTTGTCATCCATCTTGTGGATACTGCCACTAAATTAAAAATATATTTGATCAGTCAACTTTTAGAATTATTGTGTCAATTCTTAGAAGAATATTGTAAAGTAAATGTAAACCATTAAAATTATACACTTCTATGCTTTTGCTTATTTTGCCTATTTGCCAAGCTACAATTATCAATATCAAGTATCAACTTATGTAAATCAATGGCCATAAAACATATTTCCAGTTACAAATATTATTGTATTGTAATTATATATGAAAGTATTTAATAAATATTAGAAATATTTTTGTGCCTTTTCTTTCAATGTCTTAATTTTTTAGCATTTGGAATTCTTTTAATCTAAAAGAGGTAAACATTTATATAGACAAAAATGAAATGTCATTTAATGAATTGATTTGGCTAATGTTTTTTAATTTTCATAATTATCTGAACAAGGTTTATTTATAATACAAATGAATGAAAAATGTCATGAAATTGGGAATAACTGCAAGGGCTCTTTCCTATAGGATTTTTGAATTAACTCAAATATCACAAATCTATTGAGATAGGACAATGTCTATCGGGTCAGTTAGTATAAAATAAAATTGAAACTTCATAGATCACCTTTTACAAATGAGTTTTAAATTTTCATATGTTATATTGTAAGAATATATAAAACAGAATTAATAACATAAATCATTATCTATCAATTTTAATCATTAATTAAAAAAATACACCAGTGTATATGGAATCTTGTGTCGAGTTGTAAGAATAAGATAAATTTGAGTTTTCACATTTATGCCCGGTGCATTAATATGAAGTTAATAATACCTTATAAAGGAGGATGTGCTGTCCTTGTACCCAACAACTGTTGATAAAGAAAATTAAAAAGAACTATCAGTTTACTTATCTGTAATTGTTTTTATCAAACACTCTTTCTTATTTTAAATTTCTTCTCTCTCATATGAAATGGCAAATACTACATACAATATTTAACAAATGTTATCAGTACAAAGTAGAACTGGTGAAACACCTCAGCCAAATATCTTATCACAATATTACAAACTCGTGATTTTTCTTCACTTATTAAAAAACTACACCAATGCACTAGTAGCGACGCATTCCAGGAGGACCCCTTCCTCCAGGTCCACCTCTACCCATTCCTGGTGGTGCACCCATCATTCCCGGAGGTGGACCTCCCATCATTGGACCACCGCGCATTTGTGGAGGTGCCGAGAGTTGGCCTCGAGCTCCAGGAGCCATGTGTTGTTGTGACGGACCACCAACGCCTCTCGCAGGTCCTTGTAGACCTGGTGGTGCTCCACCGAGTCCGGCCCCGCGTCCTGCCGCTCTACCGGCGCCTGGTCCGCCCATAGCACCAGGTAGTGGGACACGAGGTAATCCTTCCTCTGGTGGAGGTGGCCCTTCTATTGTCAAAGATACAATGTTTTCTCCACGAAGAAGTACAAATCCTAAAGTACGTTTCTCTTCACGGTCAGCAGTTTTGCTATTTTTTGATTTGATTTTTCTAAATTCTTCACAGTCACCCAAAATTAAATTCATATGCTTGTCAAAAGCTTTAAATGTCCCAATAAACGTACGAGAGTCTTGTAAAATTACCCTTACCCGGTAATTAATATGCTGTTGCATTTTATTATTCTTTCCGATAGTCTGAAAATAATTAAATACATTAGAAATTGTACAAAAATTCATCACTTTTGTTACCTTTTCCAAAATTATGTGTTTGGGAGATAATTAGAATCATTTTTAAAAATACAAAGTACATACAATTGTTTATACTATATATTATGAAAATATTATAGAACTTACCATTTTTAAAGAGTGATTAGAAAGGAAATTACAGATAAATTTTTGGTATTTTTATAGCGGGAAATCACTATTTCACATAGGCATAGACGCCATTAAACGTCAACCGGCGTTAGCGTTGTATATGTCAAAAACAAGACTTCAAAACAAATATGACAGATTAATAAAATAAACAGAGACATGCCTGTTGTTTGCAAGGTAAAATGCGATTATATTATATTATTATTTATTATAATTATTAAAAACGAAATGCTCTCATGTCATAATTTTTGCTTCAAATAAATAAAATAATTAATAAATGTGATCAGTAAAACGCATTTATTAATTTAATATTGAGTAGAGTACTAAAATAGATTATTATTCATCGGTTGCATTTATCTTATAGCCTGTGGTCACTGGTCGTTAACGATTTACTTTGTTCTGCACATAGATGGCGGTACTAGCATCAAATGAATATGAAATTGAAAACGATGATGTTTCCGCTTACAATAGATTGTATTAATTGCATGACGGCACTTATTATTTATATATTACTAGCAGAACTCGCGGCTTCGCTTGCGCTAAACTACAAGAAAACTCTAAAAAGTTCGACTTCATACAAACTTTCATCCCCTATTTTACCCCATATAGGATGAATTGTGAAAAATGCTAAAACACATATTTATTTCATGTAATTCTAACCAAAAATATTTTTATGAGTTGTCTTATAACATGTTTTCCCGTGGGAATGAGATAATCTCCCGCGGCAAAAAGTAACCTATGTCACTCTCCAGCCCTTCAACTATCTCCACACAAAAAATTAAGCCAATCCGTCAAACTGTTTGACGTGAAAGAAGAACAAACAAACAAACACACTTTCACTTGAGATATATATAGTACACTAGCGGACCCGACAGACGTTGTTCTGTCTACACGTCTTTAATTTGAAAATTTCAAACTTTTTTTAATAATTTTTTTGATGAAAATTATTATTCAAATTATGATTCTAAACCATTCCCAGATCCCCTTGAACACACACAAAAAATTTCATCAAAATCAGTCCAGTCGTTTGAGACAAGTTCAGTGACATACACACTCACAGAAGAATTATATATATAAAGATATACGCTTATATACGTACAATTACTTTAGTCGGCTATATAAATAAATACATATTACGAGTACCTATAGACGAGTAGGGGCAATTTTTTTTGCCATTAAGCATGTTGGAAGAGTTGGTACAAACGCCACTCCGGTGTTAATTGTACAATTTAAAAGCATGTATATTATCTATTTCTTCCTTTTGTAATTGATATTATTTATTCAGAGAAACATGTTGATGACAATCTAAACATATCAGCTGCTGTGAGTACTGGTTTAACCGTTAGAATTTCTTCGTACGTTTGTTAAAAATACTATGAAAGAAATTATACAAAATTTAGAATTCAAATTTAACAATGAGGTCAATTGTAATAAGGGACAGTCGTACTGCAAGAACTGTCCCCGAAAAATTGCTATAACCCTGTCTTCAAGAATTAAAATTTGAATTTTATAATATGACTAATTTTAAGGGTAGTTCGAAAATGTTTAAGCGCATTAAAATTTCTCCTCGTCCTTCACGTGTTTCAGTAAGCTCTTGAAGAAGCAGATGTATTTTTGACTTTTAAAGATATTTGTATATTAGGTACCTTAACCATGCTGTAAATGTACGCGGTCAACAAGTCATACTACAGCAAAACAGTCCCCAATGTCTATCCATTCATTTATCCAACCCCATAAATTCATCATTATCACACAGATGCGAGTTTATGATAAACTTTTAGTTCTTGGTAAAGTTGTGAGATGATGTTTAGTTGTGAAGCGATCATATAATAAATGGAGCGTGTGAGCGACGATAGTAGAATTTGAAATTTTAGCTCTCTGAAGTGAAATTTTATACCCTAATCCTTTTTTTTTAAGTGGTTTTCTGAGTCACGTAAAATTATTAATAATGGCTCGATTTAATTAAAAATTTCTTCTTACGCCAAAACCTTTTTGTTTTCGTAATATAAAACAAATTCCTTCGTCAACTTATTCTCATAAATATTTTTTTATTAACCTACATCTTTTTTGTATTGGTCAGAAAGACATTTTTAGTTTTATTTAAGAATTTCTAATGTTAAATTACTTTAAAACATTTTAGTAAAAAAATAAAAATATACAATATTTTTGATCGCCTCTTAAAAACCTGTATTTTGATACACCACTCGATTTATTCAGACGAAAAATTAATTTAAGACACAATGTCTTAGATTCGCCATTTTGATTTTTAAGGATATCTATATATCGACGTAGGAAAGCATATTTGCTGTAAGTAGACATATTGCAATTGTTCACCAGAGCCAAAAAACTTTATTAATTTCGGAAAAAATTAGTAGTGTCTGACCTATCCATGATATTGCTACCATTTTTGGAACATAGATTTATTTAACTGCCAGTCACCATTTGCAATGTAAACTTTTTATCAAAGTTACTATAAGTACGTGTTTGTTACAGCAAACAGTTTTTTAAATCACATATCTTTAAAACGCTGTAACTAAAGAAGAAAAATGTACATGTAGATGAATATTATCAATTTACAGGCGGTAAATATGCTGTATGCAGTAAATTTATTTATTTGGGTACTGCAATTCATGATGTAAGATTAAAATTATAATTATGATTAGATCTAGAAATGCAGTGGGTCAGTTGGTAATGTAATATTTGGTTGAAATAAAACGTCGTAAATGGTAAAAAATATAGTCTTTTAAATTGTTGAAACAAAATTTGAAACTCTAATTACCTATCAATCAGCCTATCGCCGTCCACTGCTGAACAAGGCCTCCCCCAAAGAGCGCCAACCATCCCGGTCTTGGGCAGCCTGCATCCATCCCACTGCCAGCCACCTTTCTTAGATCATCTGTCCATCGTGCTGCAGGGCGTCCTACACTACGCTGGCCTAAACGTGGTCTCCACTCTAGCACGCTTCGGCTCCATCGGCCATCCGTACGTCTGGAGACATGACCAGCCCCACTTCCACTTCAGCGAGCTTATTCTGTGCGCGATGTCGGTTACTTTAGTTCTCTGGCGAATGACTTCATTTCGAATTCTGTCTGCCAGAGAAACTCCAAGCATCGCGCGTTTCCATTGCTCGCTGAGCGACTTTGAATTTGTGAACCAGCCCTGCGGTGAGTGTCCACGTTTCGGCTCCGTATGTCATTACGGGTAGGACGCACTGGTTAAATACCCTGGTCTTAAGGGATTGTGGGATAGATGACTCTAGAATATGACGAAAGCTTCCCAAAAGCCGCCCAGCCAAGCGTATTCTTCTGTTGGCCTCCTTCTCAAAGTTGTGCCGGCCGAGTTGTATAGTTTGGCCAAGATATATGTATTCCTGCACAACTTCAAGGACAGCGCCATTCACGATTACTGGTCTCGTCTCGGGATACATGACAATTCGACATGATCTTGGTCTTGTCGAGATTCATCATCCAAGACCCACCCGCCTCGAAGAATCGCCTAGGCTGTTTAGCATTTTCTTCCAATCCTGCAGAGTCTCTGCCATGATGACTATATCATCGGCGAATCGCAGGTGTGTTTATATATTTTCCGTTGATATTTATACCGCATCCGTTCCAATCGAGCGTCTTGAAGACGTCCTCCAATGCACAGGTAAACAGTTTCGGGGATATAACATCCCCCTGTCTTACCCCCGCGTGCAATTGGATTGGCCTTGTGCTCTGACCTTGTACTTGGATGGTCATTGTTGCGGCTTCGTACAAACACCTTAGTACTTGGATGTACCGATAGTCAATAAGGCATCTCTGCATGGATTGTAGAACGGCGCCAGGTCCTCGATGGTGTCGAAGGCTTTCTCGTAGTCCACAAACGCTAGGCATAGAGCTGATATATTCCTCGGTCTTTTGAATTATTTGCCTTAGTGTGTGTATGTGGTCTACGGTACTGAAGCCTTTTCGAAACCCGGCCTGCTCGATGGTTGAAATTCATCGAATTTTTGGGCGAGACGGTTCGTGATAACCCTTGAAAACAACTTATACACATGGCTCAGGAGTGATATGGGTCGGTAATTCTTCAAAAGGGGCTTTATCCCCTTTCTTAAAGAATAATACCACCACACCCCCGCTCCATGCCTGCGGTGTAATGCCATTATGAAGAACAGAATTAAACAGCTTTGCGAGCTCTGATAGAACAGGTGTTTCCTCCCGCTTTAAGAAGCTCCGCAGTAATTCCGTCCTCACCCGGAGCTTTGTTGTTTCCTAGTTGTCCAAGAGCTATCCTAATCTCGCCCACGTCGATTTCGGGAAGCTCGTCTGTATGGTGGCGTACCAGTCTGGCACGTGGATCATCCGCGTGGTGGGACTCAGGTGGAAATGTTTTGTGAGGAGTAAAGATCCCCATAAAATTTTCGACTTCGGCAAGAATCTCTGATTTCGAGGTGACGGTTGTACCCTGTGCAGTTCTAAGCTTAGTCAGGTGGGACAACAGGAGGTGTGGATTCAGCAAAGACTTTCGAGCCCCTATTGAGTTCTATAGCGTCCTCAATACTTCGGGTATTCGCTTGTCTTAAATCACGCCTTATTAGATGTTTTACCTTCCTGTCAAGTACCTGACGCTTAAACTGAGTGGTATTTATCATATTGCGTCTCTTCGACATCTCGTCCAGAGTCTCGCCTGAGAGCTTTGACTTCTGTCCATCTCTCCTCGGTCGAAAATGTTTTTGGCCCACATCACGGATTACACGCATCAGACTGTTGGTGGTGTCGTCAATGTCCTGAGTGGTTTCCAACATGGCGAATCTATTCTGTAGCTCTAGCTGGAAGCTTTCGCAAACCAGCTTGCATCTGGGGCGGTGTTGGTCTAAGAGTCGACTTCATTAGCCGCGCTCGTTCCATTTTAATGTTGATATTCAGGGCTCCCCTTACAAGTCGGTGATCACTACCGGTTTTAACCCTGTTAATCACTGAGACATCCCTGAATATGTGGCGCTTGTTGGATATAATGAAGTCGATCTCGTTCTTTGTAGTGTTATCGGGGCTTTGCCAGGTCCACTTTCTTTGAGGCTTTTTCTGGAAAAATGAGTTCATCAGAAACAGCCCCTGAGCCTCAAGAAAGTTTACTAACATTTGCCCACGATGATTTCTACGCCCATAGCCAAATGCTCCTACTCTCGATTCACCATCTTCTTGTACTCCCACTTTGGCATTGAAGTCACCCATGACAACTGTGTAGTAGGTGTTGGTACGAGACATAGCTTTTACTATGTCTTCGTACATGGCTTCGACCTCTACGTCAGGGTATGTGGACGTAGGGGCGTACACTTGTATAACCTTCAAGGAGTATCTTTCGGTTATTTTGATTACAAGGTACGCTACTCTAATTACCTATACTGCCAGAACTTCGTTTCAACAATACAATGAATTAAAAAAGTATTTTTCTTTTATATATAAGAGATAAAACATAATGAAACAATAACAGAATGTCGTATAAGGAATGAAGGGTGCGGGCGGAGCCGGTAGCGATGCGGTAACACCGACACAACTTCAAAGTACTATCATTTTTTCAATGGCGTAACGGTAAAATGAAATGATAAATGATTTATCAAAATGCATTATCTCAAATTTCTAAAAAATCACAGGTTTTTAAAATGCATTATGTGGTGTGAACTTTTAAAGCAAATACGTGATGGTTTGCTGTAAATAACAAAAACTAAAACTGTAGGTTCCCTAAACTTGCTGTAAGTAAATGAATGTAAAAATCACACGCCGCAGATATGCTGTAAGTAGCGTTAAGTTTTTAAATGGGAAGAAGTAAGTATTTGTAAAGCAAAAAATGCAGTCTTTCTTTTGCTGTAAGTACAAAATGTCTAAAATGACTAGATTTTACTCTACATACAGCATTTAAACTTGCTAAAAAAAATATAAGTATGGGCGTTTTCAACGGCGTATGTAATTTTTTTTTCATCGTAGAGACAAAGGACCCTGGTCATTCGATGCGGCTTTTTTTCTGATTCTAATGGTAGTAAAAAGTCACTTTAGGTATTTTGTCTACTTACAGCAAATATGCTTTCCTACGTTGATATATACCCTATAACACTAGCGTTATCAAGACGTATGAATCATCAAAATCGGTTAAGTCATTTAGTAATTACGAGGGAATATATATATACATACACACATCAGTCAAACACATAACCCTCCTTTTGGCTTCGCCGCAGTCGGGTAAAAATTAAGTGCTTAATTCATCTATTTGCGTGTCAATAATTAAGTTTTTTTTTAAGTTTAAAAATATATTTCTTTGAATTACTGATATGTATTGGTCTCGTCAAAACGAAACAAATGAGCCCAAGCGGTAGAATTAAAGAGTTTCTCTATCCTTTTTCTTCAGATTAATTCGACGGTTTCAATTTATAGTAATGGTATCTAGGTTATATAAATTCTACAACTATTTTCTAATTCTATGTATTTTCACCGCTTTGTACACGTATAGAGTTAGCCCCTATATTTTTTAATTTTCTTCGATAATTTAAATACGGAATTCTCTATCGATGTACATTAAAAACAAACCTATCAAATCTCAGCAATTGGAACTACTCCAATAATTTTGAGTAAAATAAGCTAATAAGGTTAGGGTTGTAGCCATTTGGCTACGGAGCTCTAAAAACGCGTTAAAACGATACGTTGTTTCGATAATCATGGAAACATTTAATTTTAAATATACCTAACTATATTATGTAGTGCAGACTTGCAAAGTTATATTTAAGTCAAATAACGTTGTTGTTTTTCGTTAATTGAATTAAATCAAAATATTAGGCTGCTTTTTTTATTGTTATACCTACTACACGGTGTCAGTTTCTGAAATAAATAGGTAGGTGGTTTTAAAGTACCTGTTATTCCTATATTTAATTATATTATTATGTCTCTACATTTTTAAATTAGTATGTAGTTAAGTGTTTGTTCCATATATAAACAAATCTTATACCAATATTTTTGTTTTATATTATTATATTCAACCCGTAGGTACTTTGTAGAAAAAAGTATAGATTAATATAATGATATTTTAAGATTGCAAGAGTTATTTTAGATGTAATGCTATCGATACAATATGTACATGTAGAGTACCTATATTCTAATTATAATGATTTACTTTCTAGTTTTTTTTGGAATATAATAGATATTAGCGTCTAAAATGTAAACAAAAACATTTTATTACGAGAATTAAAGAAATTATAAAGTGGGTAAATAAAATAAAAATTACTAATTAATTATTTTTTACTTAAGAATAGTAACACATAGTAGATAAATACAAAACTTATTCTCATAATATTGACAGCACAAATACGTTTAAACATCTAATTAGTCTTTTTTCAAGATTAAAATTTAAAACAATACGTCATTGCAGCATTACACGAGACTTCAAACCTAGCTCACATCTACATAACTACATATAATGAAGTCGCAATTATTGCATGCTCTAAACTACAGACACAAACAGTCATCTTACAGCCTTCGATTAGAATAAAGCCTTATATCTAATATGAACATTGATTAATTATTATTATTAACAGTAATTAAACAAATGCTACGAAGAATCAGACGCCGCAGGAGCAAACTGTATAACTGATGTGTGACGAACTATAGGCTCCGCAGGTACCGACTCTACTTGTGGAATCAGCTTACGTTTCCGGGGAGGCAGGGATGATGGAGTTAGCGTCATTACGGCCATTGTTGCACTCATCACAGGTGGTGAAGGAGATGGCGTAGGTGAGGGAGGTGTGGGTAGAGGAACGGCTTGTACGGGGTTAGGTACTGGGCAGGGAGGAGACGGAGGGGAACTGGGAGGTGTAGGGGGAAGCTGCTGCAACGCCGCCTCTACAATATCACACATAACATTACCGTTAACCACTAATGGCACGGTATACTGAGTAGGTGCTGGTGCTCGTGGAGTCTCTGATCCATGCTCCTTGTATATGTGAGCTTCCATTTGTTTTTTTGTATTAAAGGTTCCATCGCACACGGTACATCGGTAGCATCTCTCACCGAAATGTTGGAAACGGTGCAGCTTTAATACATGATTGTAGCCAAAATCGCGGAGACAAATCTCGCATGTATAAGGTCGTTCTCCCGTGTGAGTGCGAGAGTGAACTTTAAGTTGTTTCGAGCACGTAAAGCCTTTTCCGCAGCCAGGAGCTGGGCAGCGATAGGGCTTTTCGCCGGTGTGCGTGCGGAGATGAATCACTAATTGTCCCGATTGAATAAAAGTCTTGTGGCAATGCGGGCAAGCATGCGGCCTCTCGCCTGTGTGTATTCTAGCGTGACGATGCAGTTTACCGGAATGTTCGAAGGCCGCTCCGCACACCGTGCAACGATATGGCCGTTCCTTAGTATGAATTCGTCGATGAACTTGAAGATTTTCCTTAACGCTAAACATCTTGTGGCAATATTCACACTCGAAAGGCCGCTCGCCGGTGTGGGTCCGGTAGTGGCGCACCAAACGAGCGGGCACAGCGAAGGTTTTGTGACAAACGTCACAGCGATGAGCGTCGGCTGCAACTCTGTGTGACCGGGTGTGAGCGGTCAAGGCACTCCGAGTTGAGAGCCTCAACCCACATTCCTTGCATTGATGCTCACGTTCCTCTTCACCTGTCGGGTAAGACGACACGAGTTTAAATGTAGGTAAATTATGCATGTCTTAATAACTGTAACACAAACTAGTGTGGGCCTCGATTGTTGAAGTATTATCGCGGCGGCCGTCCACAGTACAATGTCTGTTGTGGATGGTATGCGCGATCAGGAATATCAGGATGCACATACTACGGCCACATAGGGGTGCGGATAGGGAGGGAGGAGCGCGGAACGAGGCGAAGTGAATGTCCTCTGACAACACGTGGAGGCCCGCACCGCGGTTTCGAACCGATAGCGCCGCGGTGGGCCTCCACGTGTTTGGGCCACCGACCCCGTATCCGCACTGAACCGCACCCCGCGCTCACCCGCTCGCCCCGTCCCCACTTTCGTTATGTCTTCAACACTCGTATATATAAATATTTCATATTATTTCACTTTCAAGAATCAACTTTATTAAAATAAATGGAGAAATATATATCTAATATTATATACGGTAACACGGTAAAGTAATAACAACAATGAACTAATGTTCATGTAATTTAATATTTTAACACTTACGATTAATGAAGTGTGAAAGAAGTATAAAATATTACCTATTTTCAAACGTGTATACTACGTGATATTTATTGCCATATAGACGGTTACAGACTAAATAATTAAAAATTCAGTTTATCAAATAAAAATGGAAATTTCATTTATTAATAAAAATATACAAATAAAAGGTGAAATAATGATGTTTTCTTACCTATCATATTGAATGACGATGATTTGAAGCAGGCGGTTCAATGGCGTCAGTGTTGGTGTAGGTTGTGTAGAGCGCGGAACTCACTAACAAGACACGGGCGCCTCACAGACGATCCGCGGCTGAATGCGGAATCCACGGGCTCTCGCTACGTACAGTCCGTGTACAGGCAGCGCATTTGTCCTCCGCTCTCCTCTACATAGGGTCACCATTCGTTTCAGAAAGTCGGAAAATTCTAATAAACTTTCCATAGTGAAATTATTTCTATATAACGACATTGCGTAATAACGTCGCATTTTTTAAGTTGTTTCTTAATGTTTTATTGAAACATGGGCGTTATAATAACGAATTATTTAATATAATTGTCATATATAGTTGGATAAATAGAGGGATGTATATTATATTGCACAATTTATATATCGTTTTAGCAAATAGAAAGAATAAAAACCTAATAACTAACTCTACGTTTTCGAACTCTACATTTATCGTTCCTCTAATGATTGTTTAAATCATGGCTATCCTAATCTTACACGATACACACACTACTGCGTACCTCGTTATAGATACAATTTATATATGTATTTGTGTAATGACATTACTGTGTGTCACAAAACGGAATCACAATATAATTTTAATAATTTCTTTTTAATAATAAATCTATACCTACTTACAGTCCTTGATACATTTAAATTATTTTTCTAAGAGCTAGAGCATGTTAATGAGTTAATGTGTATTATACTCTACTTCTCTATATTTTAAATATCTAAAATACTATAATGTTATTATTTTTGATCTTTTAATAATTTTCCGCATTGAGAACATGTCAATTATTGTATATAATTCAAACATTCAGGTAAAGCTTAACTTGTTGTGCATACACGTTCATAAAGTAATAATACACGTATGTGTTGTATAATGCGTATTGTATGTATACGATGTACGACCGCGGCTTTGTTGAAGGTTGGAGGGCAGCGGAGCGCGGGCGCGGCGCGGAAGGGGAAACACGTGGAGGCCCACCGCGGTTTCGAAGCGCGTGTGAACTCTCAGCTCGAGTGCGCGTGCGTGGCTCGACGTTGTCGGCCACCTCACCTCCTCCCGCACTCTTCTATTTTGTCTGTCTAGGACAATATGTTAGGAAGTTTAATTTTGTATTATCAGATATACTTTTATGTGATTCTACATTGTTCGCTACACATTGAACTTTGCAAAACTATTACTCAATGTCACTATTGCGAACTGTCTACGAGATGAAACCTGTAACGAATATACATAAAATTCCAATCTTTATCTTTGTAAATAGTACCTGTAATAAACGTTCAATTTGTTCATTTCTATAAAAAGTACTTAATCTTATTTGAAGACAAACAATAAAACTATATAGGTATTTACTGTTTATATAACTATACATAAATAGGTACATAGGAAGAAGATAGAAATGTTTCATGCGCTGTGCTTGAACTTTCGTCGGATCGATAGTAAACGAAAGTGGTTTATAAGAGATTTTCACTTGTTAGTAATTATGTTTCTTATAAAAAAATATATCAAATAATATTAAATGAAAACATCGATGTTTTTAATTCATTTTTTATACCTATTATTATCCTTACATTGTATTAGGTTTATTATTAAGACAAAGGAATTGTTCAGTAAAGAATTGTAATATCCTGTATGCATGTTATGTATGGCATTTAATTTCATTACATGCCATAAAAAGTAAAATATCTAATATTATACTTTACAGATTGAGAAAAAATGATTTCCGTGTGTTATTGTTTGAGGGAATGAGTATAATAATATTTAATTTTAAGTTTCCAGTAAAATTTAAAGTTAAAAGTGCTTATTTTGTATTATACATAAATATTTAAATTATACAAAGCTTTTAAAACGCCAATTGATATAATATATTATATATTATGAGGATGACAAATGAATGGCCTATGCTCTACCACAATATTTTACTATTGTCAGTGGTTCACCTAAACTTAGATTGAGTTGTGACCTACTCTATGGTTACTGCTCGTTTGTTATCAGTTTGGTGTTTTTGTTCGTTTTAATTCATTTTAAATGGTACAAGTACTTAAAAATTGTTTAGCTTACAAAATTATTTTATTGATTAATTATAATTTAAAACAATTCTTAGAACTTACCTATGTAAGAACTTACCTAGTTTTAAATTTTTTTACATATTCTTGGCATAACAATTTAAACTTATTTATTTAATGGGCATAATATCAATAAGAATATTAGGAACTTCTCATTGTAGAGCTTAGAAGATGCCTATGCTTTATAGATTTGACCCTTTAAAGAAATTAAATAAATTACACTAAATATATACTTAAATATTATGTATTCTAAATAGGTTTCTAAAACCACATTAAATATAAAAAATGTTGAGGTTTGTTTAATTGTTCAATTTTTAACAATGTAGAGTGTTCTGTATCAGATGACAGATAGCGTCATTATCTAAGGCTGCTTGTGATCCGCATTTTTAATGTTACAGTAACGAATAAATATGTGTTTATGTAATTGTTATTACATGTACATACATCGATCCTTGTTCAAAAATATTAATATAATTCTAGTTAAACGTGTTTGGTTTCAAATTATAAAAAATCGAAACATTTCAGCATAACTACCAACTATAGTCACAATAATAACTTTAACAAATACGTTTAGCAAGTCCGTTCACATATTAAAGTTTTGCCAGTATATAACATACGTTAATATATATTATATAACTCTAGTAAGGTAATGCGAAGAAATAATTAAAACAGATATGTATAATAATATGTATATTATATTTGGTATCAATTTATTCCAACGTTATCTCTCTATTTAAAAGCAACGAAATATCGATAATTTTTAGGACTTAGGTACTCCAAATAAATAGGTAGATATAATTAATTTACAAATATACAATTAAAATCTTCATATCTATACCTGTATCTTTGTAATACTAATATTAATTATTATAAAACTGAAAAATTTGAAATTTCTGAAACTACTTAACGTATTAATAATGTAGTTTATTTATTTAGGAACTCTTAGGAGCGGAGCAATTAAACAATAATAAACATACAGAATGTTTGAAATCACGGTAAAACTCTACTAATATGTATACATATATGTAAATCTAATACTATATATAAAGCTTACGAGTCTCTATATTTATTTCTTAATATTACATACGTTAATTTATTACGAACATGATAGGTAGAGAATTGATGCGACACAATATATTTACCGGAAATTGTTTGTTGAAAACCGCTATAGCACATAAACATTTAGCAAAATATAATATAGAATACAGAATGCAAGAGTTAGCTAAAGACTATTTCTCTGAGCATTGTAGGAAGAAGATAAGATAAAATATTGCAAAAAATATATGAAGTCGTTTATGACGTTAAACGTATTGGCTGATAAAAAAAAAACAATTTTAGTTTAAAATAATAAGTAAATCGATACATTAAGATACAAAATTTAAAACAGATCTAAGTAAAAGATTAAAGTAATTATAATGTCATGCGATGACGCGATAGATTGATTTCGGCGAGATTTTCTAATTGAGGCAGGTTAGTACATGCATTCTAACCTATTAAAGCACCTATTGAAAATGTTCCCCTTTTGGGGTGTGTGCCGAGCTTCATGTTAAAACCAAATCGAGTGATTCGTGGAGAAATAAGAGGGTGCACGGGCGCGGGAGGGTGCAAGCGGGTGAGGTGAGGGCGCGCGGGGCGAGGTGTCGACACGAGCTGCACGCGGTCAGCGAACGTTCGAAACCGCGGTGCTGAGGCCACCGGCGCGTGCGGCGCGCGCCCGATTCAACCTTCCTCAACGCGACCGCAACTGACCCGCGCCACGCCGCTCCACGGACAACTACCGCGCCATCGCGCACCGACTACTACCTCGATGCCTCACCTCGAAACCTTGCTTCGGGTTCCATATGCTAACTAGGTATCTAACTTGAGATTAACGCATAAACAAGTAGCGTGATACGCAGCAAAAGGATTTTCCAGAATAAATTTATGATTTTTTTATTTAAGTACCTACATATGTAAACTAAAGAAATATTCTACGCACTTATCATGAAATTGTTACAGAACACTGAAATTGATAGAATGTTATTGCCCATGTAGATTATTGTACACTGTACGTTATTTCGTGGATGTAAAAATGTTTTTATTATAGTTATTGCTTTTATATTACGAGTATAACCATAGTGGTATGTAGTTTAAAGTCCTCAGATTATGTCTTTTTAGGGTCAGGAACCCGGTTTCACACTAGGGATCATGTTATAACCTTTAAATTAGCAGGCTATTTTTTAGGGGACTAGTTTTTGCATGCTTTCGATTTAGTTCACAATGTCTGAACTTCTTCTTCTTCTTCTCCCTGCCTATTTCCCAAATCACTTGGGGTCGGCGCAGTACATCTTCAGTGTACTGCTGAAAGGATTTGGCAAAAGTTTTACGACCGGCCGCCTGCCTGACTTCAACCCTCCTTGGGAATGCTATTGTCTTTCTTTGTCTGAATGGTGTTAAATATTATGCACTTTCGATTTTGTTGTGTTTTAAAATTTTTACATCACAATGTCTGAACATATCCCCATATTTGTGTGGTGTGGGGCCGTAGTACGAGGACTTCTAAATTCATTGAATCGATTGAAAGGAAACTTACAGGTATTTCTTATATTATATAAAAAAAATATGTTAAGAAATTTTTGCAGTGTGAATAGGTATAATAATAGCTATGTAACTTTACAAAAAATATGAAAAGATTTTACCTAATTTAATTAAATTTATATTATTTACTGAATACATGCGGTTAATAAACGCTTCCCACTCTACTTTTTGTGCTCTATCTCAAGAACGGTTTATTGTCATCTACACATCTGTAAACCCGATTTTGAGCAAAGGGTATGGATGGAAGGAGCTGAATTATAAAAATTAAAAAGGTAAAACAAAGGTTTTCTAACTCAATATTTTTATATTTGAACTAGCATTGCCCGCGGCT